ATGAACCTTCAACTATGATACGCAAATAAAAGTATGTTTTAATTAGCTAAACTACACAAAAGTAGAAAGCTTCAAACAAATACAACGAAGAAAGATTGAAAACTTACCCAATACCACCAAGTGGAACACCATGACTAGATGTTAGAAGGCGCTTAACAAATGGATTAATGAAAGCTTCCTGCAGGAAAAAAAAAGAAAAAGAAAAGAAAGAAACAGGTGCAACCGTGGCAGGAAGGAATTCAATTAGATACATTACTTAAAATAAGAAATCTTCAAAGTAACTAAGCTCCATTTTTCATAATGAAGATTACCCTTCCATTGGCAGCTTCCTCTCGTAGATGACGCCAAAGGCGAACACCTATTGGAGCCTATCAAAACAAAACAGGAAATATTGTTGACAGAAACAATAAGAGAACGAAAAGGTCAGATATTAAAATGGCAGTCGGTGACATGCTGCATCAACAAGGCCTAAGGAAAACAAGTGTCTAGCTCTAGGATTATCTAATCTAAGTTTCTAACTATTACATATCCGACTATTGAAATTTTAGATTTAATTTAATAATAAATTATAGATAAATTCCAAGGAAAACCAGGTGAAATTCAAACCCAACATCTTATAATGAAATAGAAAACTGGGGGATAGCGAATCATTTTCTCTTTGGCCAAAAGAAAATATACATTATCAATAATATGTCAACAAGGTGAGCATGTTTAGTCAAAGCCCAGACCTAAAATTCTATACGAAATATCTGCAGTTGATACATCTTTTGTTCATGTTCATACGCTGTGTACTTGAAACATTCTATATTGTACAAAAGAACGTTAACCTTTTCCAAATGAGTACACAGTTAAGTGTTTGTACCTGAAGATATTAGCAAGCAATCATATGACTTCTATGATCTTTAAATAGAAATTCATATTTAAAAGTGCAAACTTACCATCTGAATGATCTCTTTTAAATTTAGAGTGAATGGCAAAGGATCATTTCCCTTGCTATTTAATTTTCGTTTCCAGGTCAATGATGTAGGCTTCCCAGGGTCAACCTTAATCCAGATATACAAAACAAATTACATATTAGAGAGCATCTAAAGGGAGAAAGCTTTCAAGTCACAAACAAATGTCAACTAACAGTCTTAAGTCACTTGCGAAATCTCAAAATTACATCACAATGACTATGTTATCACCTTGTTAAGTAATCAAAGATCTACAATGTTCATAGTGGCACATACCAGCATTCCCCAGTGATAGAATCTAAGCTTTTTTCTTATATTTTCATATTTGAGAGTTCATGGCTTAAAGAGTACAGGCATGAACACAGTGGGTCTTCAATATTAAAGGGTGAAATGATAATCAGCCTTACTTTCTATACTTGAAGACATTGAAGAGCCAAACTTATTACCATTACTACATCTTTTAGCACAATTACATTATCACACCTATCCTTCTCCTCTAAGATGCACAAGAAACAGTGATGCTGAAACTAGCCCTCTAAGACATATTCAGCAGCAGTGTGTATAACTGGACCAGGACAAGCCTACATCATATTCTCATGACAAACCAGAATTTCACAAATACTCACATGTGTTTGGAGAGAATATGCAAATTCAGTAATTAGCCAAACAAGTAGACATGATAACATCTTTCGAAGAATGTAAGGACAAGTTAAAAGTTAAAATCTTTCATACACATCAAGAACAGGTTTACTTGCACTTGTTTCAGATAAGAAGGGAACTTTGATAAATTACTTCTTACACTTACAGTATATGATCTGTGCACATAGACTACCTTGTCAAATGAAGAATCAGAATCCTCTTTATCTCTTTCAACAAACCCATTCTCCAATATCTTCTCCTCAAGCATATTTCCTGTATCAAACAAAGAATTACTCAATCAAGCAGAGCGCATTTACATGAGTAACTAGATATTTTCTGCCAGTTATTATGTGCTGCTTTGAATTTACAACATCAATATAAGTATAGAAATTGCAGCTACCATTTAACTCCTATATGTTTGTAACTATGAAATGCTCTTTTCCATTATCTCATCCACCAAATTAAGGTACTACAATTATGGTAGGGAAACTTTTTTCAAGATTATCAAAATTATAGTAGTTGTAACCAGATGGTCATTTTTTTTAATAGAGTTTCACTAAAACACCCAAAATGAGGGCTGAAATTATAAAAAAAACCCAACACCCAAAACACTTTATAAACACACCCAAAACCCATCATTACACACACTCAAAACCCATTTATAAACACACCCAAAAAATATACAATTGTTGATTTTGGGTGTGTTTCTATGTTTAAATAGTACTTGGGTTTTTTTATAAATACATGTCTAGAATTGGGTTTATTTATAAATTTGTATTTTTTTAATCACAGAAGAAACCTCATTTGTTTGACTTTAAGTGAGCACACTGCAATGCCATTATTAGAACTCAACTTGATTTCAACTTGATTCATGGTCTGTTTTTTTGAGTAAAATAGACAATGAGGAACTGAAATTCGATTTTAAATTCCAGAGGCCTCAATTCCACACCAGCCAATGCTTGCTGGTTCCGCAGAATTGACATTTCCAATTCAGGCAACCAAGAACTGCCTTAAATTTAAAAACACAAACAACAACACACAAACATAAATAAAAACCCAATTGGAAAAAATAAAATTCAATAATTTTTAACTATTTTTAATAACCCATTTCACTGAATAATCATCTGATCACTCTCATGACAAAGAAACACAAACATGCATGACAAAACAGACACATGCGTGTCATGCACATATCAAATGAGCACGCAGTCTAGAGAGCATGCAATCGGATCAAAGGAAGCCATTAACCCAACAATCTAAATATACAAAGAAGATGAACCATATATCTAGCATGATTCTTCCAACCAACCAATGCAAAATGATCAACTTGAAAAAATGCATGACGAACAAAATGGCATCTAACCTGACAGGTATCAGACTGGAACTCCAATTGGGTTCACAGATACAGAGGGGCTCCGCAAATGACAGATGAGAAGTGAGAGAGAGTTGTTGATCTTAAAGGCCCTTTGACCGTTCTGCATGTCTTTACTCTGCCAATGGCCAGTCTTATACTATTAAGGACAATGATGTCATTTTGAATTGTGGTTGTTTATTTTTTTTTCTTTTTTCTTTTTTAATTATCACAGGAGACAGGAGGTGTTGTTTTGGTTTTTTCTTCTTTTTTTTATTCTGTGTGTTTGGTGGATGGATGAGGTGTGTCTTTTTTCTTTACGTTAACATTTATTTTTCTTGACGTTAACATTTGTTTTGAATGAGACTTTTATGTTCTTTTCTGAAAGAAAAAAATTGACTCTTTTATCTATATATATAAAGCTAAAAGCAGAAAATAGTGAAACATTTAAAATATCAAAAAATGCCCTTGGTTAATACAAACATTAAGAATTGAAATTATTAATTAAATGAGGATAATATGGTAAATTCACTTTTTCATATTACAAAAATTAAAATTAAAAGAAAAATCAGATAATTGATCATATTTTTATGAAACACAACTACCCATTATCTTTTTTAATTCTAAAATAATATATATATATTTTTAAAGCCTCTCGCAGGCACGAAAGCGCGTGCAGAGAGGCTAATAGATAAATAAAGAAGAAGTCTTAAGTTGTAAATTTGTTATTATATTATTTTCTATTTCTATGTCATTTTGGGAAAAGGAGGAGATGCTTCCGGCTTTCTCATTTTGGCAAAGTTAGCTTTCTTCAAACTCATGGCAGAGGAGGAACGTGAATTTGGAAGCATTTATTAACTGGCATGAGGTGTCTTTAAGGATTTGCAATCATGCATGTTTATTGCTTTAAATTCGTAGCTCATGATTTCTTTGTTCCTGTCATATTGTGATTTACTTCTCTAAATCAACAAGATTTGATGTCCTAAATCAATTCTTGCTTAGAAAATCCTGCATCAATTCTTGCATAGAAAAGAACTCATGCCAAGCCAATTCCCCAATCAGTTCACAATCCTTTGGTTTCAAGTTAGATTTATTGGTGCACATATCACATATATTTTCTCATTCTACGAAACTCTGGTACACTCGCGAGTCGCGCAACACAATAATTAGTCTGCTTATGAAACTATGGCAATTTGGGGTAAACAGTGCACGAGAGTGAAGGTCTCATTTTTGTGCAATTTTGTTTTTGCTCAACAACAGACCCATGCCCCACTGTTTGGAATGTACGGTTTAGAGCCCAATTCCATCCATTAACCAACCAATGAGTTGAGTTTCACGCCGCCCCAAAACACTATTTTGATGATCCATTCCAAACAGACGCGGAGTCCGTCGGTGAATAGGGCAAAAAGATAAACAAAAGGCGGATCATTTATGTAGGAATCTTTGTATTGTATAAAAAACCGCAAAAGACATAAGATAAATTAAAAGAAGAAAGAGGAAAATAGAATTAAAGTCTAAATTAAAAATGTAAATCTGTCCAACCCTTCCCACTCTACAAGCTTTTAAAGACAATTTGTCTTGGTGCCTAGACCAACAGTACGAATAATCCATCCGGAAAAGGAGAGGTAAAAACGTCACTAAAACGAAACAAAGCTAGCAGATAAGCTAATCTCATCTCATCCAACTGCAAAATCATGTTTCATGTCAGTGCATTATAGTTTAAAATCAAACAGTACCTAAAAAAATTACATACAAGTTGGTATCTGATAATAGAATTGAATCTTCATTTCAGCATGGAATGGAACATGGATGCAACTTAAACTTGCAAATAAAAAATGGTTATAAAAATAGTACAGGAGAGAACAGAAAGATCATATCCACGAATTCCATCAAGCAAGCAAAACCATCACTAATCTGAATAAACTAGAAAACAAACCAAGAATAAAAATCCTTATTCAAAAATCTAAACCCTTTACAATCAGTTTTTCTTTACCACAAAATTGATATTGATATTGACCAGCCGAACTCAGTCCCTTGCATAGTTTTGCTGCATGCTTCTATCTATCTGTGGTTCCATGAATTTGAACTACGGGTGAGTGAGATGATGGAAGGGGACGCATTGGCCAGCCAAGGAGGGGAGGTGATTCCGGGGGTGTTGCATCTCGACTAGGAGAGAAGAGGCTCAGTTCTACAAAGGGTATCCTAGAAGAACCCTCCTCCTTTTCTAAAGTACGAAAAGAAATTGATCCACGCTTTGCTGATACATCAGAGTTTCTACTAGGGCTGATTCCAGAACTTTCTTCCATATGACTCTGGTTAGCAATAAGAGAAATGGTGTCATTTTGATCATCATTAACTCTCCTCCTACTCTCCAAGTCCTGTAGACTCCCCAGGGCTAAAGAATCCGCAACTGGGCAGTAAACAAGCATGCATATACACACCCCAGCACAACATAAAAGTGCAAGAAAAGCCAAGAAAGAAAGAACTTCAAACTGAATGTGCTCTGGTTTAGATAAAACAGAGAAACCAAGCAAAGTAACCCTTAACGGAAGGAAACTTGAAACTGAGAATATCAATGTGTAAACCCTCTTCTGCAGACCCTTATTGATGACCAATTTTAAAATCTGCCTTCCAAGCCAAAACAAGTAGGCAGTTAGAATGATGCCAAAAATCCCGAGGAGGATAGTACTCAGTAAAGGGTAAGTGCAGAGGGCAATGTGATCAGTCTTGTTCACTGTACTTGTGAAGTAGGAAGGCAATTTACGTAAACTTTCATTCTTGGTGAGCTCGGGTCCAATTAAAATAACAAAGAGCTGAAGAACAAGCATTGGGAGGCAGTAGAAAAGAACGTAACCAGCTGTTTTCCCATTCCCCTCTCGGCTTAGAATTCCTGACTCCATTGTCTGCAAGGGCGCACGAAGTAGGAACACAAGGGTCAGAAATAGGCATGGTTCTGCAAACCCCAGGTTTGAGACTATGTAACATTTGCAAAGATTCTCCTGCCATTTCGAGTTAAAGGTATTCAACAGTCTCCCCTCACGTCTCAACAGACTTAAACGGGCAATTTCACCAAAACCCCACCAGATTGCAAACAAGATGAAAGTGATTCGGATAATCCACGGGCCACTGAAATAACTAAGTTGAATAAAACCCTGGCTACGAATGCGAGAGCGAAAGTAAAACAAGTAAATAATGCAGAGGAAACCAAGAAGGATCAAGAGAGCAACTAGACATATGGTCAACACACCGAGTGTATCGGCAGCAAATCTCGTCAGGGGCATTACCCGAAACACAGATTCCACGCATGCTCTCTGCCAGCATGGATACAAAGATCCTCTGGTAGCGTAAACGCTTCCTTCCCAGAATTAACGAGAACAAACGACGCGGTTTAGGAAGTAATACCAGAAGATTCTCATTGAACTCAGATCAGCTGTATCTATTACTGAAGTTGATGTTTCCACAGAATTCCCAAGAACAACCATAAAGCACCAACAATATCTGTAGAATGTTGGGCTCTTAGGTTAGTTATGTGACCTAGATGCACCAACAATACCTGCAACATCAAATGGACGAAGCCATGAGCGCACGAGGATTTTTAAAGGATTGGAAAATAAACATCTTATTGTCATAACTACAGCACTTGAATATTTTACACTAAAATGAAATGACAAACTAAACAAAACCACACCTGTTAAAAGTTCAAAATTCTCATCCTCTAAAAAAAAATTTTAAAAAAAAAGAAGCTAAAAAGTCTCTTTAATTTGCAACTTCAGCAAATACATGATGAACTCTAAAGAACAAGTGCAAAATATGCACACAAAATAAAACAGCCTCATACAATATTGTAAAGATATATAATAAGGAGAAGAAATCCTGGACATTTAAAATAAAGCATGAAAAAATAGCTTTTACTCAAGGCAAATAGTAGGCAATTACAGATTCCATGATTTAGTCAGATTCTGCAAGTACCAATTACACATGATAAATTGTTAGTATAATACATAATACTATATCCACACACAGTCAATGGCATGCAATTGCTCATTTATCAAGTTAAACTGCGTGTCGCGTGTTCATTCATCCAATTATCTACTCTTTGAATTGGGACAGATCAGCAGACCACAGGTACACAATAAAAGAAGCAGGGGTGAGATTGCATCACATGTGTAACATACTTTCTGTGGCATTTATGAAAACACAATTATACAGAAAAATCACTCTACAAGAAATTACTCTTCCCCAATTACTTTTGCACGATTTGTCTGTTTTAATGCTTATAAACATATCAGTCAAACTACAATGTTTGCTCTAACTGTTTATACTCAGATAAAAGAAATTGGGCTATTGCATCTCATTCTTAAACACTAGCGATACTCTACAAAGCTCTATCAACCAGCATTTTTTTTTGAAAGGGGCAAAAAATTAAGAAAGAAAATGAAAATCAAACCTAGAAATTGAAGAACGGTTTAAATGTATAATCTTGTTTCTTTTCTTTTCCTACCATTTCTCAACAACCAAACGGTCCAGAAACATTAAAATCATTGCAAAAAAATAAAACCTTGTACAAACATTGTTCCAAATCTAATCCTTTTCAAGAAGAAACTCGTCTTATATTCAGCCGCGAAAGTCAAAATATTGACAATAAAATCAATAAACTCAAAATAAATAAATAAAGATGTTACATATCAAAACGAGAACAACAACAATATAGAAACCCTAAATTCAAGAACTGATAGCAAATAAGAGTGCCAATTGAAGCAAAAGGGAGATCAATCGAGAGCTTACAAACCCGAAAATCGTGATCTGGTGAAGTCGAACCGTGAATTGGGGAATCGAACAAGAGGATCAGAAAACCCTAACTTCCACAGAGAGAGAGAGAGAGAGAGAGAGAGAGAGAGGAAGGGAGGGGGAAGGAGGGGGGAGAGAGAGAGAGAGAGAGCGTAGTTAGGGGAATAGGTGAGTGGGACTTTGTTGGTGACAGGCTGTATCCAGCTGTGTCGTCCGAGCCTCAAGGTTTGGAAACTGAATAAGCATTGCTTCGGCTTCTACCCGAACCTACGTGGCAATGTCGTGGCGGCGTTTACGGTGAGTTTCCTTTTTCTCCTGTTATGCTGTTTTTGGGCAATAAGGGTATAATGCGGGGGTCAAAGTGCGAGGCATTGTTGCCGGGGTTGGCTTAATAGCCGTTGGATTCATCGCATGGTTTAAGTTCAATAGTCTCCTTACGTTACAACCAGGTTATAATTTCGCCACCAACTTACAACCGGGTGGGTGAAACCCAAATTAATAAGAGCTGAACCCACGAAGTTAAACTTTGAACACCGAAACCATAGCGCCAAGAACAAAGCTAAACTGGTTTGGAATCGTTGTGGGAATTAACCAAGGTTGACGCTACCTGAAAATCAGTTGGTTAGAGTAGAAGGGGCGGGCCCGTATTGTTCCTCGGAGCAAAGTCGCGCGATTCTTCCATTTCGGAAGTGACTTGTGTGAATATTCCCCAAGTTTGAAGTGGAATCATTATTTGGTAATCTGTAAGTATTTAGTGGAATTTCAGTTTCAATAAAGTTAGGGTTTTACAACAATTTTTGTGATCAGTGGTGTTCTATTTGGCATTTCGTATTAGGGGTTCAATTGTATTGTAGAATTTACGTTGGTATATGTAAAATAAACCAATGAATAACATGTCAATAAAATATCTGTAACAAAAATAAGGAAAGGATTGTATGTGCTGCCAGTTGGGATTTTAAATGCGTGGTTTTACAGGTGGAGAATTTGGAAAATGTTTGTTTTATAGGGAGACTCTGCCGAAATTTTGGTAGAAGTCTTGGCTCAATTTCTTTTAAAAATCAGGAAGAAAAGTGTTATTTTAGTAAGTGGGCTAGGCATCGGTTAGATAACAGTCGGTAACCGGGTCTGTCACGAATTCCAAGGGGGAATTCGGGGCGGGTCTTGTCAGCTTTCTCTCTCCCCCTCTCTCAATAAAATTTCTCTGCACCAGTCTGTGAGTTGGTCGAGTTTCAATTAAAATGGTTATCTTCAATCAGCAATGGGGAAAAAAAAGTGTTCCCAAGTTTCTCTCTATTTTTCTTCTTCATGGTTTTAAAAACTTGCAAGATTATTTTTTTTTTTTTTTTTTTTTTTTTTTTTTTTTTTTTTTGAGTAGTTCTTGTTTGCAATTTGTATGTGAAGGTCAATGGCGTATAGAGGGCGTGGACGTGGTGTGGATTTGGAGGAGGTGGCGGCGGTTTTGGCTATGCCATTCAAGTTCCCTTTGAGGTTTTTCCTGTGAGTTTCTCTTGCTGCAGTTTTTTCTCAGGACTAATTTACCAAGCAACAATTTGAGTCTTCATCTTGATTTTTGTTGATTTTGAACTAGTGTGGTTGCTAAGTGAGGTCTTGCATTTTAGTAATGGCCAACTTTTGAGTAATAGGTTTTTGCAGGTGGTTCTGTTTTTAATTTCAATGAATGTATTGTTCTCATGATCCTTCATCTTCGCAGGATGTTGATTTGCCTAATGTCAAAGGTATATTTGATCCAGAGAAGAAGGTAAACAAGGGTCTGAGTGAGGAAGAAAACTTAGTCAATCAAAGTCTCAAGTTTCAAAAAATTTGGAAAGGCTCTCTTTTCTATCTTGAGCAGACCACTTCAAAGGGCTAGCATGATCTACTTTAAAACTCGTTGTTTATGTTTTTTTTCTATCATTCAGTCATGGAATTGAGCAATCTGTGAAGCATGTTTGATTTGATTTTCCCTTCCTTTTCTGGCTAAGATATTAATCATGGTCTGTTGTGGAGAGCATTCATTCTTTTGGTATGCTTGAAATCATGTTTGTTTGTTTTTTTATAAGAAGACTATCAACCTTGTAGTGATGCTTCTATGCCGTCTGCAGGTAAAGTTCTGTTGTGAAAGTCAATATGATTCATATATGTTGATCCCTTTAATATTTTTATGGTTGAAGATAAAAGTACATATTTACTGTGAATCTGAAATTGATCTCACCAAGATTTTATAGTTAGATGTAAGGAGAAGTTCAAACATCCCTCCCAAAACCAACACCCAATCTTATGTTTGTGAACATTATGCAAAGTGGCAAACTATCATAAAAAGTTCGATATGAGTTTCTATGGTGAATTGTTCTATAGTTTTTTTTTGTCAGTTAATTATATTATATTATATTGGTCCATACTGGCATTTTATTTTAATACCATATTGCTATTATTCTCCTTGTAAATCATTTATTTGGCTTCTTTTGAATTTATACCAGATTATGTTGTGATAGTATTGCACTTCTTGAACTTGTGGTTTCAGAGAGGCAAAACACAGAAGTAGAAAGATATTCTGACAGGTTGAAGCCAAAAACCACCATAAGAAGCGGTGCTCTTTTTGTTATATTGGAGCTCAAGGGATTTCCCCAAGAACTGACTGGAGGTTTGTAATCTGAAAATCATATGAAGAAAAAAAAGGGAATGATATCCAATGTTCTGCTTTGGTTTTGTGGTTTTCTTTTTGCTTTTTACCTAGTTGTTGCAATGGTATATCAGGTTCAAGGGCACAGCAACCAGGCCGAAAGAGAGTTCGATGGAATCCGGACTCAGGTCCCATGAGACTGATACTTTGTTTTTCTGTTGTCTTGTTTAATCTGTTTTGGTTTTTTTTAATTATTTTTAACATTGGGAATTTTGACTCAAAACTGATTAAAAGATCATCACTCTTGCAGAGCTGCAGAAGTTAGATTTATTTGAAAAGCTTGAACAGCGTCAGGTATGAAAAAGTCTTTCATCGTCTCCCTAACTACAACATGTTGTGTCAAAGATCACTGTACCAACATCTATCTATGAAAAGGATCCAAATGAAAGTTTAAATATGCTTGGTCTTAAAATTTATTTTCACAGATGGTTTAATTTTTGTATGCATTGTTGATAATTCTTCTCATTTGTAGTGTAATAATGATGGAAAAGAAAAGAAAGAAGGTGAAGGTAAGGATGAAGATGAATAAGAAGAGGAGGAGGAGGCAGAAGAAGACTTCAGTGATGATGATTATCAGAAGGTTCGTATAGGAAATCATGGGTTTTATATATCTATTTGTTTCTTTACCTTATTTATAGGTAATCATTTCAAAATAGTGATAGGTTGTACTTTGTTTATGTTCACTGTTGGGATTTTCATTGCTTATATTTGCCACCTGATTCCTCACTCATCCGTTAGAAGTTCTGTTCACGAAAATTCAAGTTTGGAACTAGGAGGAGTGTGGTTTGTCTGTCCATGTGTGGGAAAGTAATATGTTTTTAATACAACTCTGATCTTGCAGAACCAAGATTTCGATGACGACGATGATGATTTTAATATGGAAGATGATGGTGATGGTAGGAACCTTTCTTTGATACACTACATTTTTCTCGTACTATTTTAACATGGAATAATTGAGCTTGTGGTAAGCTTATGCTGATGGGTAAGCTAACGCTGATGGTTTTATTTTAATGATGCAGATGAACCTCTTTTGTAGTGAGACGGTGTTGCATATGAGGCTGCTTCAAACATACACAAACCTCCCTCATTTCTCTTCCACCAAATGGAGTATCCAGCTATTGTTTGTTTTCTTGTAGGCCTGTACATTCAATTACTAGTTATTTGTTACAAAGCTCTTGCTCTTCCAGGAAAAGATTTCGGTTAATATGACCATGATTACAAACAGAAAGTAGGTTATGTGGAATCATTTCAAAATAGTGATAGGTTAGGCAATGGATTTGATTCCCCCGTCTTTTTGGTTTTTAATATTAGTAATTAGGGCTTGTACTTTTTTTAAGCTTGCAATCAACCCTAATCTGTTAAATTTGTTGATCTTTCTTTGTTGCTCTCATACGACGAACTTACACAAAAAATTTGAGTGTAATTTTTTTTCATATACAAAAATAAGTTTCGAAACACAGCCCATACTTCCACTATGGTGAAGAGGGAAGGAAATAAGAGTTTTAGAACGATGGGGGGTTGGTTTACTTTGATATTCACTAGTTTGTTTCAGCCACTCATGAGTATTTGAGGCGGGAAGTGATCCACTGATCCTTACTTCTCCACCTCTACCCACTGATGGCGAATTCGTATGGAGCGTTTCTTGTAAAGAAAGTCATTAGCCTATCACTCGCTACATGAGTTCAAATATAAGGGAGCTAGACATTACGCAGTTCACATGGTGTTATAAGAGATATTTAGTCATACACCCATTTTTAACACTAAAACTATAAGTAAACTCTACACCATTTAATTTTTATAAACAAATCCAAAAAATGACAGTTGGTCATATTGAATTTAATTTTGATTATTAAATTACTTTGATGCCCTTTTGAATGTTTTGGGTTTTTTTATGAAGTTTTGGGGTTAAGTTTGTTTTAAGAAATCAAAGGCAGTTTTGTAATTTAAAAGAAGTTAAAAGTCTTTTTGTCATTTTGTAAATGAACTTTGGGTGTGTTTCTAAAGTCCATTTTATATAGGATTTTTTTTAATTTAATAATTTGGGTTTTTATATTGAGTATAATAGTGAATCTAACCTGGTAATTCTCGATATAAAGAAGTTGGTATGATTGGTTTTTAGCTAATGTTGCTTAAATTCTTCCTAAACGAAATTAAATTAGGCTTTAATTTTGAACAACCATAGTTACCATTTATCTTATGTGTTATTCTTCTTAAAAATATAATTTTCATATATTCCGATTGACAAAATTATATATGTATTTTGAAGGTGAAACCTAACGTCTTAGTAGTTTTAAATTATTAGATTTTATTCCAAATTTTAATTTTGTTTAAATCTTATTTTTGCACCTCTTTCTATGGATACGATACTTGTATTACTGAGTTATACTGCTACACGACACTTGCATTTGGGTTAGTAAGCACAATTAAAAAATTTCTATAAAATTCTTTACAAGTAGAGATTGAATACACTCAAAGACTCTAGTTGTGCATCTGTTTGAAAACGATTCAATCCAATTTAATTTTTTTTTATTGGATTCTAAATTTTATAGTCCAATCCAATCCAATTGAAGCCATTGATATATATATATATATATATATAGATAATCATCACATTACCAAATTCAATCTGATTTAAAAAAATATATATATACAATTGTGTATTGAATAGGCACAAATAATTCAAAATAAGCACCATTACAACATGAATTTTGAGATTGAAAGTTAAGATGGTCTTATTTTTTTAACCTAAGAAGGACAAATATGTGTATATAGGAAAAATTGTAGTAATGGTTCCTCAAATAAGACCATACTTTACTTTTCGTCCTTTAACTCTAACAATTGTCACGATCGTCCTTTAATTTGATATCGCGCTGCATCATTGGTCTTTCTGTCAAATATGTTAAATTTTATGTCAAAACTAAGGGCAAATTGAGAAATTTATATAAAATCTATATATATAAAGCAAAAGGCAAAAATGGTGAAACATTCAAAATACTAGAAAATGCCCTTGGTTAATTCAAACATTAAGAATTGAAATTATTAATTACATGAGGATAATATGATAAATTCACTTTTTTATATATTTAAAAAATTTAAAAATGTAAAAAAATCAAATAATAGGTCATACTTTTATGGAACATAAAAAATCAAATAATAGGTCATACTTTTATGGAACATAACTACCCATGTTATCTTTTCTTAATTCTAAAAATAAAATATAAAATAAAACCAATTGGCCCATGCTAGTATTTATTCGATAAATAAACTAGGGGTGGTTACTGTTCGGTAACCGCGAATTTTTGCCCAAACTACAAACCGACCGACTATTTACGGTATGGTGATTTTTGAAACCGCAAAAAGCGGTCGGTTACCGCGAATTAGCGGTTTAAAACCGCAAGTTCTCAAACATTCACAAAAATATAAATTCACAACCTAAATAAATAAATACACAACCTCAACTTCTCAAGTGTATATAAATTCACAATCTCCTCAACTTCTCAAACAGTCACAACCTAAAGAAAATTAAAGTTACAATTCCAAGCATTCCAATTAAAGTTAAACTTCTCAAGCATTCCAATTCCAAATCCTTTAAAGTTACAAACCAAAAGGAAAATGCAAAGCAAAATGAATTAAAGTTACAACTAAAAGGAAAAATCCAATTCAAAGTTAATTAAAGTTACAAACTAAAAGAAAAATGCAATGCACCAATGTTACAAACTAAAGTTACAAACTCAAGTGTTGGTGGTGAGTGGATTTGAAGAACCTCGTTGTGTTGTTTGAGCATCAATGCTATCTACAAATAAAACAACATAGTTTAGTACATTTTATTATAAGAAGATCAAATAAAACAACATAGATTGGCTATACTTTGCGATTTACGGTAACCGCAAGTTTTGAAAATCAAATACCGCAACCGCAACCGCAAATGCGGTTCGGTTCTTCATACCGCAAATACAGTTCGGTTTACCGTGATCGCGGTTTCATTGCGGTAAATAGTCGGTTGGTTTTTGCGGTTTTTCGATCTAAAATGTCACCCCTAAAATAAACTATCCCATCCCCACTTACCCTCCCTCAAATTTATAACCGCACCCACTCACCCACCTCAACTCAACAACTTCCACCTCTAAGCCTTTCCCTGCATCACCAACCTCAAGCTCAGCACCACTAGGCACGAACCCATAAAAATAAGCAAACCCTCTTCCACCACACCCACAATCCCTCTTTCACCCCATCAAAAGGGAGGGTTGGTTTTTGAGGAGGGGGAGGCGTGCGGTTAGGCTGAGAAGTAGTGAGGGTAGTAGTTTGGTAAAAGTCTTATTTGCTCCTCAAAAAACTATCATGTGCATTATATGTGATCAATTTTGACGGAAAAACTAACAGAATTGATAGAAAGGACGAGTGGTGCAACACGATATCTAATTAAAGGACGACCATAACAATTTTTGGGGTTGAGGGACAAATTGTAAAGTAGGGTCTTATTTGAGAGACCATTGCTGCAATTTTGCTGTGTATATATTTTAAGGGTTGGATTGGTTTGATTTAAGTTGGATTTCTAATCCCTAACCTGCCAATCGAACCGATCTTGTTGGCTCCTCAATTTTTTTTAATTTAATCCAATGTAATCTGTCAATGTTGTCAAAATAATTGGATTAGTCAATTTTGACGAATTGGTTAAGATCGTGCACATCCTCTATGAATGACTTTTCCAGAACACAACATTCATATTTGCAAATATAAATGTATATTTGTATGTTCTTCAATTTTGGGGAAAGAAAAAAAGAAAAGAATTTTTTTTGTATGTAGTTGTTAAGATTAAATCTATCAAACAATCAAATAATAATAAAAAGTCTATTTGCCATGGCAAAAGGTAAAGAGAGACAATGACTGTACTATTTACATTAATAGTGTATGTCCTAGCAATTTTTTTGTTGGTTTTCCACTCATTGCCATAGCAAGCCAAAGATAACGATTATTAACATGAGATATGATGAGATAAATTTGTATAGAGTTTTGGCGTGGGAAGTGAAGAATATGGCTAAGTATTTATAAATAAACAAAATCTGAAAATTTTGGTTTTTTTTCCTTTTTTCTTCAATTTTTTTGTTATTTAAATTAGTTGTTGACGTCAGTATTAGGTCAATTTGCCCATACTATAACCTAGGCCAGTCTTGCCTTTGGACTCGTCCAAGTTGATGGAGCCCAACTCTTGCCCCGACAAAACTTGGGTGTTGAAAACCGAATTGGGCGCCAGGGGACCTCTTGTCTGGACTGGGGCTCCCAGTGGAACTGCTCTAAGAAGAATACAAAAGGAATAAAATGTCCCACCCAAACAAGCCTGTAGTGGACTTATCTGTCACAACACAACGGATGGGATGGCGTTATTTGAACGTGGATTGTCCAACCAGATTATTTTTGGGTGAAGTAGGCGTAAGTACCACGTTATCAACCCAACCCAATTTTGCCCCATTTAAACTTTTTATTTTATTTTTATGAGCATTTCAACTTCTTTTTTCGGTCATCCACAATTAAAAATGTTGAAAAAATTGTAACTAAGATTAATAAACAAAAGAAATAATAAACTTTACTGGACCATGGCTAGTCCTGTCCCTTTCCAACTTCTTGTGGGACCAACAATCTTCTATGGGACTTCGATTATCGATTCGACCAAAAACAAAACAATCTTCAAAGGGACCCACATTTTGCCACGTTGCAATGTTTCATCTCTCTACCCGTGTGGTGTGTAACTTCAACCAGACCTCTCTCTCATTCTGCTCCCTCTGTGGACGGACTATTGCTTTGTGCTTCTTTCCTTGGCTGTGTTTGAATGTAGTTTTAGCACTCTATTATACTCTCTCTCTTACTCATCTCTCCTCTCTCCCTCTAAAACAGAGTATAGCAAATCATAAAACTTACTCGGTTTCCTTCTGTTGAAGAAAACAGAATAGAATGGCGTGTGAGCTTTGTTCTGAGTTCAATATCATTGGCTCTACGTAATTCTAGGAACACCCAGATCCTAAAATCTCTCTCTTTCACTCTAGAATCTCTTCTCTCTCTAGAATCTCCGAGTTGCTTGTCTGTCGTAACCCACATTTCAATTCCAAAAAGGGTAAACATTTGCATTTCACTTTTTTCTGGCTTTCGTTGGAATTTCTAACTTTTTCTATTTATGGACTTAACCACATTGGGCGGAGAAAGTTTCGGTACCCACACACCCAGGCTGTTGTTCCGTTTGGGCAATTTGATTCCGTTTTGCATTGGCTGATTCTGAATTCGCATTGTCCAGGTTTGGTTAATTCTTGTTCCCACTGAATAAGAAAGTATTGACATTTTGGAAAAAAAAATCCTGTTTTGGTTGATTTGAATTAACTTATCTTTTTTATTTGAGATCTGGGTTCTTGAGGTTGGTGAATTTGGCATTGGGATTTTCTTAATTTGAACTGATAGTGTGGAGAAATTCCCCTCATTGGGTTGTCACTGGTGAAGTTTTCTTGAATTGGGGATCTGGGTTCTTTTGAATTTGTCCAGATAGGCTTTTGTGATCTTTCAGTTTAAGTTATACATTTTTTGTTCTTGATAGGTTTTTGTTTAGAACCTGATCTGGGTTCTCTCTCATTTCCCTAGGTTGTAGAAATAAAATAATTTTACCGGAGCCTTCTGAAGTTGTTGATTGGCGAAGTAAGTTATTGATCAGTTGATTCTGAAAATTCTGTGTGAATGCTGATTAGATTGCATGCTTAATGCTGCAAAAATCACAGCCTGGAAAAATGGAAATTTGCAGTGGGAATTATTAGAGGAATTTTGCAGTGTCCTTGTCGGAATAGGGGACTGTGGAGTAGAATTATGGGCTGCATCTGCTCAAAGGCAACTTTATCCAATCAATACGTTTCTGAGAATCAACGTAGAGACAAGGAATTAAAGTCAAGCAAGTCATCAAAACTGTCAGAAGCTGCAGTTGGGGCTGATGCGACTGCACGGTTGATAACCAATCCTCACACAGAAGAGAATGCAGGGTCAACTCCTATTTCATCGGATGAAGGGGAGAAGAAGATGGTGGTTACTGAGAAACCCACAAAACCCTTCATGGAGGGTGGGGCGAGTGGGGGAAAGTTACCATCCGGGCTAACTAGGATAACTAGCGTATCAAATGGAGAAAGAGGAGCGCAAGTTGTTGCTGGATGGCCTTCTTGGCTGACTGCAGTGGCAGGTGAAGCAATCAGTGGGTGGGTGCCTCTCAAGGCAGACTCATTTGAGAAATTGGAGAAGGTTTGTTGATTTGCTTCTACATCTGATTTATGTGGTAGTTTATTATGATTTTTTTATCTTTATTCCCTTGTTTAGTGATATTGGTATTACGAAACCCACATTTAAATTCTTCAGGTGTGAATATTACATGTTTTGTGTATATCTCAGATATCTTTCATTTACTTTTTACAGTAAACTTTGGGGGTTAGTTTTGGAGTTGTGTTTTAAGTCTGTACCTAGAACAAATGTGCACTTAGTTTCTCTTCTTTTAACTAATAATATGTGCATTTAGGGTCTTGTATTATAAACATGTTTTAGAAAACACTGAAATTGTTAGATTGATTTGCTTAAATAAGATGCATGCCTGTCGTTGTTTATAAAAGATCAATTCATATGTACCATAGATTTTTATTTTTAAGATGTATATGCATGCACATTCTGAGAGTAAAGTAAACAAACATATTGCCATTTTGAAAGGAGGTAAGATACACTCAATCTTCAAAAAAACTAACCAAAATTAGGTACTTATAATTGAGGTAGTCAGCTGCTACTACTAATGGATTCTGTCTATGCTCACTTTTGTATATACCTTGATGTAAGTTGATGGAACCAGGAGGTTGGAAACTTTTTTGTGATTTTTCCATATCTTCCTTTGCCAATGCTTTATTAACAGATTAAATTTATTCAGAACAGTCAAGTGCGTATATAAGTACATGCTTAGACAGCACACACTCTTTGTTGGAGAATATTGAAGTATGGATAAGTCACTTGATGATTATGAGTAGAAAAATTGCAAATCAATCAGCGAAGAGTGTGTTCTTGATGGTTGGAGCAACTGAGATATATGGAATTTTATGTAAGCTCTCTATCAGGCTTCTTCCACCACATAGACATGGAAAGATTGTAAAATGAAGAAATTAACAAATGAGTTTAATCAGACAAGCGTTCATACTGGGTTTGATTATTTCGATCGTTTTAAATTGGAAATTTATCAGCTGCTTAATATGAGTTTTTATCTTTTAACCCCCAGGGCCTAGACTTGATTCTCCTAGCAAATGTTTGACAATTGTATTTTATTTTCTTGAGCTAGTGTCCACATTATGGACGTTTGTATTTTAGTTCTTTTATTTATTAATAAATTTGACTCTTCTGTGTACTGCAGATTGGACAAGGAACTTACAGCAGTGTGTACAGAGCCCGTGATCTGGATTCAAACAAAATAGTTGCACTGAAGAAGGTGCGATTTGCCAATATGGATCCGGAAAGTGTGCGTTTTATGGCGAGAGAAATTCTTATTTTGCGTAAGCTTGATCACCCCAATATCATGAAGCTTGAAGGTCTGATTACATCAAGGGTTTCGGGCAGCTTATACCTTGTATTTGAATACATGGAGCATGATCTTGCTGGGATTGCAGCACGGCCCGGGGTCAAGTTCACTGAAGCACAGGTAGTTGCTTTGCTGCTTTTGATCTCATGTATTGTGATTGTGAAAACTCAGACTAAGAATAAAAGATGTCTTGGATTTGAGCATCAAATTAGGGAAAAGTCTCTTAAACTGACAAATTTACTATGACTTGTACATAAGTGCAGTTGAGTATCACCACAGACAACTGTATGTAGGTTATTTACAGTTTTAGTTACTCCAAATATATCACGAATTGAGGTCAGAGGACTTTAGAATATTAATAAATTGGGATTATTTAATTCACCACCTGTACTACTTTTATAGCAGGCTATAAACCACTTATAATTGAGAAAAGGGAAACGTAGTAAAAAGAAAAAAAAAATTGAAAAATGGCATCAGCATTATGACATTGGGGTTTGCTGACTCTGCTCTTCACGAAACTTGTGATATATTTGATGTTGCAACCAATATTGTACTTAATCATCAGGTTGTTCCTTGTATATTCTAGCATCTAAGAAGTGCAAAAAATTTCCTCTTATGGATCCAAGATAACACCTACCCAGTACCTAGAGTTGCCTCTATCAGTATCAGAAACTAGTGATGTATCATAATAGCAGTAACAGTGGAGTTCAGGATGTTATCTGCTGCATAAAATTGTGTTATAGTGCTTAGGCATGCACCTGAAGACAAATATCCTCAAGAAGCTGATGCTCTTAGATTCAAAAAAACTTTCAGTGACTAATAGAATTCAGTGTCATTTCATGAATCACCAAGTAAGAAATGGCTGGGTTTAGATCCCAGAAAGTAATATGGTAATTGTGATAAATCAGGAACAGAAGATTTGAGGGTTTCTGTGATTTCTGAGTTCCCTCCCTCCATTTTGGGAAGAGCATGCACCTCTTTGTGTGCTCACCCAAAGTTAACAACCAAAGAGGGTCATTCTCTTCCCAAAATGCAGCAATATTGTTTCTTTTGAGGACAACCCTGAATGGTGCGTTATTGTCAATACGATCCATTTGTATCTAATTGCAGCTGTGTTCATTTTCATGATCTTATGTGTGTTATGGTAGCAGAATGCTTGACTAATCTTTTATTGTGGTTGATATATGGTGTTTGTGCACCGTGTTGCAGATTAAATGTTACATGCAACAGCTTCTTCATGGGCTTGAGCATTGTCACAGTCATGGTATTTTGCACCGTGACATTAAGGGATCAAATCTTTTGATTGATTATTATGGCAACCTAAAGATTGCTGACTTTGGGCTAGCAACCTTTTACCGACCCCGTCAAAAGCAGCCCCTGACAAGTCGGGTAGTAACCTTGTGGTACCGACCACCTGAACTTCTGCTTGGCTCTACAGATTATGGGGTTGCTGTGGATTTGTGGAGTGCTGGTTGTATTCTTGCAGAATTGTTTGCTGGGAAGCCTATCATGCCAGGAAGAACAGAGGTATTTTCCCCAGCTTTTTGATGATATACACATGTAAAAGATATGTTTACATATACATATGTATTTATATTTTTATATCAACTTGCTTTACATTTATTAGATGTGGCAAATATCGAGAAATTCATAATCTTCTTAATCATGGCATCTGAGATTTAAGTCTAGTCGTCAAGAGCATGAGCTTGATTTTTGCTGATAGGAGCAAATTACTTAACCAGATTCCAATGAATGTCAGAGGATGGATGAAAGTCCGTTGTAACTTTCTAAGAATATTCTAATCGGATAAATCATTAATGGTGATTTTGTATGGTATTGTGCTCTAACATGGAATCTACCAGCTGTACTGATGGACCTATTCAGATGTCTTATTTGATCTTATCATTTATTGCTTATAGGTGGAGCAACTACATAAGATATTCAAACTTTGTGGGTCACCTTCTGAAGAATACTGGAAGAGATCAAAATTGCCGCATGCAACTATTTTTAAACCAACGCATCCATACAAGCGTTGTGTTGCTGAGACATTCAAGGACTTCCCTCCGTCAGCATTGGCCCTGCTAGAGGTTCTTCTAGCAGTAGAACCTGAAAGTCGTGGAACAGCTTCTTCTGCACTTCACAGTGAGGTAATCATGGGTTTTCTTTGCTATTTGAAACCATGTTGACTATGTCTATTGAATTCTGATCTTGTCAAATTGAAACAATTTGGGGTTAAGAAAATGAAAAAACAATATTCTATTTCTGAAATTTGGTTTTCTTTGCTGTAATTTGAAGTGCATTCTAATATATCACTATCTGCAACTGCTAAAATGACTAGTACTTTTGAAATTAAATTTGGAACTGAAATATCAATCCTAATGGTTAGTCAAACTGAAAGCTGTTGTCCTAGATTTTCCCATTATAATTAGTCGTGCTTATTCTGAATTTGCTAGAAAATATTGGATCTGAGCATATATATAATGATCTGCTGAATGGTTAATTTTGAATAGGTGATTGGTGAATTTCACCCCTTGGGCTTCCTTCTAGCAGTACAGTTTATGCAATTTTCAACTAGATGATTGCTTATAGTCATCCTACATTTCTACTCTCTTTTGAGTTGGGATCTATAAGTTACCTTCCCATAATTAATTCAACTTTAGCTCAGGAAGTTAGATCTTACTTCTGAGGATATATTTTTTTTCTTTTCTCTTTGCCAGTTCTTCACATCATTGCCTCTTCCCTCTGATCCCTCAACTTTGCCTAAGTACCCACCTAGCAAGGAGTTTGATGCCAAGCTCCGAGACGAGGAAGCTAGAAGGTGAGCAATTTTCCAATTATATTAACTACTTTTCAGGTCCTTTCTTATGCAAGATCTGATTATGACATTTTTTTGTATGTGGTGTGTCTTCTTTTTTGGTAAATAGCTAATTGCATCTTTATTAGTTTTGGTTCATGACATATTTTTTGGACATCAGTACCAAACTGATTCGTTATCTAAAGCTCTGATGGCTTGCTGCATTAAGCTCACTTCAGAGGAGGGAGAAAGATTTCTGTTTTTGTCTCACATGGGGGAGGCAGCTGTTTTATTGCAAAACAAAAAAAGAAAAACTGGTTTTGCTATAAAAGAAAAATAAAAGAAAACAACTCTTCCTTGTTTGAATGTGTGGTGCAAGACTGTCTGGCAAGATAACTTTTTTCCTGTATGTGTGTATTTTGAGTTATTAATCTTGTTCACACTCACTTGAATGTTGCTTTGTTTATCTGAAAACCAGGCGAAGAGCACCTGGTAGTAAAGGAGGGAGTTCCAAAGAATCAAAGGCTGTGCCAGCACCAGATGCCAATGCAATACAGGTATCCTTGCCTTCAAATTCTGTAATTAAATTCATCATGTCTTTAAATACAAAACCCAAATCATTGTGAAGAATTACTGATTTAGGTTCTATGCTTTCTTTGTTATTTTTCCTAATCTGGAAGCGACAAGGGCAGCCTAACCCCAAAAGCATAAGTGAAAAGTACAACCCTGATGAGGATAGTGGCTCTGGCTTTCCTATTGAGCCTCCCAAAGGAGCAACATCAAATGGCTATTCCCATTCTGGCCAGTCAATGCACCCAAGTGCATTTGGATCTTCACGGAATATGTCGCAATCTGGCCAGTCTAGGAATGGTGCGGAGAAGTCCTATATGTATCGTGGGGCAGCCCAGTCGTCCAGGTTTTCCAATTCAGCTTCGGTTCGAAGTGATTCACGATACGATGGTGTTGTAGAAGCTAGTGCAAATCCACACTGGCCAGAGGAGCGTAATAATGCCAGATATAGTCATTTAGACAACGGGGATTCCTCTGCAAAACATGATTGGTCCCACAATCTTCTGGATAGGCCAAAGTCTTCACATAAGAAGGATGAACAGCCATCAGGGAAGGAGTCTGCAATGGTAAAGGATTTTACTATTTTCATCTATCACATGCTTTATTTTGAAATTTGACTCCACTGATATCTGGAGCAAATGCTGGCCCCACCCATTAATTTGGTTTTTCACATGATGCCCTGGTCAAGTGGCTGTATATGGGATTGTTGAATTTGTTTTCATGCAAACCATTCAAGTTATGAAATTTTTGTTTTTTATTTTTAGAAATAGGAACTCTTGTACTCTTGCTTCTGAAGCCAAAGTTTACACCATTGATGTTTCCCCATGTTTGCTTGTTTGAGATCTTTGGTTAAATGTCTTGAATTGGCTTTTTTTGCAGTTTACTGAGCGGTTTACCGCCCTTATAGAATTTAATCTTCAACATGAATGTGACTAAATAATTTTGCGTTTGGCATCAGGGTTATGCTACCAAGAAGAACCGGATCCACTACTCTGGACCGTTGATGCCCCCTGGAGGAAACCTTGAGGAGATGCTCAAAGAGCATGAGAGACAAATACAACATGCTGTCCGCAAAGCTCGCCTGGACAAGAACAAACCCAAGAAAGCCAACAGTGAAAATGGACAAACCGAATCCCTGCTTCACCATGTAAGAAATGGCAGGTGATGACAGAAGGGAAAGTCACACTGGCTTAATTTTGAAAGCGAGAGCTCCTTCGGAACAGCATCACTCTGATATTAAAGAAATATTCCTCTTGGGAACTCAACAAATCTCACCATGGAAAAGATAAAAGGGATTTATGGAGCTTCTTTGGTTTATATCACATCAGATATATATTCACTTTTTGAAGGTATGCTATCATCACTTGCTAGAGAGATTCAGAAAGATTGTTAATCTTGAATTTGAAGTAAATTAAATCCCCAGGCATCGACTTGTGATCTGCTTTGGGATGGTTTTTGTAATTGACGTACCAGAAAATTGTTTCATTGCCAGATGGTGAGAGGTCTCTTTGGTGTCCAGATGCTGGAAACAAGCTGTGCACAGCCGAAACCTGCTCTGCTCAATCAGCTATATTTCATTCTTTGTAAAGGCTAAGTTATGTCACTAAGTCAAAGGTTTTGTGATCACAGGCCACTATTTGTTCAAATCAATGTACAAGACAGTTCTTACTACTCCAAACCCATCAGCACAATGCTCTTTCCTTTTTCTTTTTCTCCCTTTTTTAGGTTTCTTTTGGAATGAAATACACAAATGCATATATTTAAGCAAGCATAAATGACTCGAACTCTTCTTGCAGATCCTACAATGACACTAATTTTTTTATTATTAAGGAAGTTGGTACCTACCATATTTTATCCATAATCCACGTTTCGTGCCTTGCCTTAGAATTTCTTTTGTTGGTTAAAGAAAGTATTCCCTTTTTGTTTTTGTTCTTTTACCACTTGCTTGGTACAGCCTTATTCACGTATGTAATCAAATAAATAAATGATTGAATTGTAATATTTTGAAGAATTGAAGTACCAATGGGTCTATAACTCAGTGATAAGAATATTTGCCTGCAAATCAGTGTTCTCGGGTTCAAACCCAAATGGGACCTGCCCCCTCCCCCTTCTGAACTTTGACCCCGCAAAAAAGGGTACTGGAAGATGAAACCTATAATAACGTCATCATCAATAATATTCAAATTTTTTTTTAAATGGTTGAAATTTGAGAGGGAGTTTAATATCTAAGATAACAACACCTGTAAATGCAACATATATAGCTTCTCCAAACTGATATAAAAAATGGCACCTGCAACCAATGGAATTGGCAGATCTACCACCAACCAACCTTAACTTGTTTTGCTTCACCAAGAATCATAATAGCTCTTATGTCTTCATCATGCATCCGAAGTTCCCTCTCCCTTCATGCTTAAGCATCCATCACCAAAACTACGACACAACACAACGCCTTCTCATCAACTCAGTCCCTTTCTTCCTCCAACTCATAAATGCCACAATATATAATAAACCTTACAAATATATATATATATATATATATATATATTTCCCAGAGCTCCAACTTCTTCTTAACATATTTCTCTCCATACTCATAAAAAACACAACAACAAAAAAAAAGCCAATACATTTCAGCATGAGAACCAAAACCCATATTCCAACTTTCAACTATAAGCTTCTCCTCCTCGGAGTATTCCTTGCTTTTGTTGTCCTCTTTGTGTTCAGGTCAAGCTTTGATTCATCATCATCATCTTCTTCTTCTTCTTCTTCTTATTCCAATGAAAAATCCACCATTTTGCCAAAAGTACCCTTGGATGAGAAAGAAGCCGAGGATGATGAAAGATCAACAAAATGTGACACCCCATTGACTTGCAACAAAATCCCACCCTCCCTAGCCAAAGCTCTAATCCACTACACAACCTCAACCATCACCCCACAGCAAACCCTGAAAGAAATCTCAGTCACATCAAAGGTCCTAGACAAGAAATCACCCTGCAACTTCCTCGTCTTCGGCCTAGGCCACGACAGCCTCATGTGGAGCTCCCTCAACCACGGGGGACGCACGATTTTCCTCGAAGAGGACGAGTCGTGGATCGAGCAAATCCAACGCCGTTTCCCCATGTTGGAGTCATACCATGTCACATATGACAGCAAGGTGAACCAGGCTGACAATCTCATGGATGTTGGGAAGGGCCCCGAGTGCACAGCAGTTGGTGATCCTAGGTATAGCATGTGCCAGCTGGCACTCAAGGGCTTGCCTAGTGAGGTTTACGATATCAAATGGGATTTGATTATGGTGGATGCGCCCACAGGGTATCATGATGAAGCACCGGGACGAATGAGCGCCATATACACAGCTGGGATGATGGCTAGGAACAAAGAGGAGGGAGTGACTGATGTGTTTGTGCATGATGTGAATAGGGTTGTTGAAGATAACTTCTCCAAGGCTTTCCTTTGTGTAGGTTACATGAAAAAGCAACAAGGGAGGTTGAGGCACTTCAATATTCCTAGTCACAGGGATGGTTCCCACAGGCCCTTTTGCCCTGAGTAGTCAATTCATGTGTTTTTGCAAATTAATTCATCATCTGTCATATTTGATTCATCGTCTCTATACTATACTACACAATTTAATTTCATCCATTTACCCTCCGTTTAGATGGAGAAAAATAACTCGGGATTTAGCTAACCCTATGTTTGGATAAAGGAAATGAAGTTGCAGAGAATTATTAAATTACGGAAATTAGATATCCATCCTTTAAATTTTTGTCAATTAATAATTTCAATGTTTGAGTTATGTATGTCAAATTTTGTAAATGACAGAATTTATTGTGAAAACAAATTCCTGCTCAATAGAAATTGCGAAATTGGTTTGAACATGCACCACATGTAATTGAAATTCCTGTGCATTGTACAGCAATGGGTGTCTTAGTATACCTTTCCTTCCTCTCTTTAAGAATGTAGTTGCATGATATAAAAAAAATTCAATCATATAATTATAAATAATTGATAATTCGTACAGACAACGGCCAATTTAGAAATTATAAAAAGAAAATTGAATCATATAATTATAAATAAATAAAAAGAAAAACGCCTCAATAAAAAAGAACTGGAAAGCCTTTTCTTATTTTATTTTTGTCATTTTGGGTCCGTTTGCAAGCGCTATGGATAAATCTGATATGGGCTGCTGAAATCTTTATGGCCCAAGACGAACGTATAATAAATTCATTCTTCGTTTGGGCTTTTCTGGAAGAGTAATGCTACACTTAGCACATTATTATCCCACATTTCTATATTACATTATGTGGCATGTCCATATCATATGACTTATCAATTAAATGAATGAAGTGTATTTTAATAAATAAACTTAGAAAAACAGAAACTAGTATTTTACATGATGTGGTATATACACATCAGCCGCCACATCATGTGGTATAAAATTGTGGTATAAAAATGTGGTAAGACTAGTATTATTCGTTCTGGAATCGAATGCGAGCCATTTTGATAGAAATTTGAGAGAGAGAACCTCAAACATTTTGATTTGAATGGCGCAATGATATTTGACAAGGAAATGGATTCAGAATCAACAATCTGAGGCTTCTTTGGGCCGTTCTGCCTCAATTAGCCACAGTAAAGCCGGGCGGCTAAAAATTATTTATTTTGAAAATGTTTTTCAAGTCCTTATGCAGAGCACAAGTTTTAGTAAGTGGTTTTTTTTTTATCATAAATGACTGTAACTTCTACTATCAAGAATCAAGATTGATCTGATATAATGTAACTTTCTTTCCTGTAGCTTCTTCTGGTGCACAAGAGATACTTAAGCTTCTTCCACATGCTTTTGTGGATCCAAGCAGACTTTCGGAGCTATTCAGGATGGTAAATATTAAACTCCTGCACAAATGTTTCATGTAACAATGGTGCTTAAGGTAGTTTTGCTTATACAATCTCATGTTTGATTTTCAAAAGGCATTTCGAGTTCCTAATCGCCTTCTTCCACTGACCTGAAGAAATATGTGTCATGCCTTGCTGGTGTTAGCTTTATCATTCTTCAATCTGATTAGGCCAAGGATGTTGCTCAACCTACACTCCCATCAAAAAGGGTCTTCCAAGTATATTCCACAACACCATTTGACATGGTTGACTAGCAAAGACATGGTTGAACACATAGATTCCACAACACCATTTGACAAAGTGAGTTCCCTCAAAGCTCTTTTTGTTCATGTTTGTTACATGATTTTACTCAAAAGCATCCTAATCGATTTCAGGCTGACTATTATACACATCCAGAAAACTACAGCCCTGTTTTCCATAAAAAAATGGCCCCTCATGCATCTGTAATTGGTATGTTTTACACTATGCTATCAAACCTATTTAGATTTTTCCCATGAAAACTAGAACCCCATTTAAGCTTCTGTTTTCCCCCCTCTGGCAGTGAATTGCATGTATTGGGAGAAACAATTTCTAGATTATCGAGTACCAAGCAGCTTCAAGATTTAACAAGGGAAGGATGTGGGCTTGTTGGAATCTCTGATTTAACTTGTGATACTGGGGGATCAATAGAGTTTTCAAAGGACGGTCTTCTTCAAATCTAGGGAAACAAGGCAACAATTCCATGAATATGAATAATTCGAACCCGCCTGGCGCCTACCGCCCGCATATCCAAGTGTAAAAATAGTATAGCCGAGCGGCTAGACTATTTACTTTTTCAAAAACAGTGTCTAGCCGAGCGGCTAGACTATTTACTTTTTCAAAAAAACAGTGTATAGCCGAGCGGCTATAATATCTTCATTCTTTTAAATAAAATAAAAAACCCCGCGGCTATACTATTTATAAATGAAATGGAACCACCATCCGGCGCGCGGCTATATGATTTATAATAAAAAAGAACCACCGCCCGGGGCCTAGCGCCCACTTCGCCGCATGTCAATCTTTTTTTTTCTTTCCTTCATTGAACTAATATGCTGTCTAGTTGATAAACCTTGTTCGGGAGGCTTTTCACAAGATTCAAAGCATCTCTCTCTTCCCACCACTGTCGAACCTTCGTCTCCATCTGTAGGAGATGGTCTCTCCTGGCAAAGCTCTTACCACCTTCAGCTGCTATTTCTGCACTCTCACAGAAACTGAAAAAATGAGCAACGATTTACATTAGAAAACCAGCTGCTCTTAGGCATTATCATCACAAATAACGAGAAACATTAACCAGAATACGGTCTCATATTGGGCATCAAAAAAACAAAGGTTGCTTCTTTAACACTTTTTTTTTCCCTGCTTTGCTTTGCAGCATAGCAAGCATCAAAAATTAAACTTGCCAAATTGGTCACAGAGTTTGAGACAACTGTTGGGACAGAGTATGCTCCATTTCCTACATTATCCTTTAACATTTGCTAGTGTTATTGGGTTCTGATTATCAATTTGGTGCTCAAAATAACCCGCGTACTATCTATTTTAAAAAAGTGGACCCACCTGGTGCCTAGCGCCCACTTCGCCACGTGTCAAAAACAGTATAGCTGCCCGGCAACAAGCTTTATGGTGCTACAAAAGTTTTATAGGGTGTAGTTGAATAGTTTTGAAAAATAAAGTTGTAAGATTTTAAAGCTTTTTCTTTTTTTACTGGGCTACAGTTGGTAGCAATTGTTATTACTTTAGTAACTTTACCCATCTGCGTTGTGTGTTTTTTTTTGCCCCTTCATAATCAAAATTGTTGGTGTGCTCTTCTTGTCTCATCCCTAGTTATTTGACACATGTATGGCATAAAAAACAATATTTATATATTTTAAAAACACCGAAAAGACCAGGGGTTGAGTACCTTTAGGAGCAATCTTAATCCTTTGAAGAGCATTTGGATGATGAAATTAGGCACTCTGCGGAGAGGTGTATGCTCTGTGTACCATCCCTTTGTTTAGAACTCCATTGTTTTAACAAGAATTTTATATCTCCGCAATTGTCAATTATAGTGTTTAGTATCAAAGTGAGGAGGAAAAATAATAGGGATGTGATGAGAGCAACAAAAAGCAGGACATCCAGAAAACAATGAGGAAAAAGATGCTGGAGATCTCCTAAGTTGTCCATTCGTCCATTTCTTGTAGACACAAACAACACAATTTTCAACCAAATATGGAAACAAATAAGCAAAGACAAGATACATGCAGCAAAAAAAATACAGTATTGTATTGATCTCAAAAACGTGGACATTTTCAATCTACATCTTCACATCACTAGTACGTAGTAGCAGTGGTAGTGCTCTCCATTCCCATAACTGACTGTGAGGTTGCAAAAGCTTGCAGTTCATCATCATTATCCTCAAACTGGATCATGTCCACCAGATCATCAAAACTAGCACGGTTCAGGAAATCGAGCATCTCATCATCGTGAACAGGGAAGCCTGACACATTGAGTGAAACGTTTTCAGTACCAAGTTCACCACCTGTTTGATCTTCTGATGATATCCCAAGTCCAGTATTAATATTGCCTGAGTCTTCATCAACTGCAGACTCCTCGATTATGCATGGATATGGATGTGATCCTCCTCCCAATGGTTGTGCTGTAAGTGGTTGGATGTTATCCAAATTTGAGAGATCCTTCAGCAAGGCATCAACATCATCAGAATCTAGAAATTGGCTGAGGTCATAATTAAAACCAGCACCTTGTGCTGGTTGATGATCTGTGTCACTAATTAGCTCAAAGCCGTAGTCTGGCTGAGGGAGAGATGGTGGAGGACTAGTTGATGCAGAGGCCATAGTCGTTGGGTAATCTGTAAGAAAGTAGTGTGGTTGATCCGTTGGCAAGTAAGCATTCGCAGTGGTAGTCTGCTCCGGCTGCTGATTATAATGATTTGTAACCTCAGAAGCCTCAGAAATTGGTGTAGAATTCGCACCTAATACGACTTCATCACTGCTCTCTAGTTGCCTTGGAATCTTGGTAGGGGATTGTAGTATTAGAGCATGACCACCGACACCATCATTCTCTGATAACTTCCTCTTTCTGTCATTCTTCCGAATTCGACAGAGCACGTATTTACCATCACACCCACAAGTATTTGAATTTGACTGGGGCTTCACCAATGAAGGGTGCAGGCTGTACTCGTGCATAATCCAGCAGCCATGTTGATCAGATTTCTCATTCTCATAACGAAACCTTTTACACAGACCTAAAGGCGTATTCTTTTTCGCAGGATCACGGACAGTGGTTCCTTTGTCCTCGCCTTTCCAGGTTCCATTCCCTATGGTTCGAGCCACGCGGGAACCCTTGCCGGTCACTAACTTCAATTTGGTGAAGAAGTAGAGGTCTTCACCCTTTTCCAAGTTTTGTCCACCGAAATCATTCCATATATCCCATGGCTCTTTCTTACCATAAAGATTGAATTCTGGCACAACGTTGCTATACTTAAATGGTGTGCCAGAAACCTTGTTAAGAAGATAATACCTCAATAACTCATCATCGCTTGGACGAAACTTAAATCCAATTGGAACATCAACATACTCACAAGGTGCCATATATAAGTACGTGTAGTTTCCTCTTGGACTTTGCTGAGAAGAGAAGGCTAAAGATGAAATATTTCTTGGTTTCTTGGAATGGAAAGAAAAGGAGTACGTAGGCTGGTTATGGTTTATCTGGGACTTTGCTGATAATGGATTCTCAAATAATTTTCTTGGAGTGATGTGGGCTAGGGTTTTGTGATTTCTGTGTGAATGAGTTCCTTCCTTCCCTTCCAATATATATAGGACTATTAGCAGGCCCAGTCCTGGCCCAGGTCGATTAGGACAACAGCAATAAATAAAAAAAGGTAAAATCCCGAATAATCCGTCTCCCACATATATTGGCTTTGATAATTATCAGCTATTTGTAATATGATAAGGCTCTGTCTATACTTTCGGGTTAAGTTGTAACAACTTTGTAAGTTACTTGTGCCCCAAGCATTTTCATTCAGACAGAAACTTGGAGTTTCTTTATGTATGATGTTCTATATATTCTCACTCCCAAATCGAATCCTATTTTCTCACCCCACCCGCCACCAAACTTTTTAAGAACACCCCCTCAATCATTCCATGATTGCCCTTTCCCCTTCTTCTTCTTCCACTTCAACCCTAAAAATAAAACCAAAGGACAGAAGGCTGGTGGATGCAAGAGTAAATCCAGTCCCCTTCTATTGATTCTGGTGGATGCAAGAGTAAGGCTTATCTTAAAATTGATTCGGATCCTGGGGACATGAAATTTCGTAGCATTCGGAGACACGAAATGGTCATTTGTGATAGATTTGCTAGTCTTCGGTGATCAATTTGTCAATAAATTCAAGCCTAATGAAAACAACAATGCAGTCTACATACTCAACGACTTTGTCCACCATTTGAAAATGATTTTGAAAAAAATATTGAGTTTGGACCTTCACTCTCAGTTCTAGTGTAGTAGTGTGCGTATATATATCGCACCATTCTAAATGAGTTATATTGCTCACACACATCACCTATTAAGATATAACCTCATGGACAAAGCCATGAGAATTGTTTCAGTTTTCAGATTTCTAAGCGTTGTAAACATTACCATTAGCTTATGGAATGGAAATTTGGGTGTGCCTTGTAAACAAAATGAGAGACAAGCACTTCTAATGTCCAAGAAAGATCTTAAGGATCCTTCAAATAGGCTTTTATCTTGGGTTGGTGAGGGAGATTGTCACAATTGGATTGGAGTTGTTTCCAATAATTTAATAGTAATGGATAATGCTTTAACTTACCGTTATTGATAAACAAAAATCGGGGAAAAACAATTTTTTTTTAAAACATCAAAGTGTTTTGTGTAAAGAGTATAGCCAATCGGCTATATGCTTTTTTGTAAAAAACAATATCCCAAGTATAGACGATGATCATGACAATTGTATTGCCGCGCGGCTATACTATTTTTTATAATTAAAAATCATAATATAGCCCGGCGGCTATACTCTTTTTTATATAATAATTGAAAAACCCGAGTATAGCCGTGCGGCTATACTATTAATAATTGGAAAAGGAAAACCACCCTTGGGCGCTTACAGCCGCGCGGCTATACATTTTTAAAAAAATACAAATTTATAAATAAACCCAATCCTAGACATGTATTTATAAAAAAAACCCAAGCACTATTTAAACATAGAAACACACCCAAAATCAACCCCAAAGTCAACTTTTTGGGTGTGTTTATAAATGAGTTTTGAGTGTGTGTAATAATGGGTTTTGGGTGTGTTTATATCTTTAAATAGTGCTTGGGTTTTTTTATAATTTTAACCCCCATTTTGGGTGTTTTAGTGAAACCCAGGTATAGCCGCTCGGCTATACAATTTATAACCACAGACCACCGTCTGCGCCTGATTTGCCACTTGTCAAAAGTCGTATAGCCAAACGGCTATACTATTTTTAAATAAAAAACCGTGGTACCGCCGTTCGGCTATACTATAATTTTTTTTTGAGAAAAAGGAAATCCTTTCAAGCTTTAGTTTACTTCCATGGTATTCAGCGCCGGTCCTTTCACTGGGGGCGTCTTATATGTATTCGTTGGTGGCTGCTGCCAAGTCTGCAGTAATTTCTGCGGTCTTGGGCTGCCATGAGAAATCTGCCCTCTGGTCTTTGTCATCACAGATTCAGGAAATGGTACATTCCATATGGCTGTCTCCCTTGTTTTACCAATTTGATTACATATTTATTTTGAAAATGTTTTTAAGTCCTTATGCAGAGCACAAGTTTTAGCATCACTCAATTTTGAAGTGATTTTTTTATCATAAATGACAATAACTTCTACTATCAAGAATCAGATTGATCTGATATAATATAACTTTCTTTCATGTGGCTTCTTCTGGTGCACAAGAGATACTTAAGCTTCTTCTGGTGCACTAGTAAAGACATGGTTGAACTTGAACACATGGATTCCACAACACCATTTGACGAAGTGAGTTGCCTCAAAGCTCTTTTTGTTCATGTTTGTTACATGATTTTACTCAAAAACATCCAAATCGATTTCAGGATGACTATTATACACATCCAGAAAACTACAGCCCTGTTTTCCATAAAAAAAAATTGCCCCTTATGCATCTGTAATTGGTATGTTTTACACTATGCTATCAAACCTATTTAGATTTTTCCCATGAAAACTAGAACCCTATTTAAGCTTCTGTTTTTCCCCCCTCTGGCAGTGAATTGCATGTATTGGGAGAAACAATTTCCTAGATTATTATTGAGTACCAAGCAGCTTCAAGATTTAACAAGGTACGGATGTGTTGGAATCTCTGATTTCACTTGTGGTATTGGGGGATCAATAAAATTTGCAACAGAATTTGCAAAGGACGGTCTTCTTCAAATTTAGGAAAACAAGGCAACAATTCCATGAATTTGAATAATTCGAATTTAGGAAAAAGTGGAGAGTGAAAGAGTTGGAGAAGATCCAGAAGCCTTGATATTTTCAAACCGGATCCTGATTTCCTTGAGAATGAGAAGCGCTATGAAGAATTGAAGAAAACCATACTTGGTGAGGAGTCTGGAGAGGAAGAAGGTTCTGATGATGCAGTTTCAGATGCCCTTCCCTGGCAGCATGTGCTAGGCAATATACAATTCACTGAAGAGGACACCACTTCATCTTCTCGTTTTTTTATCAACTTCCTTTTCGTGGAATTGTCGGAGTATCTTGGCATCCGTTTGCTAAACCAGCGGCTCAAAGATCCTGCATTGCAGGACTCTCATGATTCTATTTTCCCAAAGGATAATCCCAAGAACACCAGCTTTGCCATTAACTTTTTCACATCCATTGGTCTTAGTGGCATCACTGAGAAGCGGCGTGACTACTTGAAGCAGATGCCACGACTATGCAATAACAAAAACCGGTGTCAGACTCAGAATCAGATGATGAAGAAAATGAGAGTCGTTCTGGTTCATCTGAGTCAGACACAACAAGTCCTGAGTCTGATGAAAATGAAAGCGATAGGGACGAAAGACACAAGAAGCGCAGAAGGAGAAAAAAGCTACAGGGATGAAAGAGACGGGAAGCGTAGGACGAGAGTGATGGCTACAGTGTTGATACGTTCTTTCTTTCCGCGAACAACAACGCTTGCTTTGCTTTTAGGTTCTCTGTTCAAGAGAGCCTGTTCTGATGGTATATTAGTCTTAGTTCAGGCTCATCACTTCTGATAGTATGCCATAAGTTGAGTCCTGCTGGACTTTAGACTAGTTCTTTGGTTGCAATTCAACCTTTTTCATCCCTCTGTTTGTAATTAACATCTAAGCATCGGAAAAAAAATATCATTATGAAATGAAGCATTAAACAGATTTAGAAGAAAGAATGTTGAGCTTACAGTCCAATTATGAATTAATTACTGGGTGATAATCTTGGTTTTATTTGTTTCAATTAATAACTGTCGACGTTTTTAGAGAAGCGATCCTTTGCAGAAATTCTTTGATTTGGTACTATTTGCAGGATAAACATATTGGATATCATGCTCTGCAACACCAGCTTGCATCATATTGACATATTCAACACATTCCAATTTGTCCGTACATCATTCATGACTAAAACACACTACTCTTTCTGGTCTTTACAACAAAATTTTCGAAACCAAGGTATGAAACAAGATGTAATGTAACAATTTGATTGATAGTACAGTTCCAATTAATTTTAAAGCAGAAGTTATATCCATATCACATGTAGATATAAGTTAAAACAAGTCTATAGGATGCTGAAATAGAACAAAGTTCAAAACTTGAAAACTAAACTAAAATCCGATATTCAAAAATTCAAATATGACACATCACTCTCAAAGAATCTCACCCAGTTCATCATCACAAAAGTCAGAGACAAGTCTTCTCTGCACTGCAAACAATGCTTCCAGCAGCATGTCGACTAAATTGTTCATTGCCTATGTTTGAGAGCGGAGTTTCCTATGACCTATTGGCATGAAAGAGAAGAAACAGAAATGAGGTTCACACATCATAAAGCACAACCAGTTTACCTTCACAATCAGTATCAGCCAAAAACACTAGAGGGAAAAGCTCACAATCAACAAAAATCTTGCAATGAAGAAACCAGAAAGAGTAGTGTATTTTAGTCATGAATGATGCATGGACATCACAAGTCTCAAAACCCAGCTAAACAAAATTTCTTCCAGTTCACAATTGCACAGCATAAAACAGAGAATTTATTGACAAAATTTGCATTATGCTTCAAGCACAAACCCATGTAGACAGACACATCTGAACAGAGCAAAACCATTCATGAAGAATACATATATTACTATTAAAAATTAAATTCTATAAAGCAAGTTGCAAAAAAATCAAAATATAAAACCAAAAATAATTTTTTCGTAATGCCAACCTTAATAGAACATATCTAGATCAGTGCAACATAATGTGACACATTACACTGCAATGTTACGCATTACAGATTTCTACTAACAACATTAATAAAATATATCCACATCAGCAGAGAACAGATGTGACAGATTAATGTCTGAAACCCGGGAAATCAAAATTGCCTCCAGATAACACACAACAGGGCAGATCACAGAAGTGCAGAAAGGCTTTTTGATGATTGGTTCTTCCAATCTGATTCCAGAGATTACAGGGTGGGGGAGGAACAATTAATCCTCATTTCTACTAGAGGGTTTAGTTTATATTAATATCATATATATTAAAATCCATGAATGTGAAACCGAAAAGTAGAATTCGTTTTTTAATATCATATATATTATCTGTGTATATATATATATATATATACCGTAAAGTTCGATGCTTTGTTTAGTAAAACAATCTGACCAAAAGTGTCGGTGTGCACTTTAGAGCAGATATGTAACAAAAGGATTATAATTACCTGGACAAGAAGATGGCAGTCGGGCTTCCAGGGGATGGAGGATTCTGCTCCACCAATTTAACAAGTGAACCAGCTTTAGCAAGAGCATCAGGATCAGAAGCAGACAAAACTTCTACCTCTTCAAGACCGATTTGTCTCTTAATTAAATCCAGGTTCTCTCGAAGGACATCAATCTCTCCAAATGGTAACTTCAAGTCTAAGGCCTGAGCCCCTAGTGCAACTGCCTGATCCTTCTTCATCTTCATGAAAGGCATACAAAGCTTTTGGGTTTGTCTAAAATCTTTAGTCTGACCAATTGAACTTCTCTGCAATGCCTCCATTATCACCGTGTCTGGAGCAAAAGTGCGAGTATCTCTGTCAAAATTACTTTGTAGTATCCTCAAACACTCTGCCTTCCATTCATCAAATTGCTCATTTACATATATCAAGCCAATGGGTAGCTGCTTGTTTTCTGTCACAGTTGTAACTGGAGCACCCTTCTTATTAGCTTTCTTTGAACCTGACCTTTGCTTTTCATACAACTTCCTCATTAAAACAATGGAATCTTGCAAATACTTATTGGAACTCTGGAGGGTCAGATCTGGAGCATCAGCCACAGGCCATCCTGCATTTACCACAAACCCTTCCTTCTTCAAAAGTTCCCTCCAGACATATTCTGCATAGTGTGGACAGATTGGAGTAATGAGACGAGTCTGCACATCCATAAAACGCAGCACCAATTCACGGTTCATACCCCCAGAACCACATGAAAACCTGTACTCATCCCTGGCAGCTTGAAGATCATAAAACCCAGTCTTGAGGGCTCCTCGGAACATGTAATCCCGATAATTCTGCTCAGTTCTGTTCACAGCGATATTTATCTCATTCAAAAAGATCCTGTCAGCATAAGTAGAAGGAGGACCTATTCTCAAAGAAGAGTCCGCAGCTAAAACTTCTTCCATCCATGCAATCTCTTTGGTAAGCCTTAGGATAGCAGCATTTGCAGTCTCAAATACAAAATTTGCATCATCGACACCATCTCCAGCATCAGCCAATGAGAATCGCGTGGCATCAGCAGAAAATTCCTCAATTGCCTGTCGAATGGTCCTAAAATTCCCAGTAGACTTGGACATCTTCTCAGAATTTAGCATGATGTGCCCATTGCATCTAAACCCACGAGGCCAGTGCTTTTTGGGCATAATTGCCGTGTGGTTGTAAATGCAGAAGGTCAAATGATTTTGGATTAGATCCTTGCCAGACACTCGAATATCAAATGGATACCAATATTCAAACTCCTGCTTCATCTTATGGAGAATCGATGACGAGATATCAGATGATTCAGGATATGGGCCATCACAGAAAATATATTCCCAGACCTCATCAGTCATTTGTCCAGGTTTAATTGCAGATTTGCTGGAACCATACATGTCTCCATTGTGTAAAAAGTGGGCAATGGTGTAGTAAGCCATGTAAATGGTTGAATCGGACAATGACTCAACTAAGAATTCTTCATCCCAGGGAATCCGAGTCCCAAGCCCAAAAGATCGTGAACAAGCCCACTGATTCAACCAACCCAAAGTGTGTTCAAATCCATGTCGTGTCTCGTCAGAATACAAATTCATGCTGGACAAACACTCCTCAGCCAGTTTTTTCCATTCAGGTTCCCCATATGTGATGTACCATTGATCTGTAAGAGCCACAACACACTCATCACCCGATCGTGACACCACCCGCTTCTCAGGTTCACTATATACAATTGCCTCATTCGCTTCTATAAGCTTGCTCCTTATCAATGGTTTCACATCCTGGACTTTCCTTCCATTGAATTCTCCGACAATAAGTGTCCCTTCTGTGAATCCTTTCAGGTATGTCAACCTCTTGGCTTCTGCTAGCTTATCTTTCTCATTCTGGCTTTTGATTTTCAGATCTGCACAGACCTTCTCCGCAGCCTTATTTCCGAATCCAGGAATGTTGATGATCGGGATAATCTCGAAGGGCATGACCCATTCATCCTTCACACCATATTTTCCCCTCAAAGCAGGTTTTGCTTTTAAATCATGCAAGGCCATATAATCATCAGGAGAATCTGCAGGCACACTAGTCACAATCCCAGTGCCCTTGTCTGTCAGGACAGTCAACATAGGAAGAGTATAAATAATCTGATTAATTGCACGTGGAGACTTCAATGGAAGGCCAATCAAATCATAGCCAGTGAGCTCAACCAAGCTAGTAGGTTTATTTGGGACCCTAGAGTACTTCTGATAGGCAAGATTAAGTGCTGCTCTCTGTGTTAGAATAAATACATCTGTTTCGTTGATTTCAAAGGCTCCATACTTCCCATCAGGCAATACCCAGGCATTTGTTTGTCCGTACATTGTCTCAGGTCTCAGTGTTGCTGCAGCAAGGAACACTTTCCTTCCCTCCAACACTTTCAATTTAGATGGGAAAGGTGCCACCACCTCCATTTTGATGATGGTGTATTCTTGGGGCTGAACTCCTTCGCCAGATGCCCTATCATGATCCGCACATGGCTGCCCATCCAATGGAGAGTATATTGTGTAACGGACATCTTTCACAATCTTACCCATGGATTTTAATTTTCTCACCTGCCACCTCACAAAGGCATCAAAAAACGGGTTAACGTCTGTAGTAATAAACGAGCGCCTCCAGTCACATCCCAATCCAAAAGCCTTGAGGTCTTCCACTGCCAATGGAGGAAAGAATGTCAACCAGTTGTAAGGATCCTGGAATTTGCATATCTCACTATCAGAGAGGCCAAAACTACGCATGATTTCCCATTGGTAAGCTTGTCCACTTGATTTTGATGCAACCTTCGACTTCTTTCCCTTGAACTTATCTGGAGGTGCACCATTATTTGCGTCCTCTGCTTCTGCTTCCACTTCCTGGTTCTCTTGTTCCAATTCACTGGTAAAAACTGGTGGGTTGCCAAACTTTTGAATCTCTCTTGCAAGTTTATCAGCTGACGCTTTGATGGGCATGCCAGTGCAGTGGAAAGCAAAAGGCAAAAGCACATTGGCGCCTCTTAGCCTATGGTAAGCTGCAGCAAACTCTAGCTTGGAGAGTGAGAATGCATGTCCAAGATGCAAAAAACCATTCATGTAAGGAAACGGGAAGTTTCCAAAGAACTTCTCCCCTGGTTCAGGAGGCTTTTCACAAGATTCAGCCCTGAAAACATCTTTCTCTTCCCACCACTGTCGAACCTTTGTCTCAATCTGTAGGAGATGGTCTCTCCTGGCAAAGCTCTTACCACCTTCAGCTGCCATTTCTGTAATCTTACAGAAACTGGAAAAAGGAGCAACAATTTACATTAGCAAACCAGCTGTTCAAAGGCATTATCATCACAAATAATATTTAAAAACATAATATATTATATGCAACATTAATCAGAATAAAACCAATGATCAAAAATAAATAAATATAACAGCTAGTGTGAATCAGAGATACCCAAATCCAAGCTAAGCAAAAGATACTAAAAAAAAAATAGCAAATTGTATCGGCGATTGTAACTATTACATGCTGAAACTCAATCTAATTAGAATCTTTATTAGCTTAATTGAAGTCCACATGAGCAATTTGTAATTAACAAATCATACAATAACACCAAACAAGGTCTTCCGTTAGAGAATCCACCGATCAATAAGCTCAAAACAAAAACAATCATAAGCAACTATTTGAAACAACAAAATTGAAAACATAAAAATATAAAAAACTGTGAGCAATGTACCTGTGGTTCAAAATTGAATATGGTATGGCATTACAGGATAGCCCGGGCGCTTTTTTTTCGCACTAGAAGAGAAGCCAGGGAGAAATTTAGGGTTCCTTGGAGACAAAAAAAAGTGTAATATGCACGGAGCGTCAATTTCAGCAAGGAGGGAAGAAACAATAGCCGGGAAGACGATGAGGAATAACTTAGCTTAGGGTTTTGGAGTTTCAACGGGGCCACGTGGCAGGTCCTAAGATTAGGTTTTGTAGTGATTGTGTGTGCAGCAGTGCATGGTTTATGGTACAGATCTTGAACAATATTAAAAGTTCAAACTTTCTGTGAGCCGTAGATGTGAGCTTAAGTTCAGTTTCCACCGTTACACTTAGAAGATGCATTATTTGGCAAAATTATAAGGGAAATTGGTAAAATGACCCTTTGTGTATAAAACTTGGTTAAATTATCCCTATAAATACATTTTATTGCCCCCATACAGCGGCAGACATACGACAAGATAAGAAAGGTTGGACGACCCCTTGGAATGCCGGAAAATTGGATGTGGACTCTAAGGGTGACCTCTTGGCTAGCCTGTGTGCGATCCTTTGGGTGCACTCCAAGTGCTCGATGAAAGTCCCCTTCTCCTTTGTCCTTCGCTGCACGCTAAGGTTATTATTATTATTTTTTAAAAGCTCCTGGCCAAACGACGTCATTTGGTCCAGGCTCATCAAATTATTTTTTTAATGACCTAGCCTCAAAACTACATCATTTTGGGTCAAGTTTTAAGAAAATTTTATAATTAAGAAAAAAAATCAGTATAGCCCCTTTACTCAACTCCACCACACCCCCAACCAAACTCTCATTCCCAAATCAAAATCAAAGTTCACTCTCTCTCAGACCCTAAGCCGCAAGCCCCAACCTCTACCACCACTTCGCTTGTGTCAACCACATCCGGGATATTTGTAAAAATGTCATATGAATTTATACCTTAGTTTCAATTTGTCACTTGAAAAACAAATTTAAGAGAAATGTCACCTGAATTTTTCAAAATCTATACTTTGTCACCTGACTTTAACATCATCTAATTTCCATCTATTTTTAAGGGTATTTTAGTCTTTTCATTTTCAAGAGTATTTTTAAAATGGAAAAAATTATTATTAAAAAAAAAGCTAAATGTAAAAATGGATGGGGGTTTGTAAAAACCTAAGGGCCCGTCTGGTAACGTTTTCGGAGAGTGTTTTCTGAGAATATTTTCAGAGAATGAAAACAAGAAAACAAATTTGCATTTTCAGGAAATGAAAATGCGTCTGGTAGATTAATTAGAAAACATCTTTAGAAAACAAAAACAATGAAAACGTGTTTGGTAGTACAATTATTTTTCAAGTGTATTTTTGCTAATTTATGTTCTAAAAAATATTTTTTTTAATGTATAATTTGACAAATAAAAAATTATATTGTTTTTTTTAAGTTAAACTTTTTTTTATCTTCCTCCTTTCTTCTTTTTCCTTTTCTTTCTTCCTCTTCTCTCCTTTCTCTTTTCTTCTCCCTTCCCAGGCCGTCCTCTTTTCTTCTTTTGTCCTTTTCTTTCTTCCTCTTCTCTCCTTTATCTTTTCTTCTCCCTTCCCAGGCCGTTCCTTTCTTCCTCTTTTTTTCTTTTTTCCTTTTCTTTCTTCCTCTTCTCTCCTCTCTCTCTCTCTCTCTCTCTCTCTCTCTCTCTCTCTCTCTCTTAATTGGGTGGTGATGGCAATGGTGATGCTTTGATTGGGTATGGGTGGTGGAGGTGTCGATTGCTTTTTTACTAGGTGGCGAGATGTGTATTGGGTTCGATTGGGTGTTTGGTTTTGATTCCATTGGCATGGTGGTGGTGTTGGTGTTGGTGTCGGTTGGGTTTGATAGGTGGTGGTGATGTGGGGACTGGGTCTGTGAGGTTTGGTGGCAGTGGCAGAATCAGTGGCGGTTGTGATGATGATGGTCTGACAATCATGGCCATGGTGAGTTTGATTTTCGTTTCGTTTCTGTTTTGCTGGGTAGAGCGATGGGGTTGTGCATTTCGGTTTATGTTTTAGGCGTTTGTTTTCTGTGAGAATGAAAACACATTTTTTCTGTTTTTCCGAAGTACACGTGATGTTGTTTTCATTTTATGAAAACATTCTCAGTGTTTTCTGTTTTAGTCCACCGAACGGATTCTTGGTTTGTTTTTGTTTTTTGAAAATGAAAACGGGCGCTGAAAACTTAAACGAACGGGCCCTAAGTTTTCCATTTTTAACATATTGGCAAATTTTAAAAACTGATCAGACAAAAAAAATATAAAATAAAAAAAATAAGAGAAAGGAAAAAACTTGAAAAAAAGGATGTGGGTTGTCGGGGGAAGGAAGGACCCAGCAACGGAGAGGTGGGAAGGATGGGCATGGCCAAATGGGAGAGATGGAGACAGAGAAGTGGGGTGACCCCCGAATGGGCAGAGATTAGGGTGGAGATGGGTTGGAAAATCTAGGGTGAGCAACTAGGGATGGTGGGGCAGGGTTTGTTCTTGTGAGAGGAAGAGAGATATATATTAAGGGGTGAGATGGATCAGAGTTGAGGTGGTGGGTTGTTGGGGAGAAAGAGAAGTGAGAACAATGGTGGCTGGCGGTTGGGATTGGAGGATTGGAGGTGGTGTCTTTCATTTTTTGATTTTTGATTTTTATGTTTTAAAAAAAATTATTTATTTATTAAGTTAACTGTTATTTATTTTAAATTGTGTTCAAATAGAGTAGTGATGGTGGGTGTGGAAGATAAAGAGGGGGAAGAGAGAAGTTTTTTTTTCATAATTTTTCATTTTATTTTTAATTATTTAAAAGATATATAATTTTTTTAAAATGAATTTTCTATTTTTAAAATTCCATGGAAAATAAAAAGACTAAATTACCCTTCAAAATAGATGGAAAATTGGATGATGTTGAAGTCAGGTAACAAATGATAGATTTTGAAAATTCATGTGACATTTATTTTAAAAAAAAAAATTTCAGGTGACAAATTAAAACTAAGATATAAAGTTTAGGTGACATTTTCACAAACATCCCACCACATCCTGTCGGTAGCCACCGCCAACCATATTTATGGAATGAAATTTATTGATTATTATGTTAATGTTATCATATTGATATGAAATTTATTGATTATAGTTTATGTTTGTTATGTTTCTTACTGATAGTTGTTATGTTTTTTGTTTTGATTAATATGGTATTGTTTTTTTTATACTGATAATGTTATGTTTTAAAAGTGTTATTTTATTCTTTAAAAAAATTTGAAACTTTTACATTGTGACTTTTTAGTCGGAGAATCCTGGATTTGCCACTGCCTACATATCACCTTTTTGACACTTTTGTTTTTCTCCCCTAAAATCGATCTATGCTCTCATTCGCGCTCTTCCAGACTCCCTTCCTCAATTCCCTAGCATATTATTCATTAAGGTGAATCTACATGTCACTTTTGGGTCATATGTGATCAGGTTGGTATGCCAAGTATCCCTTGCGCGTCAAATTATATGCTCGGCGATATGACATGTCAACACTCTTCAAAAAAGCTCCAATCATAATTCGACCCCCAAAAAAATTATAAATACAGTTACAAGATCATAGGACAACATTTACATGGAAAAAAAAAAAAAAAAAAAAAAAAAAAAAAAAAAAAAAAAATTTAAATGAAAAAAATTTATTTAGTTATGAAAAAAAAAAAAAAAAAAAAAAGTAACTTAATGGAAATTAAACAACAAGTCTATAAATTATAAACTTTGAATAATTTCAATGACTAATTTAGTTATAAAAAAAATTCAATTACCAAATTAAAATTTCATGTAAAACTCAATAACTAAAAAGTATTAACCCTTCATTTTATAACTTGAACTAGGGATCACTTTTATTATTGGTAGTTGATTTGTTAATTATAAAAAGTTTGATCATTGTGATTTTCTTTGTACAAAGGTACAATGCAATCTGACCAAAAATAGCAAGAATTAAATTAAATTAAATTAATTAAATTACGACTTTGGCGTGGGGACGGAGGCACAGCTAGTCTCCAGTCTTTGACGGGTGAGGTAAAGAACTTTCCTCTCTATCTCTCTCTCTAAAGTTGAAAGCCCCGAAAACCAAAACTCCCTCGACATTTTCCGACTGCAACTCAATCAATCATGAGCAACGAATAGTAAGCTAAATTATTTTCCTTCTTCCCAAACATCCCCTTTCTCTTATTTTGCCTCCCCTTCTTTCAGTTTTCTTCACGTGCCTAAATTATTTTACGATTTTTATTTTCTTTTGTTTTTTGTTTTTTGTTTTTTGTTTGGTTTTTAGCGATTATCTGTTCAAGCTTTTGCTAATTGGGGACTCGTCCGTTGGAAAATCTTGCTTGCTTCTCAGATTTGCTGTGAGTGTCTTCCTTCCACCATTTCTGTTTCTCCCTTAGATAACAATTATGCTTTTTTTCATTCGTTTTTCAATAATAATGGAAAAGGCCAAGTGAAGAAATTTTAGGGTTTTGTGATTAATTTTTCTGTAATTAGTGCTCAAATTAATACTTCTTTTAATGTCATTTATTGCTTTCAGGATGACTCCTATGTAGACAGCTACATAAGCACCATTGGAGTGGATTTTGTGAGTAGATATATCTGTACATTTATTTATGTTTATGTAAATGTAAATGTATTTGTGTACTTACCTTTGGTGTTTATGGTTTATTTGCTGATATTTGCTGTCAATTTTCAGAAAATCAGAACAGTGGAGCTGGATGGGAAGACAGTCAAGCTGCAGATTGTGAGTAGAAGTTGCTTTGTGTCTAATACATGGGTTATTATGTCGTATTAGATTAATATACTTGTTTTTGGTATGGGGGGCGCAATTGGTTTTGCATGTATGCTTTGATAAATTGAAATCTATTGTTATGGGCCTATTTTGGGTGTCATTATTTCTATTTTGGATTTCTGGTAAACACTGTTCTCAGAATTTGATAAGCTTTAGGATGTAACTGCACTTTGTTAGCTCTCTATTTGCATGCCTTTTCTTTACGGAATTCTTGATGAACGGTTAAACTTAACTAGAAATCATTTTGTTTCAAAACAATTGCAAATTGTATGTTTGCGTTGTGAAAGAATAGTTCTAACTAAGACTAAATCTAAACCTTTTAAGTTAACCAAGTCTCACCTACAGAGATCAGTAGAAGTATCAAAATTGACAAGGGACAATTAATGGAAATGTTATGTGTGATGCCTCATGGAAAACTAAACAGGCTGTTTACTCTTGCTCACTGATAGATGAACATTCTGTTGGCAATTAACATATGCTGCTTTTTCTGTCATTTAGTGGGATACTGCTGGACAGGAGCGATTCAGGACTATAACAAGCAGTTACTACCGAGGAGCACACGGGATAATTGTAAGATTTGCATGTTTGCTTTTATTTTTCTCAAGCCTTTTGGTGTAACTGAAGTTGTTTTATTTATTATAAACTATGGTAAGTCTACTGTTAATCTGAGCTTAAATTGACTTTCCGCGATTATGCTCTAGTCCATGAATATGAACTGAATATTTATTGGACCTTGATTTTGTTGACAGAAAGTTTTGGTCTTTGAAATTGTTAAAGCCAAGTGCTAGAATGACTATACTGGAAAAGTTCTTAGATTGAAATTTTGGATATGAATGAGTATCTCATCAGTTTATGATGCCAATTTCATTGGCATTATGTGTATGGAATACAAGTTGCAAATTAGTGGTAAGTGAGTGGGTTGGACGTTTCCATATTGTCTTGCTGCATGACCACATGGTTTGATGAAAGAATGGTGAAAGAGCATGGATGGACCTTGTAAAGGACTTGCGGGCTCACTAAATTTCTGCAGTTGATTTGCATTATCAGGTTACCTGAGAATGTCATAATTGTTGATGCAGCTTACTGTTACCTCTGTATATATTTTATTTTCTTTAAATCATAGAGCGAAAGGTTATGTTAACTATCTTTCTTTCCTTTCTATGTTAAAATCAGTAGTGGATGAAAGTGACTTCTTTTGAAGCTATTCTGCAACATTAACTATGTGTCACTTTCGGATCTTACCACCATTGGAAAAACTAGTATCTTTTATTGATGAGCAAGATGAAGTGGTAGTTTCTCAAAATAATATGTGTGAGTTCACTTTTTCCTGTGTATGAAAGAGTCTTAATTCTATTGGAACTGCCACAGATTGTCTATGATGTTACTGAGATGGAGAGCTTCAACAATGTCAAGCAGTGGCTGAATGAGATTGACAGATATGCAAGTGACAGTGTGTGCAAACTTCTAGTTGGAAATAAGTGTGATTTAGTTGAGAACAAGGTTGTTGACACACAAACGGCCAAGGTACGAATTGTAGTTTAGTTGCCTGAACATTTATCAATCCAATTTAAGAAAGTGTAAAAATTGTGTTTTTTCCCTTTAAATGCTCATTTTGGTGACTGCACTCTTTGGGCAATTAATATGCTCACTCTCCTAAATGCATCAAACCCGTTCCATGAAATTGGTAAGCTACAGGCATGTTTGTTATGTTTTACCTTTTGTATCTATATGCATATCCCATTACGACTCCATTGCACATACTTAATGGATATTTGACTTGCTAATTTGTTACTTCAGACGTCAAGATTGACTTCATGCTTTGCATTATGTTATGGTCAATAACACTGTATTACATGTTGGAATTGCTGTGCTTTTGTTATGTATGACTGATAGGATCCATTTTCTATGGAATTAATACTCAATCCTTGCTTCAGTTTTCAACTATCAAATTAGAAAAGAATCCATATTCTGATTATTTTTATTTCATATTAGAATGGCATATATAAAATCTTCTTTGATACGAAGAAGTGTAGCTCCAAGTTTTCGTATTATCAGAGTGGGTGTTCCAGATTGAAGCTCCTGGGGATACTTTTCGGGTCAGATGCTCCTCATGACCCTCAGGATGTATATAAATTGTTTAGTTGGGGACAGTTATTATGTAGGGTTGGCACTGATGAAAATATAATCTTGCTGATTAAGCTGTCTATGAATAAGATGATATTTGTCTTAGTTGTTGATGCCAATTTGGCTGCCCAACATACTTACGAATGCAATTCAAGTAAATTTTAAGCATATATAGACTGACAATTGTGATAATTGCTTGCTGAGGCTTAACTTTTGTTTCTCATGTTTACTGACTCGCTGTAGGCTTTTGCTGATGAACTTGGGATCCCTTTCCTTGAGACAAGTGCTAAAGACTCCATCAATGTTGAGCAGGCTTTCTTAACAATGGCTAATGAGATAAAGAAAAAGTAAAACCACTAGTCAACTCTTTCATGCTATGATCACTTGCTTGAGACTTTCTTGTTATAAACTCCCCTCCCAGAATTTCTGCTCCAAAGATAATCATAAAATATCTGGGTAAAAACTATGTTGCATGTTTCTTCTTTCAACTACCCTAAAAGAAAAGGAGGCTGATATTTCAGAAACATCTTGTTGAGGTTCATAATTGACATTTGAGTTGATAGGGATGGTAGATGTAAATATATGTATATGTCCCCTTTCCTTTTTTTTTTTTCTTGCTTTTTTGCTTGTGGTTTTCTTGCTGGTAGTCTCTTGTTGGTAACTTTTTTTTTTTTTTTGCTTTTGCAGAATGGGCAGCCAACCAACAGCTAACAAGTCGAGCGGAACTGTTGAAATGAAGGGTCAGCCGATTCAGCAGAATGGCAATTGTTGTGGTTAGCCATTCCCAGTATCAAATCTGTTATAAAATTGTAAGACAGCGGAACTGTGTTGACTGAATTGTCATGTGGATGTTTCAGAAACTTGTAAAATATTGCCTAGCTTGAATTCTTATCTATGGGAAAATTCGAATTAGAACAGTTAGATGATGATGATGGGTACTACATGCCTGCAAACTCAATAGTTTCAAAATTAGTTTATAACCATGCCACATGCCGGTCACATGAAGGTCACATGAAGATAACAAAGTTGATGTGAATTGATGGAAGTTGAAACTGTAGACACTGAAGTGGAAAATGATCCTAATTATAAACGCAAAATTTTTTAACAAAATTTAATTAGTCCGAGTAAGAAATGAAGGTAGGGTTGGAAGGGTTTTTCATTTAGTGAGGATTAAAATGGAAAAATTATAAGGTATTGATATCCTATCTTTCTGTAGAGATTGAAATCGACTAGTTTCCTTTTTTGACTAATATATATTCTACCTTTAACTCGGACAAAATTTAGAAGTGGACTTCTATTAACATGCTACCTTGAATCGAGTGAGTTATGCAATTCAATCCGGTGCTAGGCACCAAACGTTAGGTTGTGCTTCATGCACATGATGGTTTCTTTCATTCGGTTCAAATTGGTAATTGGGGTTACGAAAACCAACTGCAATATTATATGGAAGTCATACAATGAACAAGGAGAACTGGGTTGGTAATCCAAAAAAATCAGTTTGTTCAGGTACTTGTCCAAAACAAAGAAAATCTTGAGAACGGTTTGTAATAGCATATTTTGAAGGCAAAGCTTCCTGTGTAAAAGGGCAAACATCACTTTGGCTCCGACCAGTGAAGTATTTCTACAATACAATCTAAACCTCCTGAGGCTTCATGTTCGATGTACCATCCATCTATATACCTAATGAAATATACCCCTTACGGAAAAATTCCGGGCAACAGATAACAAATTATAGTTCAAACGAGGAAGGAATAAGCCAAAAAGGGCAACAACCAAAAAAGAAAAAAAAAAGAGTTTAAATTATAACCCACAAACAGATGGAAGAATCGGAAAGAGGAAGACAACAAAAACAGGAAAACTCATAACTTAATCTTCAGGATGAAGAACAGCAAGTCTTCTTTGTATTGACCTCTGATCCTCCAGTGACTGCAATAGTCTTCCCTTCTTTAATGCTTGCAGGTGTTGGCTCATCTGATGAAAGAGACTTCTTGCTAATAATCCGGTATATCTCTGCAAGAATTGTCTGGAAAGCCTTCTCAACGTTGATTGCTTCAAGAGCAGATGTTTCAATAAATGAAAGGCCTTCTTTTTCGGCGTAACCCTGGGCATCTTCTGTGGCAACCGCACGTAGATGCTTCAGATCAGTCTTGTTCCCAATCATCATGATCACAATGTTTGAGTCAGCATGGTCTCTCAATTCCTTCAGCCATCTGCTCACATTCTCAAATGTTGTTGGTTTTGTTACATCATAGACAAGTAGAGCTCCCAGGGCGCCTCTATAGTAGGCACTAGTAATGGCTCTATATCGCTCCTGTCCTGCTGTGTCCCATATCTGAGCTTTCACAGTTCTTCCCTCAACCTGACAAAGAGAACAGATGAGTACTCATCTTTTAATAAAATACACCAGGAAAGCTCAGTTCTTAAAAAGATAATTGAAGGCAAGAACTCAAGAGCTGGAAAATATTGTGGAAGATGACAGATTAGGATAAAATCTGAGGAAATTGTTAACTTTTGTGTATTTGTATTGTAAAATATGTGAAAATTTGTGTATTTGTGTTGCGTAATGGATAAATAATCATTGAGGATCACTGAGGTATCAAGTCTTTATGAAGTGTAAGCTTGAATATTGCCTTTCATCCACTCAAGTCAGGATGCTTTTGCACGAGGGAGAGCTTTTCGACGTGATTCTAATTGCAAATGAGGTGGTGGACGATAGAGGTGATACTTTGGTTGGATGAACCCGACCAATCCAAACTTTGGACAACTTGGGGAAGAATATTTAGTAAGTTCAAAAAGCACGAACATAATCTCTAAACTTGGATAAAAAGTTGGGGAAACATAAGAAGAGGAATCTCCAACACAAGCAACTTGAGCAACTTATACATGAATGTTAATACATATTCATATATGAGGAAGGACCGAGAGGGTTTAGGATTGAGCATCTAGGGATTTTAACAAATGGTGGTTTTTTGGATTGACCTAGGGATTTTAGATGGCCTTTTAGAAGCAAAAGGGTTTGGCAAAAGATAAAGAGAGTGATGCAAAATTATTTGAAATCTGTGAATTTTTTGGTGATGATGAACGGACGGCCAAGGGAGAAATTTGAAGCATCTAAAACCTATGGCAGGGTGATTCCTTATCAGCCTTTTTGCTTACTCTGGCATTATGCTTCAAGCGGTTAGCTGAGAGAGTGCTAAAGCCTTGAAGAGCTCTCTATTGGAAAGGGCCTTTCAGTGGATATGGATGGAGGGGCTTTCAATTGGTTGGGGTGTCAGGAGGTGCAGTTTGTTGACAATATCTTCTTTTGTTTTTGGGGATGGGAAGGTGGTTATTTTTTTTTGGTTACAAGGAGGGCCGAAGCCCAAGAGAAAACCAAAAGAAAACTACACTGGGACAAGCCTAGCAGTGGTTTTAAATCTAGTGCTTATCTTGCTATTAAATGTTTGTTCTAGTATTTCTGTTTCCTTTAAAGGTGTAAAAAACTGTTTAAATCAGAATCTTTATGAAGCTAAAATTTTCGTATTCCGAAAGTGGAAACTGAGTTTTTTTCTTTCTTTGTTTTTCAAAATTAAAGGCCGGTATATAAATTTGGTGTCAACATAAAATGTCACGTCAAAAGAGAAACTGATTAGCACTAACACTATTAGATAAACAATTCTATGCGCATTGTTTCTCTTGATTAATTTCTCTTGTTTCAGTAAAAACACACTCCATCTTTATTCCACATTGTTCAATTCTTGAACTAAGAATAATAATAAAGTAACTATATGCTCCGCTTAGATTTCAAAAGAAACAGTAACCAGATCAAAAAATTGAGCTTGGTCCTCAATAGAGTGAAGAAAACACAAAATTGAATCCCTCGCCAAGATTTCAACAAACTGATTACTATAACCAAGAAAACTAGCAGATCTGCAACAATTTCACATTATACAAATTGAAAACCAATCCAGATCCTAGTTCACTTACGCATTTCTAACAAAATCCAGATCCAAATTCAACCAAAAAAAGCATTAGAAAACAAGCATAAAGAACGAGATCAAGTCCGGTTTCGTAACAAATACAACCAAAATTGGGTGTGTGGGTGTGTAGATAGTGTATATTTACAGGAATAAAGAGAGAAAAATGGTGGACCTGGAGAGTACGGGTGGCAAACTCGACGCCAATGGTGGACTTGGACTCCAAGCAGAACTCGTTGCGAGTAAATCGGGAGAGGAGGTTCGATTTCCCTACGCCCGAATCGCCGATTAATACTACTTTGAACAAATAATCGTATTCCTCGTCCGGTCTTCTCGCCATATCTCTCTCTTTCCTTCTCCCCTGTTTTTTTCTTTTCTTTCTTATTTTCGAATTATTTTCTTTATTTCTTACCAAAACAAGAAGAAAGAAGAAGAAGAAGCAGAAGATGCGTGTGGGTCCGAGGAAAAATCAAAAGGGGTGATGTGGGTTGGTTGGCATTTTGCAGAGATAGTTTTTTGAGTCCAAAATGCCCCTGCCAGTTAAAGTTTTTGCCCCAAATGACCCTGCCAATTTTAATGGTGGGTTCCTCTCTTGTTTACACTGGAAAGAAGGGTAGAAAGGGAAACGAAAATAAGAAGAATGGAAAGACATTTTTGAGCAATTCTGAAGCCTGTCTGCATGATTGCGTCATGCTTATACATCTGAAAACAGTTGTCCCATGTCTTCTTTATTTTTTTTGTCCAAAAAAATATGTCTTCTTTATTTATCTATATATATATATATATAGCAAAAGACAGAAAATAGGAAAACATTCAAAATATCAGAAAATACTCTTGGTTAATGTAAATATTAAGAATTGAAATTATTAATTTAATAAGGATAATATGGTAAATTCACACTTTTTCATATTAAAAAAATAAAAAATAAAAATAAAAATCAGATAATGGATCCTATTTTTATGGAACACAATTACTAGTCTACCCATTATCTTTTTTAATTCTAAATAGATTAAATTTTTTTTTAAACGCCTCTCGTAAGGGTGGAAGCGCATGCGAAAAGACTAGTTTATTTTGGTTGGGAAGAATATGAGCTCCTGCGTTTGAATCTCCCCTCACTAATATCGCTTTAGGCCCAGTTTGGGATTGCTGTCACTTTTTAAAAAGATGCTTCTGCTGTGCTTTGAAAATAATTAGCTGTAAAGTAAAGTAGCTCCATGTTTGGTAAACAATATTTTTAAAGTACTGTTAGTACAAAAAGAAGTGTCAAAACCGTTTGGGTAAATTTTAATATAAAATTGTTGTAACTGTGAATAATGACTAAAATAGACATTATGTTAAAAGTGTTATGTACTAATCATGTGGTAGTGATGGAGTGGAGGTGGTGGTGGTGATGAAGGTGGAGTTGGTGGTTGTGGTGGTGGTGGTGGAGGTGGTGGTGGTGGTGTTGGTTGTGGAGGTAGTGGTGGATGTGGAGGTTTTGGAGGAGGTGGTGGTTGTGGTGGTAGTGGTGGTGGTGGTGGTGGTGGTGGTGGTGGTGGAGGAGGTAGTGGTGGAGGTGGTGGTGGCGGTGGCGGTGGTTGTGAAGGAAGTGAATGTGGTGGTGCAAGTGGTGGAGTTGGATGTGGAAGTGGAGGTGGTGTCATTTTTTAAAATGAATGATAGTATTTTGGGAATTAAAAAATTCATTAAAGGTTCATCTCTGCTTATTTTGAAAGCAACTTTGAAAAGCAACCCAGAGCCTGCTTTTAAAAGCTGCTGTCAAAAGGCCACTGCTTTTAAAATAATCGGAATATTTTATTTTTACCAAACACCTTAAACTGCTTAACTTTAAAGTGAAGCAAGTTTTTGGCGAAAAAAAGCAATTCCAAACGGGGTCTTAATCTATATATATAAGTAAAAGGTAGAGAATGATGAAACATTCAAAATATCAAAAAATACCCTTGATTAATGTAAACATTAATAATTGAAATTATTAATTAAATGAGAATAATATGGTAAATTCACACTTTTTCATATTTAAAAAATTAAAATTAAAAGAAAAATCATATAATTGATCCTATTTTTATGAAACACAACTATCCATTGTCTTTTTTAATTCTAAAATAAATTTAAATTATTTTAAATAAATATTATAAAAAATAAAATAAAAAAACCTTTCGCACACACACAAAATTTCAATAGTGGGACATAATGGATCAACAAAAGCCGTCAATTTTATAGATGGTGAACCAACAAAATTAATGCATTTAAGGGTATTACGCATGGTAAAGGGCTTGTAGCTAAAGTAGTTAAGAATATTTATCAATACATTCTTAGGTCCTAAGTTCAACTCTCATTTTCTCAAATATCGCTTGTATTAAATAAAAAAAAATAAAAAAAAGTGTTGCGGACGAAGTTGTCATATAAGACAAATAAAAAAAATAAAAATAAGTGTTGCAGACGAAGTTGTCATATAAGACAAATGGTTCAAATATTTATTATCTACATTTATAAAGCAAAAGGCAGAGAATGATGAAACATTCAAAATACCAGAAAATACCCTTGGTTAATTCAAATATTAATATTGAAATTATTAATTAAATGAGGATAATATGGTAAATTCACATTTTTATATTAAAAAATTAAAATTAAAAACAAAATCAAATAGGTCCTACTTTTATGGAACATAACTGTCCATGCTATCTTTTCTTAATTCTAAAAATAAAATAAAAAATAAAAAATAAAACCAATTGGCACATGCATGAAGGGGCTAGTATGATAATTATGATGATTGAAAAAAAAAATTTGTCCAAGATAATTTATAAGCAAATAAAAATAGTATAAGTACCTCCAATGCTATCACATTCACTGTCAAATAAAAGTCAATAACCTTGAGCTTGTGGCTCCCGCCAAATTTGCACTCCCATTATCCCATATGCCCATGCTCTACGCATTCATTAAGTCCCATGTCATTCTCATTTACCTCTCCATGCTCACCCAATTTATATCACATCTAGAGACTAGACCTAATTTTTCCTTTTTCTTTCACGTAAGTATAAGGTTTATCTAAAATTTAGGAATGACATGACATCTTTCACGAAAAACAGGTTTTGCATTTCCAAATATGAAGGTGGGTTTCTTGTTATAGTTATCGTGTTTGAACTTCAATGGCACGTGTACTTACATTACAAATAATAAGAAAGAAGAAGAGAAATAATTTTCATTCATGACTTTTTTGAAAATGAAATCTTGTTGATATTCTCGAATAACATGAAAAAAAATTGTCAAAACCAATTTAAAATGAGGGAAACTTACTTGTTCAAAATAGCAAAAAAATGAATTGAGCCGAATTATAAATAAATCACATACTGCCACATCATTTGTTCAAAATAGCAAAAGATAGAGAATGGTGAAACATTCAAAATACCATAAAATGCCCTTGGTTAATTCAAACATTAAGAATTGAAATTATTAATTAAATGAGGATAGTATGGTAAAGTCACATTTGTTATATTTAAAAAATTAAAATTAAAAACAAAATAAGATAATAGGTCATACTTTTATGGAACATAACTACCCATATTATTTTTTCTTAATTCTAAAAATAAAATTAAAAATAAAAAAGAATTAAAAAGATTGTCGTTTTCCACACACACAAAATTTCAATAGTGGGACATAATGGATCAACAAAAGCTGTCGATTTTATAGAAGGTGAACCAACAAAATTAATGCATTCAAGGGTATTACGCATGGTAAAGCGCTTGTAGCTAAAGTAGTTAAGAATATTTATCCATACATTATTAGGTCCTAAGTTCGACTCTCATTTTCTCAAATATCGCTTGTATTAAATTAAAAATTAAAAAAAGTGTTGCGGACGGAGTTGTCATATTATGGTTTGATAGGATGATTTTTTGGTTATATGAATGTGACTCTTCAAATTTGATTGGCTTGACATGTCTGCAGAGTTGATTCATCAACTGTATGAATCATTCCGACGCTCATTACTTCAAACATGGCGGCTTCCAAAATTTCTCTTTGCTTCCCAAACAATGCACAACAACACAAGTTCTTTATTTTTCCAACAAAAAATATTCCAATTTAATCTTGTAATATACAATATTTTATGCATTTTTTTGGTTACTGGTTGAACATGAGACCTCGTTCAATCAAATGGAGACAGATATCACTAGATCAACCAAAGACTAATTGATACAAAGATCTTAAAAGAAGGATATTCCATATATTATCTAACTTTTGGAAACCTTTTGTTTGTGTTTTTCTCTTTTCAAGGGAAAAATAAGTAACAAAAATTAACTCATGCTGTCAAAATTTACCTGTTTATAGTTCATTCTTGCAAATCTGTTTATATATAGAAACTATATAGCAAAATATATTGCAAAATTAAGGCCAAATCATTCTAGCTCAACCCTTGAGTTAAGACCAAATCATTATTTTCTCACAGATCCAAAATAAATTCCTATGTTTAGAAAGTAATAAGTTTTATGTTACTCCAGTTAGGATTAGACTAGGTTTCGATTCTCTTTCTTTAAAAAAAAAAAAAAAAAAAAAAAAAAAAAAAAAAAAAAAAAACGTACAAAGAAGACTATAAAGAAAAGAAAGAAGAAAAAAAACAAAAAACAATAGCAGATACCGGTAAAAGTAAAAAAAAATAAAATAATTTACTTACTGAGTTTACTTTCAATCGAAAATAAAAATTACCCCTTTACAATTGACTGTCAATTTCTGATAATTAGTTGGATGGTCAATCCGGATGCTAGTTAAATATGTACATTTAAGCCATAATCTTGCCCAAATTAAGAAACATGAGAGACAGATTTGAACACCATATATGTTGAGTCAATTGGAATCTGTTTCTCTTTGGAAAATTCTTTTTAGTGCACAGTAAAGGATAAAGAGTAAAACAAACCGCCTTCACCAGAATGACGCATACATATATGGATTTTCATGAGTTGGTTGTTTATGCAATTCTTCTAGCTCAACCCTCAAATTAAGACCAAGTCGTCATTTGTATCCTTTTTCTCTCCCAAATCCAAAAAAATCAATCCAATGGTCAGACATAAAGACTCCATGATTCTTACCATGTTCAATTGCTCATTCTCAGTCAATTATTTATTTGTATGATTTCCTCTGAAGATTCTGAAAATGAATGCATTAGAAGGTTTCATATAATAACATAGTTGCCTTTATGAATGGGAACGTCAACCTATTAACAATTCCTTTTCTTCTTCAACAATTCATTTCTTACAACTTTTTCCTTTCTCTTTGTGTCTTAGAATACTAGGGATGAGCTAATCATTCTCTCTCTCTCTCTCTCTCTCTCTCTCTCTGTTGTTAATCTCATGAAGTGTTCATATGATCAAAACTGATGAAGAAGAGGCTGCAGGTTTTAATGGAGAAATCGTCGATTGCCGTAAAGTGCCATAGTCAACTCTGGTTTGTCCTAATAGCTTCATTTCTTTTTGTCTTCATATTGCTTTTATCAGACTATTCTGCTCTAAGTGCCGGACGAAATATACAAGGGGTCACCTATTTTATCAGCAACTTTGCAAATGTAATTGTCAACCAAGACCATTCTAGCTCTCCTCCTCATCATGATCATACAACTCCAACATCATCATCATCCAATGAAATCAAGAGTTGGCTGACCCTTAATGTCACAAATTCAACTACTACAGCAAACAATAATACTGTCAAGTCTGTGGTGATCAACAATCCACCAGTACAACCTATGTCTAGTGAGATTGGGAACAAAAACTCTGATTCTGATTCGTGCTCCGGTCGATATATTTATGTTTATAATCTTCCTAAGAGGTTCAACCAGGACTTGCTCAAAAATTGCCATTCACTTCAGAGATGGACTGATATGTGCCCCTACATATCAAACATGGGACTTGGTCCTCGAATTAAGAATTCTAAAAAGCAGCTAGTTGGAAATGGTTGGTTTGCTACAAACCAGTTTTTATTGGAAGTTATTTTTCACAACAGGATGAAGCAGTACAAGTGTTTAACCAATGATTCATCATTGGCCTCTGCTGTCTTTGTACCCTTTTATCCTGGCCTTGATGTGGGACGATACCTCTGGGACTATAACATATCAGTGAGAGATGCTTCTCCTCTAGAATTCGTGAAGTGGCTTTCGCATAGGCCGGAATGGAAAAAAATGTGGGGAAGAGACCATTTCTTAGTTGGAGGAAGGATTGCTTGGGATTTCAGGAGGCAAACAGACAAGGACTCTGCTTGGGGTTCCAAGCTTATGTTCTTACCTGAAGCCAAGAACATGACATTGTTGTCGATCGAATCCAGCTGCTGGAACAATGAGCAGGCAATACCATACCCAACATACTTCCATCCCTCCAAGGACAGTGAGGTGTTTGAGTGGCAGAGAAGAATGAGAAAGAGGAAAAGGCGGCACCTCTTCTCCTTTGCTGGTGCTCCAAGACCCGATTCGAAAGACAGTATCAGGGACATGATTATAAATCAATGCCAATCTTCAACCTCATGCAAACTTGTAGGCTGCCACCGTGGTGCAAACAAGTGTGATGACCCCCTAAATGTGATGAGGGTATTTGAAGCATCAGTTTTTTGCTTGCAGCCTTCGGGGGACTCGTACACGCGGCGATCAACCTTTGATTCCATCTTGGCAGCCTGCATTCCAGTTTTCTTCCATCCTGGTTCGGCTTATGTGCAGTACTTATGGCATTTCCCCAACACCCCATCCAAATACTCTGTGTTCATATCAGAAAAAGATATCAGGGACCAAAAGGTGATGATCAATGAGACATTGCATAGAATTCCCAAGCGTCAAGTATCAGCAATGAGAGAGGAGGTCATAAGGTTGATCCCAAGGGTAATATACGCAGATCCAAGAGCACCAAGATTGGAGACAGTTGAAGATGCATTTGACATAGCAGTTAAGGGAGTGCTTGACAGAGTAGAGAGAATTAGGAGGGAGATGAAAGAGGGTAAGGATCCTGGTATTGCTTTTCCAGAACTAAACACTACAAAATTTGATATGCCTGGTCCTGGGAGAGAGAGAAAATTAAGGAGCTTTAGACAACACAAGTAAGAGTAGATTAATATCTTGTATTTACAGTTGCAGCAACAATTTTTTTGTTTTCATTTGAATCATCAGAACCCTATATACCAATGTGCAAGTTTTTTTTTCTTTCTCAAATATGTGTTTGTGGGTTTAAGTTTTTTTTTATACAATGTACATATTCGATTTGTTTATGGTAAATTTGATTTTGACCAATGATTATTGTCAACTTTGGTTCAAATTTTGAGACCCCATTTGAAGTGTTTTCTTCTCCATGAGTAAATTCATATCCACTTTTCACTTGTTCAAAACCATTATGAGAGTGAGCAATTGGTCCAAAGTGGCAAGAACAATGGAAGATATAGTTCAGACCAAAACATGGAAAATATAGTTGGCGAAATTTCGAGGCCTACATAAGAAGGTGATGAAAAATTTCAGCCGCGCAGCTTTACAACGGTAAATATTTATAAAAATAGTATAGCCGAGGGGCTATACTTGTTTCAACAGCGGCTATACTGGGTTTCACACGTGGTCACATAGGCGCTAGCGGTTTTACAAATAGTATAGCCGCGCGGCTATAGTCGGGTATTTTATCCCAAAAAAGCGTGCAGCCGGGCGGCTTTACTTTTTAAAAAAGTACAACTTGCGGCTATACCTGTTTTGACACGTGGGCACCTAGTCGGGTGCCTCTTTCCCTATAAATAATATAGCCGCGCGGCCATATACCGGATTGAAAAAAAAAATTGTCTAGCAGTTCGGCGTTACTCGAATTATTTTATTATTATTATTTTTTTAAGAAATAGTATAGCAGAGCGGAAATTGAATACAACAACTCGGAAGTGTAAATTAGTTCAAATACAACAACTCTATATTTTAATATTTTAAATGGTACTTTATTATATTTATAAGAAAATAGAAAAGTTATTGGATGTGTCAAGAGGAAATTGAATATCCAAGATATTATATTGGTGGCGCGGTGGGCTTAAATTGGGCCGGATGGTAGGCTGGATTGAAATATGACCCGACCCATAAACGGCTATGGTCATTTTCAGTCGCAACAAAAACCCTAGCCAGCATTCCCTATATTGTCTCTTGCTCTCACTCATTTGCATCACTTGTGCTCTCACGGAAGAACGCTCCGCCTCACAGGTCTCTCTCTCGTTCTCTTTCTTTCTCTGTGAGTTGAATTTCTAGAGAAAATACTTCTCTTCTCTATGTTTTTTTATTGTTATCAATTACTGAACAGAAGACTTCAATTTTGGCTTTGCATGTTTCAGATCTCAAGTCAGAGCGAAACGTTTTTCCGCAAAAGCCATGGCTCTGGTGAGTTTGTTTCTTTGGGCGTTTTAATGTGAATTGTCTCTGCTTTTACTGCAGTTCATATCTTATCGTTATATTTATCGATTTATGTTTGGTTTCATCTTAAAAGTTCTTAATTCTAAGATCATGTGTGTTTTGTTTTTCCCCTTGATGTTGGATACAAGTCAATTTTGAATCTTCTTAGTTGGATATGTTTTCAGAATCAAACTTTATTTTCACTAAATGTTTTTTGATCTGATAGTATTGATAGAATATTTAAAATAATATTATAAACCCATCTGAACACATGCAATTTTTGGGGTTTGTTTTTCTTTGTCACTGAATTTGAGTCTGTTACAGTTTATCTTATCCTCTGTGGAAGTAGCTTGATATGCTATTGATTTCCGCTATTTGTCATCAGTAACAATTTTCTGGTCTTCCTTTACTAATAGATATGTGTGATCTACTTTGCAGGTCTTGCATGCAGGGAAGACAAACAAAAATGCTTTCAAGACCCTCATAGTTGCGGAGTACACTGGTGTAAAAGTCGAACTTGCACCTGACTTTGAGATGGGTGTCACCAACAAGACTCCTGAATATTTGAAGTTAAACCCTATTGGGAAGGTAGGCTGTTGTGTAATTTCTATTTACTAAATTAAATGCTGGTTTGGGTTTATGTTTTAATGGTTCTATGATATAATTCTAGGTTCCCCTGCTGGTAACACCTGATGGTCCCATCTTTGAGAGCAACACCATTGCACGTTATGGTAAGGCTATACTGTTTATCTAATTACGTTTATAAAATCTTATTGGTGTTCTGTAAATTAATTTTGTTTATGTCTGGCTTCAGTTGCTCGCTTGAAGGCTGACAATCCTCTTATTGGTTCTTCTCTGATTGATTATGTAAGCAACTCTATTTCTGTCTGTTGTTTTTTTGTGTGTAAACCTCGAAGCTCAAGTGCAATTTTATTTTATGTGTTTTAATTTGTCTCAATCCTTATGAGTGAACCTGCCTGTGATGCTTCTGCCCTTTGTTATGCTTACTATTTATGTTATTTATTAGGCCCATATCGAGCAATGGATTGATTTTGGATCATTGGAGATTGATGCTAACATAATTAGCTGGTTTAGACCAAGATTCGGATATGCTGTGTACCTTCCTCCAGTAAGTGACATATTCTTGAACTTGTTTTCTGATGTTGGATCATGCGCCTATTTTGTTTATTCTTTTAAGACAGTTGATCATTTAAAATAGAGAAGAATAGACCTATATTTGTCTTTAGTAGTAGGGCAACAGAGTAGAGATTAATGGATTATGTTAATTATTTTTTCACTATGCTAGTTGGGCTTTGTAAGGCCTGTAGCAAGGGATCCAGTTAGGTGTGAAAGTCAGAAAATGCAATCTTGTTATCTCCCTTGGTCTAAATGGACCATTAAAATCTAAAGGCACACATATGACTAAATTGGTGTGTGAGTTCTTTTTCTCTGATATAATGACCTGATTCAGAGTCTAGATAATCTAGTTTTTTATGATCCCCCATTCATTCCTGCTGCCTTGATGGTTCATTGGAGTCTGTCTACTTTGCTTTTGTATGAATTATGATGGAGTCTGTTTGGCGTTTAATTTTTATGTTTTCTATTTAGGCCGAGGAAGCTGCGATTTCTGCTTTAAAGAGAGCGCTAGGTGCCTTGAATACCCATCTTGCTTCGAACACATACCTAGTTGGGCATTTTGTAACCCTTGCTGACATTATTGTCACATGCAATTTGTTTTTTGGGTTCACAAAGCTCATGACAAAGAGCTTCACTTCGGAATTCCCCCATGTTGAGAGATACTTCTGGACCCTGGTCAATCAACCAAACTTCAAAAAGGTATTGGGTGATGTCAAGCAGACTGAATCTGTTCCACCTGTTCCATCTGCAAAGAAGCCTTCCCAGCCCAAAGAAACTAAATCCAAGGCCAAGGAGGAGCCCAAGAAAGAAGCTAAAAAGGAGCCAGCAAAACCCAAAGCAGAAGCTGCTGAGGAAGTGGAAGAGGCACCAAAACCAAAACCCAAGAATCCTCTTGATCTGCTGCCCCCAAGCAGTATGGTATTGGATGACTGGAAGAGACTTTACTCTAACACAAAGACCAACTTCCGTGAGGTTGCTATTAAAGGTAATTATCTCAATGCTTGGTTATTGTCATCACACTTAAACTTTCAGTGGTGTTAGGTGGTCCTCACAAGCCAGGCTCGGCTGCTCCAACTGATATTGTCATGGGACCATTTCTGTCGCATATATTACTTTAGGAGTACTCTGTTTGGATTATGTTCTCAAAATTTAGAAACATTGATATAATTTGGTTTGTTTGCCGTTGGCTCCTCTTTGGAATGTAGGAAGTCCTAAACATCAGTTGGGGTTGTTAACCTGCAATAGATATTTATATCCTTGTTTCCCTGCTTTTTGCAGGATTCTGGGACATGTATGATCCTGAGGGATATTCTCTTTGGTTCTGCGAGTACAAGTACAATGATGAAAATACTGTATCCTTTGTGACACTGAACAAGGTCGGTGGATTTCTTCAGCGCATGGATCTGGCCCGCAAGTATGCTTTTGGGAAGATGCTAGTGATAGGCTCAGAGCCACCATTTAAGGTGAAAGGGTTGTGGCTCTTCCGTGGGCAAGAAATTCCTCCATTTGTGATGGAGGAGTGCTATGACATGGAGCTCTACAATTGGACGAAGGTTGACCTTTCAGATGAAAACCAGAAGGAGCGTGTCAACCAGATGATTGAAGACCAGGAGCCTTTTGAGGGCGAGGCTCTGTTGGATGCCAAGTGCTTTAAGTGAAATATTTAATCCCTTACTGCAAGGGTGTGTTTTTGGTCTGTCATCTTTTTTTTGTTAGGGTTCGATTCCGTGGTCAATTTTAGACAGTTAAGTCTTTGGTGTATTTGAGTGACAAGTATATTTATAATCCATGTTTTTGCAGTTTGATTTTGGAGAATGGTTTAGACATTTAAAATGCCAATCTTCAACCTTATGCAAACTTGTAGGCTGCCACCGTGGTGCAAACAAGTGTGATGACCCCCTAATTGTGATGTAGGTATTTGAAGCATCAGTTTTTTGCTTGTAGCCTTCTGGGGACTCATATACACGGCGATCAACGTTTGTTTCCATCTTGGCAGGCTGCATTCCAGTTTCTCTTCCATCCCGGTTCCTCTTAGGTCATCTTCAGTCATGGGGCCAAGTGTGGTCCAGGCTAAATATTTAGCCCTTCAAAATATTAATTTTTTAAAGAATATTGCAAGGTTAAGTTTTTAAATCTCCAGAGCTACATTTTTAAGGTTCTTCATTTTTTATTATTTTGAGAAAAATTATGATATAACACTCATACGTTTCACAAATATGTATTGTTTAATTTAATTAAACTATTATTTAGAGAATATTTCATGACCAAGAATTTTCTATAATTTTTTTTAAACAACACTTGAAAACATTTAAAAAGGTGACCACATTTATAAATTTTTAAAAAAAAAGAAAAAAGAAAAAAAGAAGTTGGGTTTCAATGGTCTGACCTCTAACGGTCATGACTAGTAATTTTTTTTAATTTTTTTACGAATTGAAAACATTTAAAAAGGTGTCCACATTTATATATATAAAAAATGGTTGAATTTCAATGGTCTGATCAATAAATTTTTTTATAAATTTTTCTTAAACAACACGAATTGAAAACATTTAAAAAGGCTTTTAAAAATATATCGTTGACATCAACGCTTTTATTATTGGCTGTTGGATATGCATTTACATGAGATGATTTATGCTCTTGCCCACACTTGATAATTTATCTTCTTTAAAAGCACATGCATGGGGTCAACAAAAAATTTGGCATAAGCTAGAGTTGTTTTGCATTATTTTAGGGCTATATTTGGGATATAGCCCATGACTGGAGATGGTCTCATGTGCAGTACTTGTGGCATTTCCCCAACACCCCATCCAAATACTCTGTTCACATCAGAAAAAGATATCAGGTACCAAAAGGTGATGATCAATGAGACATTGCATAGAATTTCCAAGCGTCAAGTATCAGCAATGAGAAAGGAGGTCATAAGGTTGATCCCAAGGATAATATATGCAGATCCAAGAGCACCAAGATTGGAGACAGTTGAAGATGCATTTGAGATAGCAGTTAAGGGAGTGCTTGACAGAGTAGAGAGAATTAGGAGGGAGATGAAAGAGGGTAAGGATCCTGGTATTGCATTTCCAGAACTAGACACTATAAAATTTGATATGCCTAGTCCTGAGAGAGAGAGAAAATTGAGGAGCTTTGGACAACACAATTATGAGTAGATTAATATCTTGTATTTGCAGTTGCAGCAACAATTTTTTGTTTTCATTTGAATCATCAGATTCAGAACCCTATATACCAATGTGTTTTTTTTTTTTTTTTTTTTTTTTTTTTTTTTCTAATATGTGTTTGTGGGTTTAATTTTTTTTTTTACAATACACATATTCGATTTGTTTATGGTAAATTTGGTTTGACCAATGATTATTGTCAACTTTGGTTCAAATTTTGAGACCCCATTTGAAGTGTTATCTTCTCCATGAGTAAATTCATATCCACTTTTCACTTGTTCAAAACCATTATGAGAGTGAGCAATTGGTCCAAAGTGGCAAGAACAATGGAAAATATAGTTCAGACCAAAACATGGAAAATATAGTTGGCAAAATTTCAAGGCCTACATAAGAAGGTGACGGGCGCAGCTTTACCACTGTAATTTTTTCAAAAAAAAAATAGTATAGACGCGCGGCCATTGCTGGGCGTACCCCCCAAAAAAACAATAGTCTAGCCGCGCGGCTATACTTGTTTTCACTCTACGCTGGGAGGGTCCTTTTTTGTTTATAACAAATATAGCCGCGCGGCTAAATTTGTTTTTTTTTTCCCAAAATAGTACAGCGGCCCAACATTACTTGGGTTTCAAAAAAAAAATAGTACAACTGCTCGGCTATACCTGTTTTGACATGTGGGCACCTAGGGTGTTCCTTTCTCCCCTATAGAAGAAAATAGAAAAGTTATTGGAAGTGTCAAGAGGAAATTGAATATCCAAGATATTATCTTGGTGGCACGGTGGGCTTAAATTGGGTCGGATGGTGGGCTGGATTGAAATATGACCCGACCCATAAATGACTATAGTCATTTTTAATCGCAACAAACACCCTAGCACTATATTGTCTCTTGCTCTCTCACTCATTTGCATCACTTGTGCTCCCATGGAAGAAGAGATTTTCTATTTAAACCTCACACTTCTCTTTGTTCACCTCATGTTCTAAATTCACCCTAATTTCTAATTTAAATTTTCCTAATTGCTAAGAAAACCCCACTATCTTCCCAGACTACCTTTAAATACACCCTAAATTGGAAAAAAAGAAAAATATATATTTTTTCTATTTAAACCCCACTTACTTCCTACTACAGACTATAGAAAAAAGCATATATCCAAACTGAATAGTGGGGGAAAAGATGAAGAATGCCCTTATTTTTTGAGAAGAAGATGAAGGTCCATGAGCTTGCCGCAAGACGGACAGACTCGCTTGAAGGTCCATGAGCTTGCCGCAAGACGGGCAGACTCGCTACTATTACATTATATCGTTTACTGTCAATGGAAAGAGATCCTAGACCAAATAAATATTTCTAAATTAGAAATTAAATGAGGAGATATTTATTTGCATCGTAGAGAAGAAGGTGCAACTTACCTCGGCAAGAACAAATTTCACTTACATGAAGGTAGTGTAAATAGCCTTTCCATCAGCTCCCATGCAGATTTTAAAGAGGTAGACTCCTCAATGTTTTATATCTTTAAAGAGAAGAGTAATTTGGCAATAGGATATAGAGGAGTTTGTATTTTTCTAAAACTAATATGAAGAGTGGTGGGGTGTGTGTATAAATGTATTAGGGTTAAGTATTAAGTTGGATGACATTTTTTGTCTTTTTACACAATAATAAAACTGATTCACTATTATACCCAATATAGGAGTCCAAATTATAAAAAAACCTATATGAAATGGACTTTAAAAACACACCCAAAACTCATTTACAACATAACAAAAAGGCTTCTAACCTCTTTTAAATTACAAAACTACCATTGATTTCTTAAAACAAACTCGACCCCAAAACCTCATAAAAAAACACAAAACACTCAATAGGGCATCAAAGTAATTTAATAATCAAAATTAAATTCATTAGGTCTAGCTGTCATTTTTAGGTATGTTTATAAAAATTAAAGAGTGCTTCTAAACCAACCCTAAAATTAACCAAGTACACCCTACTACCAAACTACTTATTGAATTACTAATTTACCCCAATATAAAATGACCAAAAAGGATATATTGAATTGTAAAACAAATATAAATTTAATAAGTACACCATACTAATGACCATATTCAATCCTAATCAAGGGAACATTTTTACTCATCACTTTAACCCAATGTATGTACCCTCACCACCCTTCTTAAAAATTAACATCCCTCTTCTCCTGGCCTTTTGAGTTCATATATGGATGGGCGTAAGATATAGGTGACCACGAGGTTCCATCTTCTACCCCAGAAGTTTTGTAGTATGCCTCGTTGAAATAGGATTTGAGATGTAAACTCAAATGGCTCCAAGCGAGGGTTGCTACAATGATTAGTTGGATTTATATATATATATATATAAGCAATGAAGGACAAAGACGAGCTTTGGGTGGATGTGCTGACTGTAACTAAGGACACCAATTACAATAGCCAAAAGGAAGCCATTAATTACATGATCTAGGGGCAAATTGTGTCCTTCACCATTTGTATGGGTCTGGTGGAGATAGGTTGGTTTCAATTTCAGGATTTTGAGATTTTGAAGGTGGGTTTTCTCTATTTAGATGGGATTTTGAGGAGGATGGGTTGGTTTGGAGGGCAACAAGTTCAATCCAAAAAATAAGAAATAAATAAAGAAAATCACAAGGATTTACAAGAATAGGGTTTAGAGGGCAACAAGTTCAATCCTAAACCCTATTTACAAGAATCAAACTTCGAATTGAAGGAGCTAACAAATCTATTTCCACAACAACTTACGAAATTAAAGATTTTGATGCAAACCCAAAATCTGAATAGAGGGCACAAATTCATGTAAAAAGAGAAACTTAGATTGGTATTAGGGTGTTGTGTGATAGAGTGTATTAGGGTGTACCATGAGTATTTTTGGTAGTTAAATAGGGTATACTTAGTTAATTTTACATTTTGATTTAAATATTAAGGTGTACTTAGATCATAGGGTGTACTAAGTTAATTTTAGGGTTTGTATAGCATTACTCAAATTAAATGATGTAGAGTTTATTTATAATTTTAGTGTTAAGAATGGATATATGACAAAATAGCAAACATAGAGAGAAGTACGAGGTTTAAATAAAAATTCTCCAGCTCACAGGTCCCTCCCTCGTTCTCTTTCTTTCTCTGTGAGTTGAATTTCTAGAGAAAAAACTTATCCTCTATGTTTTTTATTGTTATGAATTACTGAACAGAAGACTTCAATTTTGGCTTTGCATGTTTCCGATCTCAAGTCAGAGCGAAAACGTTTTTCCGCAAAAGCCATGGCTCTGGTGAGTTTGTTTCTTTGGGCGTTTTAATGTGAATTGTCTCTGCTTTTACTGCAGTTCATGTCTTATCGTTCATAGTGGTCGATTTATGTTTGGTTTCATCTTAAAAGTTCTTAATTCTAAGATCATGTGTGGTTTGTTTTTTCCCTTGATGTTGGATACAAGTCAATTTTGAATCTTCTTAGTTGGATTTGTTTTCAGAATCAAACTTTATTTGCACTAAATGATTTTTGATCTGATAGTATTGGTGGAATATTAAAAATAATATTATAAACCCATCTGAACACATGCAATTTCGGGGGTTTGTTTTTCTTTTTGTCACTGAATTTGAGTCTGTTACAGTTTATCTTATTCTCTGTGGAAGTAGCTTGATATGCTATTGATTTACGCTTTTTGTCATCAGTAACAATTTTCTGGTCTTCCTTTACTAATAGATCTGTATGATCTACTTTGCAGGTCTTGCATGCAGGGAAGACAAACGCAAATACTTTCAAGACCCTCATAGTTGCGGAGTACACTGGTATAAAAGTTGAACTTGCACCTGACTTTGAGATGGGTGTCACCAACAAGACTCCTGAATATTTGAAGTTAAACCCTATTGGGAAGGTAGACTGTTGTGTGATTTCTATTTACTAAATTAAATGCTGGTTTGGGTTTATGTTTTAATGGTTCTATGATATAATTCTAGTATCCCGTGCTGGAAACACCTGATGGTCCCATCTTTGAGAGTAATGCCATTGCACGTTATGGTAAGGCTATTCTGTTTATTTACTTGCGTTTATAAAATCTTATTGGTGTTCTGTAAATTAACTTTGTTTATGTCTGGCTTCAGTTGCTCGCTTGAAGGCTGACAATCCTCTTATTGGTTCTTCTCTGATTGATTATGTAAGCAACTCTATTTCTGTCTGTTGTTTTGTTGTGTGTAAACCTCAAGGCTCGAGTGCAATTTTATTTTATGTGTTTTAATTTGTCTCAATCCTTATGAGTGAACCTGCTTGTGATGCTTCTGCCCTTTGTTATGCTTACTATTATATGTTGTTTATTAGGCCCATATCGAGCAATGGATTGATTTTGGATCATTGGAGATTGATGCTAACCTAATTAGCTGGTTTAGACCAAGATTCGGAGTTGCTGTGTACCTTCCTCCAGTAAGTTACATATTCTTGAACTTGTTTTCTGATGTTGTCTCATGCGCCTATTTTGTTTATTCTTTTAAGACAGTTGATCATTTAAAATAGAGACAAGAATAGGCATATATTTGTGTTTAGTAGTAGGGCAACAGAGTAAAGATTAATGGATTATATTAATTATTTTTTCACTATGCTAGTTGGACTTTGTAAGGCCTGTAGCAAGGGATCCAGTTAGGTGTGAAAGTCAGAAAATGCAATCATGTTATCTCCCTTGGTCTAAATGGACCATTAAAATCTAAAGGCTCACATATGACTAAATTGGTGTGTGAATTCTTTTTCTCTGATATAATGACCTGATTTACAGTCTAGATAATCTAGTTTTTTATGATCCCCCGTTCATTCCTGCTGCCTTGATGGTTCATTGGAGTCTGTCTACTTTGCTTTTGTGTGAATTATGATGGAGTCTGTTTGGCGTTTAATTTTTATGTTTTCTATTTAGGCTGAGGAAGCTGCGATTTCTGCTTTAAAGAGAGCGCTAGGTGCCTTGAACACCCATCTTGCTTCGAACACATACCTAGTTGGGCATTTTGTAACCCTTGCTGACATTATTGTCACATGCAATTTGTTTTGGGGGTTCACCAAGCTCATGACAAAGAGCTTCACTTCGGAATTCCCCCATGTTGAGAGATACTTCTGGACCCTGGTCAATCAACCAAACTTCAAAAAGGTAATGGGTGATGTCAAGCAGACTGAATCTGTTCCACCTGTTCCATCCACAAAGAAGCCTTCCCAGCCCAAAGAAACTAAATCCAAGGCCAAGGAGGAGCCCAAGAAAGAAGCCAGAAAGGAGCCAGCAAAACCCAAAGCAGAAGCTGCTGAGGAAGTGGAACCAAAACCAAAACCCAAGAATCCTCTTGATCTGCTGCCCCCAAGTAGTATGGTATTGGATGACTGGAAGAGACTTTACTCTAACACAAAGGCCAACTTCCGTGAGGTTGCTATTAAAGGTAATTATCTCAATGCTTGATTATTGTCATCACACTTAAACATTCAGTGGTGTTAGGTGATCCACACAAACCAGGCTCAGCTGCCCCAACTGATAATGTCATGGGACCATTTCTGTCACATATATTACTTTAGGAGTGCTCTGTTCGGATTATGTTCTCAAAATTTAGAAACATTGATATAATTTGGTTTGTTTGCCGTTGGCTCCTCTTTGGAATGTAGGAAGTCCTAAACATCAGTTGGGTTTGTTAACCTAGAATAGATATTTATATCCTTGTTTCCTTGCTTTTTTGCAGGATTCTGGGACATGTACGATCCTGAGGGATATTCTCTTTGGTTCTGTGAGTACAAGTACAATGATGAAAATACTGTATCCTTTGTGACATTGAACAAGGTCGGTGGATTTCTTCAGCGCATGGATCTGGCCCGCAAGTATGCTTTTGGGAAGATGCTAGTGATAGGCTCAGAGCCACCATTTAAGGTGAAAGGGTTGTGGCTCTTCCGTGGGCAAGAAATTCCTCCATTTGTGATGGAGGAGTGCTATGACATGGAGCTCTACAATTGGACGAAGGTTGACCTTTCAGATGAAAACCAGAAGGAGCGTGTCAACCAGATGATTGAAGACCAGGAGCCTTTTGAGGGCGAGGCTCTGTTGGATGCCAAGTGCTTTAAGTGAAATATCTAATCCCTTACTGCAAGGGTGCGTTTTTGGTCTGCCCATCTTTTTTTGTTAGGGTTCGATTCCGTGGTCAATTTTAGACAGTTTAGTCTTTGGTGTATTTGAGTGACAAGTATAGTTTATAATCCATGTTTTTGCAGTTTGATTTTGGAGAATGGTTTAGACATTTAAAATGCTATATGGTACAATCTTTTCATCAGATGTGTACTTATTTTCCCATCAATGTTACTGTGAACAACTAGAAGCTGAGAACAGTATTATCAAGTAGTTCCTTTTTTAGATATGGTAAACCATGAACTTACGAAAATGTGTATTTTACCCGTGTCTTTGTGAACTTGTACGAGAAACGGAGTATTTTTGAAAAATACGACATGCACGTATAATAAAGTGGAGACGAGTAGCTGAGCATGGGACTTGGATTTGGATTTCGTTTCTTGAGAATAGCATTTTCCCACAACTGCCCTAGGATATTGAATTTGTGGGGAATGTTGGCATCAAGAAGCTTTCAACCAAATCAAGAAGTACATTCCTATGACTATGATATGAGAAAATTATAATTAAAGTTTATGCGAGAATTTCTAACTCTAGTGCTAACATTTTTTCCATGCCTCTAAAGCAAGAGTGATATGAAATGCGCAGATCACACTTGGACTATAGCAAGGAGTTATAAAAATCCTCTTTTAAAAAAATTCCATCAAAGCGATACTGCGCAAGTGAACTTTTTATTTTGAAGTGGGTGGTTTCGTCACTTGAAGGAAGACCCTAAACGAGGGGGAATTAGAAATATGGAGACATGTGGACAATACTAGAAAAAGGCTTTCGTAATTATTCAAGTTTCGAAAATGAAAAGATTTCAAAAAAGAACAAAAGAGAAAAAAACACGCAAAGCGTGGTAGCGTGAAAGGAGAGCGATCTCTCCAAAGAGAAAACCTTGAGAGAGAGAGAGAGAGAGAGAGAGAGGGAGAGAGAGAGAGAGGGAAAGTTTCACAGAGACTTCTGGAGAGATGAGTGAAATTTGTGGCTGCAGATCGTTGAGTTTGTTTGTATTATTGGCTTCAATTTCTCTACAATTCATCCCAGGTTGGGCTTCTGAAATCTCTCTTCAATTTTAAAATTATTAAACTTTACATTCCATTCCATTTTTTTGCGCTTCAATATTTCTGTATCATGCTTTAATTTATATATGTATTCTATATAGCACGCGTAATTATTTTTCTTTATTCAATTGTTCTGTTAGTTTTTTTATAATTCTATTGAAATTCTCTTTGAAGTTGCTTTCTGGGTCCGTTTCAGATCACTTATTTCAAATGTTCGGTTTCTGATAAAACTAGAAAGAAAGAAAGTTCCAAATTTGTTTTTGTTCTTTGTCTTGTTTGTTATTATTAAATAGCTAAAAACCCACCTGATGCAAACCCAACATAGTCATTAGTTGTAGTGTTATGTGTATGTGGATTATCTAGTTTTGTGGAATCCAAGTACTATAGCTGGATTTTGGAATGGTAGTATTTGCAATCGTAATAGAAATCTATGGTTGAGTGTAGTGGCTTAAAAACTTTTGGAAAATGAAAAAATAAACTAAATATGTTGCAACATCCAAATGTTTAAGTGCTTGCTTTGGTGTCTGCAAATTAATTATCTTTTAAGATTCTTGGCGTTGAAGCATCCTGTAAGCATTATACGATCAAATTGATGCACTATTACTTCAAGTCTTAAAAACCAAAGTTACCGTAGACTAGGTGATATTATCAAGGAATGATATATGATGCCTTTTTTGATGATATGATATGATTAATTGTTTCTCATGTTAACAAGACGAGATCTTTTATCTCTGGGACCTTTTATTTCAGGATTTTCTGATGATTCATCGAGTTCCAAAAATGAGAAAAAAGCTGTGACGCATTCTACTTCCAGTCACACTGGATCTACGTTGGCCATCATATTCCTTGGACTTGTAGTAGTTGCATTGTTCTCCTTTTTCCTTTTCAAGCTATGGCAAAAGAAGAAACGAGAAGAACAGTATGCCCGTCTTTTGAAGTTGTTTGAAGAGGATGATGAACTTGAGCTTGAACTTGGTCTTCGGGATTGAAAAACTTGGAGTTAATTAAAGTCATGGTGTGCCTCCTATCTTTTTGTTTTCAGCTTTTCAATGTGCAAAGTGTCATTTCTTTATTTTCACAGTGCAAACATTGCACGAGTATTTTATTTTTTTTTCTCCTAATAGGCTTTAAGATCTTATCAGTTTTTCCAACTATCCTACAGTTTGAGATCTTATCAGTTTCCAAACTATCATACAGGCTTTCCTTTGATTTCCCTTTAGAATCTAGGGACCTATGATGTTTCTTTGGTTGTTGTGAGGGGCCTGTACCACTTTTCTGTTTGCTTCACTTATTTACCATATTTGTGTACTGAATATTGATGATTTGGTATATTTTGGTACCCCTGGGTGTTATGCGGAATCATATACTAACTCTCAAAATAAATTTTTGATCACAAGTTCAATTAAACTTGTTGAATACTTGTGCACACATGTTGGCATAACTTGAATGCTTTTATGTTTATTTCTTTCCTTTTTTTTTCTTTTTTCTTTTGAGGACTAAAGTGTGAGGGCATGCTTGTTTGATGTGACTATTCTTATTGTACACCAAAATGTGTGCAAGTATTTATATCTTTCTTGGTGCATCCATTTCTTACTGTATCCTGGTTTTTAAGTTTGGAAAGTTGGTATCAATGTCTCGTATTGTCTCCATATCCTGGTTTTTAAGTTTGGGGTATCTTTGTTTTGCAGGCTTGAATGGCTTTTGTATTTGAAAAACTCACTCCCATAACCAGGATTGCAGTTTTGTGTCCGGGGTTGAGGTTAGATAATTTCTGTCAATTGTGACATTTGTAATCTTATCATCAAATGTAATTTTTTTTCTTCTCGCTTTTCTGTTTTGTTTTTTTAATATGATTTCATACGATATGTGAGCCAAGGAAAGAATATTATTTTGTATGAATGCTGACCTTGAATTTTGAATTCACATGTTTGACTAACATCATAGTCCTGACAAGTTGTTTGAATCTTGATATAATTTTGAGATAACTTTAAGTCGTATAAGTCATTGAAGCCATCTGCTTTTCATTGGCTGGCATGAATAAGATGACATAAACTTTGTGCTTGATACAAATATTGTTCTATCTTTCTGCCTTATGTAGTGTGATATTTCCTAACACATGTGGTGTAAGTGTGCGTGGGTGTAGAAAAAAGGGAAGCAACTTCAATTATTTTGATAGTAAATCAAGGATAGTGTTCTTGTATTTGGTAGATGATGCTTCTGGTGTGGGAACCATTCTGTTGCACATTTTGTTGGGGACACCTGCAAGACCTATTGACGAAAGTACAGTTGAGTTTATTGAGGCTAAGCTATCACATCCAAGCCAATTTGTTCTTTATTTGAGTAAAGTTTTACTAATTTTTAATGTCTTAATAAGACATCATTGTTATGAAAAGCAGGCATGAAATTGTACTGTTTTATGCACCTGTGTTCAAGAGGGTTAACTATTTAATGGTTCAGTGTGGAGGTTATTTGAAAATGACGAGTACTACAATTTGCCAGTCCAGGACGTCTTTCTTAATTGGAAAACTATTGATCGGAGATTTTGAAGACTGTTATTCCTAGTTATCTTGACCTAGATTGTAGGATCACTTTTAATGTTTCAAGTTGTTCGTTTTCTTTTGATCATTTTATGATTTCCATAATGAGCCTTTTTACTTTCAGAAGAAATTTGATATTACAATATTTCAGGCAAATCTTTTATGTTATGGATGAGTTACCATCACATACTAATTTCATGTTTTCTCTTTCCGTGTGATCATTTTGTGATTTCCATATTGTGTTCTTGTAGAGGAAATGAAATATTACGCAGCTTTGAGCCACATATTTAATTTGCAGACATTTTTACAGCAGTTGTGCATGTTTTTAGCAATAAGTTTTTGTATTATATCTGTTCTTTACCCAAATTTTTGGGCTTCTTATGCAGCCTATACTTTTTGAATCATCATTCGATTGAGCTTCTTGAACAGATTGTAGGTTTTTGCTATCTTAGTTTGGAAGTGATCTATGGATGCCTTTATAGCTCTTTCAAAACGGTCTTGTTCTGTTTTTGCATGCTGTCTGATCATAAGAGTAGATTCGTATGGCAAAGATGGTTATCAGAGCTTATGTTCGTCTGTGCTCTATTTTGACAGTGCAACAAATGCTGACAAGTGCTTCAAAGTTTTGGAGTACATAGTTGTACTGACTGTTTCCTCCTCTTCTTTCATCTGGCTGATTCAGTCTCTCCCTTTCAATACTCATATGGCAAAGATCAATTTAAATAAACTTCTATTGCCTATTGCCTTGCCTTTTAAAGTAAATGAAAGGTGCCTTAGCGAAGCGAGCTGACTGATTTAAACTTTTTACATTCATTTTCTTCTTTCTATTTGGCTTGAAAACTCTTGGAAATGATAAGATCAACAACACTTCATTTTGGTGCTGAAAGATGTGGGAGATGATGCTTGGCTGTCTTTAAACTTTTTAAACTCTGTTCTTTCTATTCGGCCCGAAAACCCCAAAAAGTTAAAAGATCAACACTTAATTTTTGGTGCAACATGTGACTCCTAGTAATGATGCTTAATAACGCATTTGATCCGTGGCCTTAAAGGAAAGTAGTGTTGAATCTTTGAGATGCGTTGAGCATCGTAAAAGGCATTTATAAATGTATTATTGTGTTTTGCGATTATCCTTGTTGGGATGTTTTACAACGATTAATATGCAATTCATTTCAATTACCGATGAGTATGAACCATTCATCAGTCATGGCAGCTGCAGAATCAAATAAAATTTTACATTTCAAGAAATGGTAACAATAGCACGTAGAAGCCATAACAAGATGGCAAAAACAAGAAACCCATCTGAACTTTTTTTATTTTTATTTTTATGAGCAAGAGAATACACGCATGTAAAACAACAATAAAATTTAGCATTTGCCTATAAACAACAATAAGCTAAGGGGTTGTAAGCTACAATAAGCTTTAGCATTTGCCTACAAGCTGCTGGAAGATGATAGAAAAATCAAACAAGGGGAGCCTATAAGCTATGGGGCTATAAGCTACAATAACTAAAGAATAATGTGTTGGCTATCAATGGGATAACACATGAAAGAATATATTACTGCACGTAGAAGTATGTTGCACAGAACTAATGCAGCGGTTGAACCCTATGAGATGCCAAACAAAGAGCCCAAAATTAGTTCATCAGTTTGTCAACAAAGCTTCTCACGGTTTTGGAAGTCAAAATTATCAAGATGCCACAAGGTCTTCGACGAGTCAGACGCTACTGTTTCAGTGATCAGAAGAATTAATCATGTTTATACGAGTTATCTTCCTGTCTTGGCTCGTTTCATCCCTGTACTGTTAAATGGTGACATGCTAGGGCTTATACTTGGGCTCATACTCGGACTCTCTTCCCTCAATGTACCGTTTAGCATAGCCAATTCTCTAAGCTGTTGCTTCTTATAGTGATCGAAGGACTCGTCCTGCAAGACACAGGTTACAAGTGGTCCAAGAAAATGATGAATTAATAGTTAAAACTTCATGATTAATCCTACTCATACCACAGGCTTCAGAAGGTTTTCTAGTATTGCCACTGCATGATCCAATCGCGCATTGATTATATCCTCAGGAAATTCAGCCTCCACCAATACATGCAATGGCTCATTAAGATGTTCATATCCAGGCTTTTCTTTTAATTTCTCTTCCTGAAGGTACAATAGAAGGCATGCAGAATAAGAAAAAGTGCAAATATGCGAGGAGCCGAATGATATCAAATAAATCGAGAACTTGACAAGGATCCATGACCATTTTCAAACAAAATAACTCTTCAGGATACTAATTCATGTGTTGAAGGACACGTGACCATATCACATGTGTATAGTATCATTGGTAAAACAATCACATTCCAACTTATTCGGTAACCTTAATACAAAAAGCAGTATCATTTATAGGACTACATATTACTCGCATGATATTTCATTTACTTTATAATAATAAACATATAAATAGAAAAGAAACAAATTATTTTATAGTTGTAGAAGTTTGATCCAAAACTCCACTTGGTTTTTTTGGATATTCCCACTTGACATTTTTTACAGCAAATTGGATGGAATTCAGAAAACTGGACATCAAGGGCCACATTGGCTGTTTTTATAAAATTTAAGACTGTAATTGGTGATAAAAGAGCTCGAGGGTAAATTGAATGTGATAGTTCAGAGACCAAAATGGCAATTTACCCAAACAAGGAATTAGTGCTAAATAACTAATTGGTTGATTAAGACTCCCTATTTGAAAACTTCAGAGCATAGTTCGCATAAAATATGTAAGAAGGAAAGAAACATCGCCATATATAAAATTGAGAAGAGGTCAAAATGGACAAAAACATAAGTTATCTATGAACATAGTTATGATGAGACAAGCTCCAACGTGCAATCAGAGAAGAGAACAACAATATAGTTTGTATAATAAATCAAATGGCACCTGTAAAAATGAATATAACTGGGCACATTTAAGACTTAATTTTTCATGCAACCATGCCAACTAATCTGCTCCAACCTAATCACATGGTCAATACCAAGAAAATTTTTGTAAACAAAGAAAAAAGACTGCAATACCTTTACAGAATCCTTCACAGAGCCCTGACCTCGGATGTAAACCCTACACTCTGTCATCGCTTCAACTCTTTTTAAGGAGTTCCCACGTGGTCCCAAAATTCTGCCAACAAAATTGTACTGCAAACCTTGGAGTCAGAAGTTGTTAACTAAAAGAAAAAGGTCAAAATCAACTCTACAAATCATATACCCCTTGCTTACATGTGGATATTTGTCCACTGGAACGTCAAGTCTAATTACTCTCTTTACAATAGGAGTGGTTGGAATTCCTTGCACCCCAGGCCAACCCATAGAAGGAGATTGAAACGGGGCCATTCTCTGGATATGTCCATTTCCTACATGAGGCAATGTAGCACAGATGAGGTTTCATACATACAAACCACACAAGACATAAGCAAAACCTAAACTCTCTTCCCACCAAGTCATACTCCATGAAAGAGTGTTTTATTTAACTATGGGCTTGTGACGCACATGCACTTGTGCATAAAGGTGTAAGTAATTGCTCCATTCTCCAATTTGTGGCAAAAAGAATGACACTAAGCAGGTGATTGAACTACAAACAGTAGAGTAGAATCAACAGTATCATATTGGAATTTGGTTTGGACGGCCACCAAAACACTACCAAAATGGACCATGGTTGTGACATAAAGTCACGTGAGCTTGTGAAACATGCATAAATGAAAATAAATAAATACGTATTGCACACAGTACACTCATTTAATCCTATTACATCCTACCAAACAATAAAGGTAACACTGTCATGCACACAAGCAAATATGAATAGTTACAGAATGGTCAAAAATGAAGTCAAGAAACAACAAAAATGGTCAAAAAGAACGTAAAACATATTACAAAATACGCATCAATGATATCTAAAACTAACATTACCTCCATTTGCATTCCTGGCCATCCCTCCAAATCCATTGGTCTACCATTTGCGTTTTGACTTAATGTCCTAAATGGACTCTCATGCTCAAGTCTTTCATGATCTACAAGAGTTTGATTGAAGCCTGATACCCGTCTGATTTCTGTGGTGGCATTACAGAACAAATTATGCTTGAGCAAGAACATCAGAACATTGACACTAGTCTAAACATGGCTAAGCATTTTACAACAGCTCCCAACCAATGCACTACATTGATTATATGAGCACACCGTGTACTATAAATTTTCCAATAGATGTTTGTATATAGAAGAAACTACAGTTACCACCCCCTGAAAACCCTTTTCAAGGACTCAGTAGAGAAACTATAATAATTGGAAATTTCAAGTATAAGATGTTTTACAGCTTAATATCATCCAGGAAAAAGATATCTGTACTCTAGTGTTCCTTCTAATCTTTTGGGAATACACCATTTGGTATCATTACTTGTCCAAAACGCATCAACACCATAGACAGAACATAGATTTTTCATCTATTGACAAGTATGGGTTGGAACAAACATATCCAAGAACAAATGTCCAACTTCAGCACACAGATGTCAGGTACTCAAACCCAAACTGATGTCACAGTACATGAATGACTATACATACATGAAAAACCTGTACTGAACAATAACTTGTTTATGAGTTAACCAAAAACCCCTTTTTAAATTAAAAAAAAAGAGTCAGCCAAAGCTTATTGCCAACTACAAAAGAATGTTGTCCGTTCACAAGAGAGATAACAAGACTTAGAAGTTGGCTACATAGGAGCAAAACAGTAGATAGAGTTTCTATTACCATGATTTAGAAGTCTGCTACATAGGGGCAAAATTTGCATGAATGGTCCCAACTTTTGCTTCTCTGCTAGTAGTTCAGCCAAATATCTGCCATTATACCATCCAAATCATGTGTCAATTCCTAGCACGTGCAGTTTCTTTATGGTCCCAACATGAAGGTGTGCAAGCGAACTGGTCTTGAGAGATAAAATTTTATTGAGATTTAGTTAAAAGTACAAACATCATTACAATAGACAAGATGTCCATTGGAAGCCAAATCCTAACAAAAGGCACAGAACACTAAAATGACTAAACTGCCTTTTACATAACAGAAGCCATCATATCAGTAAAAAAAAGATAGCAACAGAAACAATAGAATTTCCCTAATCTCTGAAGAGTCTAAAGCCCACAAAGATTATCAAAATTCAACTTTGCTACCAAAGAACTCCAATTCCTCCCAAATGCCAAAAATCTTTCTAACCACACCAACCAAATCATCACAATCACAACAAATCTGTCTAAGACTTCTCCGCTTAAACTTTCCTTATTACAAATTGCAGAACAACTGGTAAAACCCAAATTTACCTCAACAATGTCCACCACAACTCTAATGCGATCAGGCAATGAAGAAACAAATGGTCAGTATTTTCTGCCATTCGCTTGCACACTAGACAACCAGTGAAGAGGGGCAAGCATCAGGCCTCCAGCCATTTCCCAAGTTGAGCCTCATTCTTTCATTACTAACTTCCCCAGATGAGAAAGTTTGCTTCAAACCTTCCAATATATTCTCCACCACTAGACCCCAAAAACAATTCACCTATGGATTTCCTGCAAATGGCAGTCCCAAATATTTCATTGACCAACTCCCTCCCCACATCCACACATATCCCTCTAAAGCCTGGAAACTTAAAAGGGGGAAAACCAAAAAATTCAATACGCAAAGTTAATGAAGATTTGAATCAAAACAATTATTACAACAGGTTAGAACGGTTTTTTGGTTAAAATATTTATACAGCGAAACACTAATGTAATACTCCACTTCTCTTCATGCCTTCAACTATCAGTTTCCTCTGCACCAGAATATGGACATGTGGCGAGTAGTCACTATCTGACACAATAACGGCAATGTGCGCAACACATCAGGAGCAGTTTGAGTTCCAATTACAAAGTCACTTGGACACCTGTTTCTTTAAATATTTACCTATTTCTTTCTGTATTCTCTTTCCTACTTGAAACACCAAAAACAAAGCAGGTGAGCAAGACAGTAGGTTTCAAACTACATCTCACCTGCCATGCCAACAACACTTCTCCACTAAAGAGCATACTCCCACTGAAGAATGAGTCGTTTTCTTTTTTCTATTTTCTTTTTAATCTTGGATTCAAAATGTGGAAATATATAGCTCTGTATGATCTGAAAACAGCAGAAGGGAAGTGAAATAAGAACTTGTGTGGTTTGATCTCAATAGGCAAACACTCAAAATTAGACCAGGATTTGTCCGCCATTTGAAGCATACCCATGTTAACAAATGCCAGAGGAATTTCTTTGTTCCATTTTGACCATATGGATCTATTTGCGGCATTTTAGAGAAAAAACTATCTAGTAAGTCTGAAAAGTCTGCAGAAATAATCTCCCAAACACATGAAAGAAAGTACACTAAAAAATTTCTTACACAATAAAGCAATTAGCCATATATCTTATTCATGGCATTTCAGAAAAATTGTTAACTTTAAATAAAGTCTGAAATGCCTAAAGAAACATATCTACAAAACACAATCTTTTTTTTTCTTGAACAATAAAGGAAAATGACCATATCGATATTAAGATTAGCATTTCATAAAATGGTCATGTAAACTATTTCTAGAAACTCATGGAGTACAATTAAGGATTTGAAATTCATAGCATAATACAATCTCAATCCCACCAGGTAACAAATGAAAGATTAAAGATTGAAATCCAAGTACATCAGAAAAACATAGGACAGCCACATATATGGGATAAACGCATAAGTCTTGAAAATTATAATGCATAGGCCAGCCACCTCTATATAATATGATAAAAGCACCAGACGCACTGACGGCAAACATGAAGTATGGAACCACCAACTACACATACCAATCAAAACGCATTAAAAAGACACCAAAAGAAGATTGAATTAAAATTTAAGCGCTGGACTGAAAAGACTGACCTTTCTCGATCTACAGGGAGAGAAGACCTGTGTGGAGAAGCATGGACTCCAGGAGGTGGGTACTGGAAGTAACTCCCAGGGGGAATTCTCTCTCCCATCACACAAGAACTACTGTATATGTGAAAGAAACCAAAAATTAACATAACCCCTTAAAAAATAAAAAATAAACCACCCAATTTGACATAAAATTATGCAACTTAAAGGAGCAAACCCAGTTGAAAAAACACCAATAAAGTAAATATCTTGACAAGCGAATAGAACCCGCTCTGATGAAAACACACAGCATACCAATAGAACAAAACAGAACCCAGCAAGAAAAGAACAATCAATATGTATATATATATATAGAGAGAGAGAGAGAGAGAGAGAAAGAGAAGGAGAGAGGATAGAGAGAGACTTACCGGATGGAAAGGAGAGAGGAGGAGGGAGGTGGGGGCAGAGATATTCAAATCTGTTCTGCCCCTTATTGGTAGTGGGAGTGATGCGAGAGTGAACAGAGAGACAAAATCCCTACTGCAGCATGAGTCTCATGGAACCCCTTGCTGTATTTATACTCAATCAAATCACTCTTTTTATATATATATATATATATATATATTTTTTTTTTTTTTTTTTTTTTTTTGACGGGAGGGGTTGGTCATTCGGCCTGTGAGCCCATGGGCCTATGGGAGCCCACCCAGTCCATTAAGTAAAAGCTCAGCCCGGTTCGTTGTGACCCATGAAAGCCCAACCTGATTCACATGCCAACAACCCGAGCCTCCGAATTCCTTCAAGTTGTGAGACACATTAAAATTCAATATAAGTCCCAAAAATGCAAATAAAGAAAAGAAAAAAATTAGAAAAATTAGAGGGAGGGGTCAAAAGAACTTATTAGACGACAGTTTTATTCGGTTTTATGATAACAAAACTGTGTCTTCACAACTAATTAACGACATTTTGTAGTTTGACATTCAAAAGACGATGATTTTTTACCATCGTCTATTGCGTTTCTTTGTAGTAGTGTAAACTCAAATTATTTGTGAATTGACATCTCTTTCCCTTAGTGCGTTTGGACGAGGAAATTTAAAAATACAAAGGATTTCATAAATGACATAATTTAAAATGACGGAAATTAATGTTCTAGAATTTGTAAAGTTTCTTGTTTGGGTGACAGATTTAAAACACGGAATTTAACCTTTATTTGTAAAGTTATTTTTTTTAAAAACTCAATCTCTCTTGTGATTTTACAAATGACGACTTTTAGATAGAATTTAAAGTTTGGATTTATGATTTCCAAATTCCATGTTTTTCCCACCCGGAATTTCTAAATTTCGATGTTTTTTTATCCAAACACGGGAATTGGTTCATGTCAATTTAGAAATTCTGAGTTTTGTCAAAATCCCAAGTTTATTTCCCTCATCCAAACACACCATAAAAGAAAAAAAAGACTATTTTATTAGTGTCCATTAGCATGCTAAACACGTCTATTTGTCATGTTGTCTTGTTGTCCTGTCTTGAAAGAATCCCATCGAAGAGAGAGAGACCCAGTTAATCATATACAAAAACTTTCACAATTGAGAATCTAGGAGTAATGACTATATATGATATTCTTATATAAATCTGGAGAAACCATCTCGAAAGAAGAATTGTGAAAAAACAATTAATATAGAAAATATGTATATATTTTTCACTGTAATATAACTAGAAAGAAACTATAACATTTGTATTACAATGATCCACTGATTCACTCACGAGTCACTCCTTCAAGTCTAAAAGCAATTTCCTTCTCGTCCACTAAACCTTTGTTAAGCTGTTCAAACCGTTGCCTCAGCTCGGCCTGAAATTGCTTTCATAAAACAATTTCAGTGAAAATGAAAACGACATACCTAACGCGTTTTTTGTAGAAAATAAAAACAGGGGTCTTGAAAACATTACCGAACGGCCCCTTAGGATTTTGCCTTACACATGTATTGCCTTATCTTTGGCATAAAAACTACGGGTCCGTTTGGTATCCTATTTGGATATATTTTTGTAAACTCAAAAACAAATTGAGTCCAAAACCCATAATTTGCTTTTGATAAAACCCATTTTTCAAAAGCTCATTCAATAACAACTCAAAAAAAAATCCCATTTTAAAAACCATATCTATCGTTAGCAGAATTTTGTTGCTGATGCTTTGTCTGCTAGGAGCATTGGTTTTGGTCTTGGGATTCAACTCTATGAGACGGTTCCCGACTTCCTGAAGGATATTTTGTATACTTATGCCATGGGTGTGTCTAGGCATCATTTTGTTGGTACTTAGGTGTTGCTGTGCTGGGCTTTTAGCCCCCCTTGTTACAAACAAAAAAAAAAAAAAAAAAAAAAGAGAGAAAAAAAATCAATCCCCTTTGCACAAAAAGGTTAAGTTATAGGTTTTTTTCATTTTTTCTTCTTCTCTCTCTCTCTGTGTGATGGGAACTGGACGGTTCAAGGCCGAGTATGATAGTACCATCCTCATCTTTGCTCCCCATCCCCAGTAAAAAAATTGAGAAATTCGCATACCCGTTAGGGGGCCTACCTCCCAAATCCCCGATTTTTTAATTACAAAAAGTATTTATCCTACATCATAATGCTTAAAATTCATCTTTTTATTTTTATTTTTTTATTATCCAATTACATTAAATTGAATTATAGAATTTAACTCAACAACTTAAAATAATCTCAATTGAATTTGACAAAACTAAATAAATAATATAGTATATCATAAGTATACATGCCTATATTATTTATATATTAATTAAAAATAAATATATTACTTATTGGCCCTAATATAGGGATGGGGATAACAATGCCATCTTGCCTTGACCGCGGGGAATTTTCAAGTTCAAGGATTCTCGTACATGTCCCTAATTTTTGTCCGAAATCTCCCCTCATTAGGGTTGGGACTCAGCTCAGCGGATATTTATGACATCCTTACTCTCTGACTCACATATTTCAAATCGGATTGGCTCTAATTTTGTTTCCTTTTCCTTTTGTTAATTTCAATTTGGGAATCTAGGGTTTCAGATTTTTAATTTCAATTTTTTTAAATCTTAAAAATAAATCAGAGTTCAATACCAGACAAATTTTTAGATATTATAGTCAGTATTTCCAACAAAAAAAATCAAGATTTTTTAGTTATTTTTTTTAGTAGCAACTTTATTTATTCGAGGTTTTGCTACGCATTAAAATGTGCGTGTTATGCCGCTACTACCAGGTTTCATATAGGACAAGTCCACGTACGCATACTCCCTACTGTATCAATTCTCGTACTCAAAAAAACCCAGAGAGAAAAGGAGTCTTGAAAGCCCAAACCAAAACACAACCGTTTTCGAACTCACTCTGCGTCTACAGCTTTTCATGCATGGCGATTGGTGAATGGGGGTTCAATTGAGAATTAGGGTTCGAAATCGACCTCGATCAATTCTCTTTCCACTGCAAGAAGATGTAATCTAACGGAGATTTTGGTGTCTTTTTTAAACAATTTTTTCTAAAACCGTTCGGCTCTGCGTAGGTTTAGTTAGTTTCTAGGGTTTTTCCTTTTGGGGCTGAAATGTTGAAGGACCAGTTGGATCGAACCAAGGTGGTGCTACGGCACTTGCCGCCTTCGATTTCGCAAACTTCACTTGTGGAACAAATCGACGTTTTCTTTTCTGGCCGCTACAACTGGGTCGCTTTCCGTCCCGGGAAGAGAAGGTTAAGGATTTTTAGCGAAGTTTCTGTTTTTGGTTTTACTTGAATTTAGACTTGTTTAGCTGTTTTTGGTTTGCTTAAATCTGCTATAGAGACCGTAAAATGGGGAATGTATGTGTGTGTGGGTTTGCTTTAGTTCATATTATCAAGTCATGGTTTGTTAGTACCTTAGTTTAATGCTACTTGGAATTGCGCGAGAGTAGTGGGTGGGTTGTTCTAATTGCTCCCATGATATTCATTAACGTATAATCGCAAATGAAATACGTGTTTTAACCTTCTTTTTTTTATGGCACTTGCAGCTTATTGATGAATGTATCTTTCTTTTCCAATTTTGGTTTCTTAAATTTGATTTATTATGGAAAGAAAACAGTGTTATAGTTGGCATCACCAATTGAACGTTTTTTCACATATCTGGTTGCACGATTCAGAAAACAGTGCAATGTTTCACAGCTACTGTGTTTTGGCAACTCCAAATTCTTGCATTTTTTCTTTTATTCTAAGGGTCTGCTTCCAATAAGGGTCCTCACTATACATGTGATGTCCTAAGAATCCTTTATTCTGACTGTTTCTTGTTTGCTGGGGGATTTATTTTTTACTTTTATAAATAGCAGGGATCCTTGTTCTAATCTGGAAAGTTCCATTTATGGGTTATCTCTGTAATCATGATGGTATAAGTATTATTGTTGTCATACTTGAGCTTTTAAATGTTTAAAGAAGGTTCTGCAGGATAGACGATTATCTATTTTTTTTTTTTTCTTGAATTAAATTTTTCAGCCAAAAGAATCCGTCATATTCTAGAGCCTACATTGATTTGAAGAGGCCAGAGGATGTTATTGAGTTTGCTGAATTCTTTGATGGTCATCTGTTTGTTAATGAGAAGGGTACTGTTTAAGCTTGCTTTTCAGGAGATCTATTAGACACATCAATTGTCTTGCAAGGAGTCTTGTTGAATATCTCTGTATTCAACCTATGCGTATTTTTTTATATTTTTTTATGAAATTTCCTTTAGCTAAGACACACTTCTAACTCAGGGTGCGTAATGATGCAGCTCAGAAAGTCTATAAACTGCTGAGTATTCTTGAAAGACTTATCTTATGTTTTCATAAAGTCTTCATTATTTTCTATTTGACTCAGGAACCTTTCACAATCTGATATAAGACATGGAATTTTAAGAGTATTTATTTTCCATTTCCAGGCAGTCAATTTAAAGTTATTGTTGAGTATGCTCCTTCACAACGCGTTCCAAAACAGTGGTCTAAGAAGGATGGTCGTGAAGGAACCATATTCAGAGGTACTAAGTTAATATTTAACATTCCTTGAAAGAAAATTTAGCAGCTATCGTTTGTTGCATGCGGACTTATATATACAATCATTTTCCTGTTAGTAAGTACAAGTATTTACTTGATGAACATCTAGATCCCGAGTATCTGGAGTTTCTTGAATTTCTTGCAAAGCCTGCTGAGAATCTTCCTAGTGCGGAGATACAATTGGAGAGAAGAGAAGCAGAGCGTTCTGGTTAGTCAGACAGATTACTTAAATAGTCATATTTACAAAAAAGAAAAACATTCCTTTTATTGTACTTTTAAATTACCTTTTCTTCTTGCAGGTGCTGGAAAGGATGCTCCCATAGTTACACCATTAATGGACTTTGTTCGTCAGAAAAGGGCTTCCAAGGCTGGATCTCGGGTACTTTTATAGCCTATATTACCAAAGATTAGGAAACATAACTGATTAGTGGAAAGTATTACTTTCAGCATTACATGTTTGATTGCATAGTGCTCTAAGAAATGGTTGGAATTGAATTTTTGCTAATAATAATTGATGATTTTCTGAACATATTTCATGTTTCACGACAGAGGTCACTGACTAATGGTAAAACGAGCAGAAGAGCTGGTGGACCATCATCTAGAAGTCCAAGTTTAGCGACGAGCAAACGAGGTTCTGAGAGGAAAAGAAATTCTGCCACAATGGTACTCATGTTTTCGCGCATGTGAAGTTCGTGAAATCACAATTATATATGCTGTTGTTTTTCTCTGAACAAATAACTGTATGAGTGGCAAATCTCACTCTTGACCTCTTATTAATTGGGCTTGAAATTAATTGATCTCAAAAACCCAGTGATCCAAAACCTCCACCTGGTTTGAAAATCTTTACTTTCCATCACTTCATCTAGGAAATTTCAGTTAACATAGTTATAGCCTTTTTGAATTAATCTTAAAAGTTAAAACTTATCCCTTCTCGTTTCTCGCTTGATGCTCCTTGATTACATTTTCCATTAAGATCAAGTCTGGTATTCATCTACCTTAAACAATGGTTCTTCAGGTGTTAAGAAATTGCCTTGGCCAGACTCTTCCTCGATATTTCTGATGACAGCTTCATTAAGGCCTTATACAGGCTCGTAACCAAATAGAAGGGTCGATATTCCTCAACTTGTAATGACCGGAGTTTCACTGGAATCAAACAAATACATTCTGCATTAGTGCGTGCAGTTTCAATCCCATTTTCTGTTTTGTTCTTTGAATATTATAATAACATGAGATCTATGAAATTATTTAGTGATCATATTTGATCACAACTCATGTATATATCATGTCATTGTTCGAAATGTAGAACAGATAGAATTTAGAAGGATAATTGTTTTTTTTTTTGGTATCGTTTGTATTTCAAAATTTTGAATATTTTTATTGATTTTCTGTAGTACTTCTGGAACTGGTAGGTATTTTTTTATATTGATTTTTGTATGTCTTGTCCTCTTCCTGCTGGAATTTTTTTACCTTATTCAGGGGTTTTACATTATTTTATTTTCTTGTAGGTGGGAGGTCTATGAGGTCTCTGATGTTTCTTATTTTTCATTTTCTCACAGTTCGTAGTTTGATTTGAAGACTTGAGCATCTAGAATTGATTGCTTGTCAAATTTTGGTTTAAGGGAATTAATATGTCCTGTCTGATTGGCAGTATGTTTTGAGGGATGCTAGAAAGAACACCAGTGCCAAAGACAAGTCAACTTACATTCTGGTACCCAAGCGCGATGATCAGCAACCTTCTGAAAAGTCTGTCACTTTGGCATCTGCAGCTGGAACTCACGTTTTGGAAGAGGAGAGTGGTATGATATTGGATTGTTTGGAAGTGTTTTTTGCTGATGAGTAGGCATTATTTGCCCTAATTAGAATATGACTTGTACAAACCAGCACTCCTGCACTCATGTCTGATCATACAATGGGTTTCCTTGTCTATGAAGGGGAATAATTATAACTTTTAGTAACTCTTTTAAACTTCCTAACATTTTACGTAGGGGTTCTTTTCCTTTTCGTTTTTCTGGGTCTTGGCGATTATGTTGCAAGAACTATACTTTTCCTTCCAATCAATTCCTCATAGGCCTGGTGGACTTTGCACTTCTGTTCATATATGGAACTTAAGGTTTTTATTTCATAAAGATTGGAAGGTTGGTCATATTTTGGTTATAGTTTGATTTGGTTGATGCAAATTTTTTTTTGAGCATTTGATAGCAAAGAAATTCTATTGTTTGTAGATTTTCCCATTTCAATTTTTTCATTTAGTTTGATATACTTTTAATTTTAGTTAGAGAAAAATGGCAGTTCTGCAGTTGCAAGCTTATATTTGTGTCCCTACACACTTTGAATATGTATGTTTCTTATCCTCGTTGAAATACCTGTTTCGAGGTATAAATTATTTGTATCATTCATATTTCCGTGTTTTGGGCATTTGTGGTACTGGATTGTGAAGCTTTTTTTAGTTTTATTTGTTTATTTTCTGAATCTCTTCTGACAGTGACTTGTTTTTATTTTATTTTTATCTTTAATTGTTTACCACCTCTTCTCTTATTTCAGGAGTTTCTGGTGCTGATGCTGTGAAAAAGAAAATCCTGCTTCTGAAAGGGAAAGAGAGGGAGATATCTCATGTAAACCTCTTTCATACTGCCCAATCTCATTTACTAGGTTCTCGTTTTGTTTTACATGTGTTTATTTTCAATGGTGGGTGGAGAGGGTTTATTTGTATGTTGCAATATGGTTCTGCTAAGATGCTAGGTGATGGCAGTTAAAATGTACATCCTAGTTTGCTTTTTCCACATCGTGAGATAATTTCCCTCTAGACTCAGATGTGATTGTGGAAAATAGGGGCTATGGACTGTAGCCATAAATACGTGTGCTTAGCTGCTGTCTAGACTGGAGTATTTAATCTAGTTGGATGTAGTGCACATAGGTGGCAGGTGGGTTGAGAGGGTTTATTTCTAAGTCCCTATGTAGTTTTGTTAATATGCTAGATGATGACAGTTACAATTTACATCCTAGTGTACTTTTTGCATATCATGACATCATTTTCCGCTAGACTCGGATGTGAAATAGTGGCTATGGCTGCATATAATGTAGTCATAAAGACGTAAATAGCTACTGTCTAGACTGGAATATAGACTCAAGTTGGATATAGTGCACTGGGGTGACAGCTTCAATATGCTTAAATTATATCGTGGGTTGTATTGTAGTATCCTTTATAGAAATCATATCAACCTACAACTGAGCATGGCACTTAGTTTGCATGAGTTATTTATTATGTGCATTTTCCTCTGGAAAGTCTAGGTATTTATATATCAATTTTTAAGCATTTTATTCTTAAAAATCAACTATTAGCTGGTGCAAAGAATATGTTCATCTAATAAATACGGCAAAGCACAAAAACTGGCTGAAGACCTTGCACTCCAAGTGATTTGGCCTCTTTTGACATCTGTTCATGTCTCAAACTCCTTGTGCAGGTTCCGGCGAACATGTCACAGCAGCAGAGTTCATCTGCTAAAAACATGGGTGGTACAATTGCACTGAAACAAAACCTGCGCCGTCAAGAAAATGGGAGGATTATAAGAGGAATACTTCTAAACAAGGATGCACGTCAAAGTCAGTCTTCTGGGATTTACTCTGCACAACAAATCCAGACTTCGAATTCAGATAGGGACAAACGACCTCCTCGGTCCCAACATGTGCAATTGATTTTAAAGGATACAAATGGCGCTCCAGATTATAATATTGTTGGGAATGACTTGCATGGTATTTGTAGCGAGAAGCAGGAGAAACGGATAAGGAATAAGGAGAGACCTGATCGTGTTGTATGGACTCCTCTAAATCGTTTAGATGGATCATCTGCAAGTGATGAGTCTTTGTCATCTGCATTTCAACCTGCTCACTCATTGCTAGATTCTTCAGAAGGTGTGACTTATATTCAAAGAATTTTTTTTAGGGTTACACTGCTGGGTACTCTTCAGATCAATGTTTATATTCCTTGCCATGAATATTTGATCATATTGTGGACAGATGTAGCAAAAATTATTGTTGAAACTTTTAAGAGATTACGAGGCATAGTTGTGTGTTGTCACTGTGTTCTAAATCTAATTGTAAATTGCTATGTTTTAGGAAGTCGTGGAGATATGAGATTTGACACATCAAATTATCTGATTGGGGAAAACCAAGGTATTAACTATCCATGTTGGGGGGCAACGTTGAGTGTCCAAAAACACAAATATGGACGGAGAAATTGACAAAATTTCTGTATTAAACATTTGAGAGAGAAAACGGAAATATGAGAAGAAAAACCTAATGTATGAAACTTAAAAAGCTATTTATTTGATCAGGTATCTACTATTTTGACTAGCAACAGGTCCTTGGTCCTTGGTAGTGTCCTTGCAACTGGACATAGCAATCATTCTTTTTAGGTCATTTTGTTTTTGGGAACTTTGATTTTAAATGATGTTTCTATATGATTCACAAATGTTTTTGCACATCAAAGCATCTATGCATCTGTGTTGGTGCATTTTGATTGATGTAGTAATCATTTGGACATTGCTGATATTTGATGTAGGCTCCCATAAACATCATGGTCGCCGAGGAACAACACATGGTGTTAAGGATCTTGATGGCTCACCGGTTGCAGTTGAAGGAAAACATTCAAAAAGAGGCTATGGCTCCCATGAGGTGCTTCAACTTTGTTTTGCATGCTTGCTTACGTGCATTCAGTAGTCAGTATCTTGTTTTTTACTCATTGTGGTATAGGTAGTGAAACATTTACTTAATGTGTGTGCAGAAACAAGTGTGGGTTCAGAAGTCAAGTTCTGGTTCTTAAGGAATTTTTTTTCTTGCATTGGTAAGCTCTTGGAAGATTAATTTTGGCTCAATTTTATATCATCATCATCATCATATGAGTACTCTGTCGTTCCATTGTTTTGTATTTTACGCAGTATCTTGTATTAAATCCAACTTTAGAATTTTTCTATTACTTCTTTTCCGCTAGTCTTTGTCTGTCTCTTGGTGTTTTACCTTCTACTTTCATTTGGGCACCTTTTGTTGTCTAGAAATTATGATGCATATGTCGCTCCCACCTAAGCCTAATTTCTGGTCTTTTCACTAATAGGTTACTTTCGCTGTTTCTCTAAAACTTTGATTTTTAATTGTCTTTTCAGCATCCCAAATTTCAGAGAAGTTACTATTTAAAAAATTGAGTTGTCTCTGTAGAAGTTCATAAATATACTGACAATCTGACATAAAAAGTGTCCATGAATGTAATCTCAATAAATTGATATTCTCAATGAGTGCCTGATGTTGACGAAACCCTGGTTTCATGGATTGCAATAGTTGTTAATGCTACCATTTTTAGAACTCCTGCATACACGACTACATGAGTTTGATAACGAACTCTAGTTTCTTTTAAAGTTTCATGTCTTTCCAGAGGCTTCTCTTGGCTGCTGTATGTTTTCCTTGGCTTGGGAATCTCTTTTTACAGTCTGACATTGTTAATCCATTGATGCTCTACCGGCATTAAAGATAATATAACAGATATTGTGTTCACATGGTATATGTGCTAGGTAATTAAGAAATCAATGTATGCATGATTTAGTATGTGTTGCAAGAATTGGAGAAAAGGGGCCAAAAGGCTCATTTTACAAGAGGCTTAGCTGGGATTTTGTCTTTTATAAATGACTTATATTGGCTATATGTTTATTACTTTGCAGTGTGATGTTTGGCTACTTGAACCTTCGTAGCATGCATGTTGCATTGGCCTGAGGCTGTCTGTTTTTCTGGACGGATTACCAGGTGTAAACGAAGTTTCAGCATCCTTTTGGAAAACCATACTGAATGAAGGAGAGATGTGGGTATATAAATATATTATGGGTTTGAAGAAAGCACATGTTTGTTGTTGACAGCATGGAAATAGGAGGGAAAAGGAAAAACAGAAAAAGACATCAGCATCATTAACGTATATAACAACACAGTTTTTATCAGGGTGCCCACACCAACGGGTTCCTCTCAGAAGAGTTATGGATAGTCATTCTTGTCCTTGACTGGTTATCAGGATATTTAGGTTTTATAGGTGGATGATGTCGTCCATTAGTTAAACTGTAAATATAAAAGCGGAGCACTATATACGGCTTTAAAGTTTGTTTATTTCTACGAGTTAGCATTGTTTAAAGGCCCTGGTATCTTCTCCAGTACTCTGAAGGGGTTTTGTTTTGAATAGAAGACAACTTCAGCCCTTTTGCAATTGATGGCCGGTGGTTGACTATAATTGGAGTTGATATAGACTGATTGGTTGGGTCTATGTTTTGGCAATGTTTTGGCAGTGTTTCACCTTGTTTTAACGGAGACATTGCTTTGCTGTTATATGAATGAGATTGTATACAGAGTGTAGTGCTTTTAATTGCAGAACATAATTTGTGTTGCTTCTCTCTCTCTCTCTCTCTCTCTCTGCTGTTGAATACAGGTTGTGGTAGTGTTTTAATTACCGGAACATAATTTGTGTTGCCTCTCTCTCTCTCAGAAGGCATTGTTTTGCAAACTTGGGAGATGACTCTTCGCAGCATATAGATTGTATTGCTTTACCTGGCTAGCCTGATGGCTGTTGGCTTCTGATCGGTCATCTTCTGAATTGACTTGCCGTTTTTTTTTTTAAGGTTTAAAATTAGCTTTTCAATCATTTCAACTTATTAATACACTTCAAATTGGACGGGAACAGGAGTTGCCTGGAGTTTGGATAGCTGCTGCATCTTGCAAATTCAGTCCTAGATGCAAAAGGAAAAGAGAGGATAAATCAATTTGTTCTACTTTTGTGGGGTGTCTTTTTTTTATTATTATTTATTTCTGACCTGGATAGGAGAGAAATAGACACGGTTCCTGACTGCCTGCCCTGCAATCGCTGGGAAGAAAAGAAATAGAATGAAAGGCCTAAAGAAGTTTGGAGTTTCGGGCCAAAAAAGTCTTTGCACTTGATGGATAAAATAACAAATAAATCAATGGATGGAGATAGAAGTGGAAGTGGAAGCAGCAAGCAAAGAAAAGAAAACTGGGGACGTGGTTAGCGTTAAAACTACAAGTCTACTCTTCAGTACCAACCAAGCACTCAAAACTCAAAACTGAGAGCATTGACATGTACTGAGAAAAGAAAAGGCTGAGCTTGCATTTCGTTTCATTGCATTGCACGTGTTCTTCTCAAAGGAGTAGTCCTTTTCTTATCGTTTATCAACTTCGGTGGTAATGGCAGCATTTCCAAATAATACTCTTCGGTCTTTCAAACCTCTCTCCCCCACTTTTAACTCCTCAACGGTCAGAAATTCCGTTTTGGCGCGAAATTCCATCAGTCAGGTGCCCTCTTCAACTGGAGCTGTCTCTGCCAAAGAAAAGAGATCCTTCCCAGGTGGACTCACTCTCTCACACTCTCTTCTGGGTTTTCCTTCACCCAAGTGTTACAGTTAAAAAATTGAATTATTTAGTAGTTTAGTGGTAGTTTTGTTGCTTTGCTTCCTTCATGTCATCATGTGCAATGGTATTCTATTACTAAAATGGATTCTTGAATCTGAATTAGGCAAATGAGATTGAGTTAGGTAGAGGTTTTGCTTTCTGATGTCCAACTTAATCAGCTTCTGAGATTTTAGTGTGAGGGTTAGGAAGGATTCTTGGTTAAGGAAATGGGACGTGTCAAACGCTCCATGCATGGTTTCCAGTTAAAATGTCTTTGCCTAACTGCTGAAATGAGACAGTTAGTGTTGCATTATCTGGTCTTTTGATGCATAACATTTTCAATGATTTTCTGAAGACGGCTGAGTCCTCCTCTCCATAGTTGTTTCAGTAGTTTTCTGATAAATGCCTCCATTTATTGTGCAGGGAAACCAGAGGCTGACGTTGTAGTCATTGGAAGTGGTATCGGTGGATTGTGTTGCACCGGGCTCTTAGCTAGGTACCAGCAAGATGTTCTTGTCTTAGAGAGTCATGATCTGCCTGGGGGTGCTGCTCATTCGTTTGACATTAAAGGCTTTAAATTTGACTCTGGCCCATCTCTGTTCTCTGGTTTTCAGTCCAAAGGCCCTCAGGCTAATCCTCTTAGTCAGGTAATTTGTTCCTTCATTTTTCTTTCGTTGCTTTTCAGTCATTGTGATGAGGACTCATTTGTAGTGTCAGTCAAGGTTTGCTTTAGATTTACTTTCATTTCTTTCTATTAATAGCATGGACAAATTTGCAGCACAACAAAAATCGATATAATAAAAAAGCAGTCTAAATTTCAATCCAAGATCAAAATCATTGAGGGAGTTTGCTTGGGATGTGGGCATTAACTCGACCCAGGTCACTAGTTGATGTAATCATTACACTGACATTTTTTCCTTTCATTTAGTACATTATAAGTTGGAACTTTAGGCTGTTTTGAGAAAAGATAGTCAAAAGATTTTTCATAGAGTTGACTTTAAAGCAATGTCTAAGAAAACTTGGAAATGAGTCCAATGATTTGCTGATTCGATGATTTTCCAGGTTCTTGATGCATTGGGTGAGACAATTCCTTGTGCTAGTTATGATTCATGGATGGTCTACTTACCTGAAGGTGAATTTCTGTCGCGCATTGGCCCCACAGAATTTTACAAGGTGGATTCTCATTATGATTGTTGAGGTTTCATCATTTTAATCATTGGTTTGGCTTATGAGGCTTATTGTATCTCTTGGATCATTCTTAACCCTGTAAGAGTAGACGCTACCTAATCATTAATCAATAAACTTGCCTATTGCTTGTGTTGCTAGATTATTTCCTATCCCCTTTGTTGCTGTCTAACCTCTTTCTAATGGTTAGTTTGTTCCAGAAATAATTCACTGAGCAGTTTATAGTCAAGGATTTTTCACTCACTGTGTTTAGTTTTTCTTCCCCTTCCAGGACCTGGAGAAGTATGCAAGTGCAAATGCTGTTCAAGAATGGAAAAAACTTCTTGTGAGTACCATCAATAATTTTTGTGTGGACATAATTAGGTTTAATATTTTGAAATAAAAAGGACAAAGTAATGATCATAAAATTGGTTGGTATCCTTTGACCTTTAGAAAGCTCATACTGGAATATATGGTTTCTTCTAAAACGAAATACCTATGTATATACCTCCATATTCTTGTCACAGCAGTTTTCTTTCGGGTTACCTCTCATAGGAAAAATGAAACTCTTCTACAGGATGCCATTCTTCCATTGTCTGCAGCTGCAATGGCTCTGCCTCCACTTTCCATCCGAGGGGATTTGGGTGTTCTTTCCACTGCCGCTGCAAGATATGCTCCCTCTCTCTTGAAATCTTTTGTACAAATGGGACCTCAGGGAGCACTTGGTGCCACAAAGCTTCTCAGACCATTCTCAGAAATCATTAACTCATTGGAACTGAAAGATCCCTTTATACGTAATTGGGTGGACCTACTGGCTTTCTTGCTTGCTGGGGTGAAATCTAATGGTATACTTTCAGCAGAGATGGTAACTAATATGCATTAATCCCTACAGAAATCTCTTAGGGATGCTATAATAACTATGCTTAGCATATGCTTGCTAGAAGCTTGTTTAGAGTTCTGCGCTTGTTGTCCAACTTGTTACATGCAATAAGCCACAACTAATGATTTTTCTGATTCTTTAACTACATGTTTAGCTATGGTAGGTTACTTTTGGTTTTGGCGATGAACAATATCTGATTATTGCTAAATGTTAGTTTATAGCCGCTACAAAGCACCAATCCCCTGTAACTCTTAATGATACATATTCACATAATTATCTTTCATCTTACCATCTTGATGTCACAAATTGTTCAGCTTTTGTAATTGCAACTAAGTGTACTGTTCTATTATTTTTTAGGATACTTTGAAATGCATTTGTTTTAGAGTTAGCTCATCTGTTAAGTGTAACATCCCATTATTTCTTATTTATATGATTTCCAGTTTTAAACATATATGATATATGTAAGTTTGATGTAAGATGTTGTCATATGATTACAGCATCACATAATACCTTTTTTTTTCTCTTTCTAATTGTTCAGATTTACATGTTTGCGGAATGGTATAAGCCAGGCTGCTGTCTTGAGTACCCTCTTCATGGAAGTGGTGCAATTGTTGATGCTCTTGTTCGGGGATTTAAGAAGTTTGGTGGACGGATTTCTCTTGGAAGTCATGTGGAAAAGATTGTTGTTGAAAATGGTCGAGCCACTGGAGTCAAGCTAAGAAGCGGTCAAGTAAGTAAATTATGTGTGATAAAATATACTGTGAAGTCTTTAAACTGAATTACTTTTAGTTTGATGTTAACACCCGAACAAACATTTATGCTGCAGTTTATACGTGCTAAAAAGGCTGTTGTTAGCAATGCCTCTATGTGGGACACTCTAAATCTATTACCTAAGGAAGTTGTTCCAAAGTCATATCTGGACAGGACCAAGAAGACTCCTCAATGTGAATCATTCATGCATCTTCATTTGGGATTTGATGCAGAGGTGAGTGTTCTTATAAGAAGCTGACATAAGTAGTAACATGATCCAAATTCTCTCTCAAATAATGTGTTCAAAATTCTGCTTAACAACCAGGATGTACGGAAGGACTTGGGGATTCATCATATAGTTGTTAATGATTGGGATAGAGGAGTGGATGCTGACCAGAATGTTGTTTTGATATCTGTACCTAGTGTACTAAGTCCGGATCTGGCACCACCTGGGAAACATGTGTTACATGCTTATCTTCCAGGAACTGAACCCTTTGATTTGTGGAAAGGATTTGACCGTAAAAGCTCTGCATACAAAGAGCTCAAAGCTGAGAGATCTGAGGTACTTACATATGCTACCTACATTTATTGTCATTCAATTTATTAATTCTTCAGCGTGAGCCAATCATGTAGAATCCAATTGCAAACTTACAGCTACTCTTATTAATTGAATTCAAAGAAGACAAAACAAAAGATAATATATATAGTGCAGCCTTACAAAAAGAAAAGCCAAACATAACCCCTAATACAATTATAGAGACCTAACCGACATATAATATACACCAACTTCTCGCACAATATGTTGATAGTGTAAAATTGATAAATCAAATTCTATTTTCCTTTGTGGTTTCTCAGATGTTGATCAGCTAAGACTAGTGAAACTTAGCATGACCAACACTTATGTTTCTCTAAGATCAAGTTTTCAGTTTATTAACTAGAAACTTGAGCAAGTGGAAAGATTTTAACCTGCTGTTATAAAAACCTGTTGATCAGCTGAGACTCCTTAACTTTATCTAGCAATATAACATATTTTTCTAAAATACGAATAATTTCGTGGGAGTTCTGGAAGGTTCTTGAGGGAGGATTTATCAGTTCCTGATGTATATTTTCAGTCTGTGTTGCTCTTGCTTTGATCTCTCCGAGTTTGTCATTTCTCTGTTGTTGGTTTGAATTCTTCGCCATAATTTCCACCCCAGCCCCCTTGCCCAAAACTCCTTTCTCATAAAACAAATAAAAAAAGGTTCGTTCATTTCTATGGTCAAGAAATTTGACTCATAATTGCATTAGTTTTCTCTCAAGTTGATGAACAATAACATTGGTGCCATTTTGACTCACTGGCCATCAATTATGTAAATAGTGAGAGCCTAGCCTCCTGTAGGTTATGTCATGATCAAGATTCTTAAATTAGAAAAATAACAAAACACAAAAACCAGTTATTTGAATAAAATCTGGGAGACTTGCTTATATTCTTAGCAGGATTTTAACAAATCCAGTGGTACGTCACACCTAATTCTTTTTTTTTTCTTTCCCATTTAATTGTGTATCTTTGTTTCCTTTCTGCTTCTGCTTTGCTGGGTGTGGACAGGTTGTCATGGTTAAAATGCATGCATCGTATGAGCTCACATGGCAGCTTTCTGTTTTTTGGTTTATATGTGTGCGCGTCAGAGATATAGATAGAGATGGCAACAGTCATGTTCGTTCGTTTTCCTCAACTTTGAAAAATGCCTCAAAACATGGAACCCCATTAGTTAAATATATGATGCCATAATACGAAAACGATTGGTTGGTTTTTACCATCAAAGCTTAGCAAAACTTTCCATGTAAACTGGAAATCAACAGTAGGAAATAGTCTTTCTAACATTTGCATATGGCTGAATATCACCTTCTCCCCACTGGCCCCTTTAAAGCTTACCTGATTAAGTTCAATTCTTACACTTCATTAAATCATTTTCCTATCTCAAATTTGTTACTGTTGTAACTTGTAACAACTTCTGATCTCTTTTATTTTTCTTATCCATTGCTTATGATTCATCACTTGTAATTCAGGTTATGTGGAGAGCTGTGGAGCGTGCAGTTGGTCCTGGCTTTAGCCGAGAGAAATGTGAGGTTAAGTTAGTCGGATCTCCATTGACGCATCAGAGATTTCTCCGAAGGAACCGAGGAACATACGGACCAGCAATACAAGCTGGTAAAGACTCTTTCCCAGGGCATTCTACTTCCATCCCTCAGCTTTATTGTTGTGGAGATTCTACTTTTCCTGGCATTGGTGTCCCTGCAGTTGCTGCTAGTGGTGCCATTGTAGCCAATTCACTAGTTTCTGTGTCTCAACACTCTGAACTTCTTGATGCCATTGGAATTTGAATGCATGGTAGTCTAAGATTTGTATTGTTTCTACAATTTTTATTTTTCGTATTATTTCATCCTCTGAGAAATGTATTATATACACTGCCACATACTCTGAATGGATGATAAAATATTCTGTATGTACTATTGAAACATAAAATAAGGAGTATTAAAAGAAAGAAAATGTGGTTCCCTTTTATTTAAATTAAAATAATTACTAGAGTTGTTACCTTGTTCTTTTGTCTCCTTTATGTTATATAAAGTTCCTTTGCCGGTAGGTATTTTGCTTCTTTTCTTTCTTAATTTTTTTGGTAAACAAATATTTATTTTTCTTGATACATATTGTTATTTTTAATGTGGGCTCTACGAATCATTTCACATTCTTTCTTTCAGATATGTGGCGTAGCATAATTCCTGTATTCATAACTTTTTCCACAATTCAATCTTAAATTGTTGGTATTTATTTATGCTAGTCATATATAACTCATATGTAGCTTCACTAACACCCTAATATCATACAACATTATTACTTAAATTGAATTATTAAATTTTTTTTGTTGCCAAAGTTAGGATTAGGAATGGGGAGTCAAGGTGCCTTGAGGGTTTGAATATGAGACCACTGATGTGCAAATTAAGATCCCTTTTTACTAATAAGCTAGACCCCGTTGACAAATTGTTATTTAGATCTTAAACCCAATAATATGATAATATATAAAGTATTAGAAAAATAAATAAATAATTGTTTTTTCGTTTCAACATGACAAGATGAGGAGTGAGGAAGTCAAAATACTTGATTGTCTCTACATTGGCCTTATATAATATTGTCAAATTTGAGCAATTTTATATGCATATCTGATTTTTTTTTCTTTAAACCATTTGAATACACATATTTTGATATTCTACAATGAAAACTGTGGGTTGGGTGAAGATAGAGAGGAATGTTATGTGCATGCAGAGAGATATTTATACATGAATGATATTAAGTAACAAAAAAGTCAACATAATGGAAGGTTACCGGTCGTCCTCATGATGAAGACGTTGACCCACAATACCATTTAGATGGAGAGCTAGCATATTGAAGTGGTCCTCCTGCTGCTGCTGCTAGATCATGTCATGTTATTACCAAATTATATATATATAGTCTTATAAAATATTTACTACTTTCACTATCTTATCTAACATGACATGAGCGGTTTTATTGTCGAATATAAAGATATTTTGATTAGTAAGTCTTTCAATAAAATTATTAATTCGTCAACAAAGCCGCTCATGTTCGATAATACAAGAAAAATCACTTAATTAAGAAACTTTAAAGTCGTGAGTATTTTTGGATTCCGATAACCATTCTCCCCTTTCGTGGAGATAAACAAGCCTTTTAAATAAGACTAGTATTCACAAAACTATTTGTACGATATTATCATCCGACTACATTATATATATATATAACGTTACTATTATCATAATGTAGAGAGGGGGATGATAATGATATCGATAATAAAGACATTGTTAACAAAGATAGCGTATTAGCGTTGGTCGGCAACTGCTAAAGGCTTACCGATGTGACGTGGCACCGCCTGCAAAAGAATAAAACAAGTTGCATTACAATTTACAAGTGTCTTGATGAGATGCATGCAAATTGGTGAGCCCTAATTATAGAAACATTTGAAGGATATAAAATCTTGCATCGTAAACTTGTCAAAATAAATACAGTTATAAGTATGTGGTTTCACCAGAAATAACACCAAGGTATTTTATGACAAAATATCACACATGTCGTGTGTTGTACATGCTGGAAATTGTAAATGAAAAACAATTGTTCCACATTGGAAAAATAATTGTGCATAAATGGGTATATTAAGTGGCAGCTCTATCTCTCTCTCTCTATAAATTGCACCCATATTTTTTGAGATAAATCCTCATACTTGGATGGTTCATGAGCCTAATCAATTATGAAAGACCTAGGTGACGAAGTTTAGAACAATTAGTATCAGAGCCAATGAATGACTTGGGACATTTGAGTTTGACACATCATTATTTGAGGTGGAGCACATATCTAAGTCTGAAGTCAAGAGAGAGACAAAGAAGGGAAGATGAAAATTTTTGGTGGGAATGGAAAGTGGAGATCTAGGGTTCAATTTATTTTGTCAACAACTTTTGGAAATATTCATCATTTTATTGCTCTCAGTTCAAATCAAGCAAACTGATGGTTTGAAGATTGTAAAATTGTGAACTAGACCAGCCGGTTCGATTCAATTTCTCACTGAAGTTAAATAATAAACAAATCATACCAAACCAAGCTGATCGATTTGATTCAGGAAGTTTGGTTGCCTAGCCTTAGGTGCAATTATGGAGTCACCATTTACTTATTTCATTATGAATACCATATCCGATGACTAGCTTCGAATACTTGGCACATCATTATTTAAGGTGGAGCACATATTTAAGTCTAAAGTCAAGAGAGAGACAAAGAAGAGAAGATGAAACCTTATCACTTTTATTGTTTATTTTAGTTTCGATGGGGATGGAAAGCGAAGATAAAGGGTTTAATTTCTTTTGTTACCAACTTTTGATATATTCGTCATTTTATGGCTATCAGTTTAGTTCAAGAAATTTGATGGTTTAAAGATTGTAGAATTGTGAACTAGACCGGCATATTCGGTTTGATTTCTCATCAAAATTAAATAATAAAAAAATCAGACCAAACCAAGTAGATCGATTTAGTTTGCCGATTTAGTTGCCCAGCCTTAGGTGCGAGTCACCATTTACTTATTTCAATATGAATTTGTTTTGAACGTCTTGTAGTTTTAGCACTTAAAAAATCATCAATCATGTGAGCTTCCACTTAAAAAAAAATTTATGAAATGTTTTTAGTGCATGTTTGTATTGTCTAAATGAAATGCTTTTGACTGGATTTTGGTGCTTGGTCATCTTAGCGGCTGATTGGTTGTCTTGGGCATGGGTGGGCATGGTTTAGTTATGTCTGGTTCTCTCCTAGAATTGAAATCGAAACCAGAGCTTACACATGGTCCGATTCGATTCGATTCGATTTTTATGGAACGTGTCTAGAAGAACTTAACTAAATCGGACCTATGCAATTTCGGTTCAGTTCGGACTGGTTCCCTATTTGAAAAGATAAAAATATAAAGATGTGAATAAGAGAGAAATTGAAAGAAGAGAAAATGGATAGAAGAGATAAAATAATAGAGAAAGAGATAAAGAGGAAGATAAATAGAAAGAAATATGTGGAAAAGAGAGAAAGATGGAAGCTAAGATTTCTAGATATTACTTGTAGTTACTAATGTTATTTGAATATTAATTAGACTTACTAATAATTTTGGATATAAATGAATAAGTAAACTTAACATAACTAGTCCAGTTTGGTTTAGACCAATTTTTCCAAGACAAGAACCAGGGGGGGAACTAACCCAAAGTGGTTTGATTCGATTTTTGAGTGTAGGTTGACTTTTTTTTTTTAACACAATTTTTTCCGACTGGGTTCACCGGTTCAAATGCCCACCCCAGTCTTGGGGATGATGTGGTAGCATATCAACTTTTTATTTTCTTGTTGAATGTTGCAATTTTTTGAGGTTTTTTTGTGAGATTTTAAAAGTTGTGGTTGCAATTGTAGTTTTGTGTGATGAGGCATTTGCCTGGTTTTTCCAAGCTTGTGGCTTTTATGCTAGAATTTATTTGGTCATGTGTGGCTGTGAGTCGAGATACACCTAGAGCGCTTGATGTTATTAGTGGACTCATCCATATTTAGTTAATCATTTGTGATTACTATGCTTATGTATTTGTATTAACCATATGTGATTATTTGTATTTATATTAACCTCGCTTATAAATGTAATTTATCTCATTTTTCTAAAAGAAAAGAATTTGCAAAAAAATTAAATGTTCTAAAAGCTTTTAAATTTGTAATACAAAAAAAAAGTTAAGGAAAAACAAGTACACAATCATCTACATTCCCCTCCCCGCCTCTAGTTTTAGATAAAGAGTAGAGTAGAGTATAGTAATATCATCATCAGCGTCTTATTTGTCCCGACTCCATTATTCTTTGTTTGTTTTGAAAACCACCCAAAGCTGTCCACTTTCTCTCTCTCTCTCACCGCTCAAAACTCAGAGAAAAAGAAAACCAATAAAAAGCTCAAAAAGTTAATTGATTTTCCGTAAAATTAATAATATTAATAATTATAATCTGATCAACTACAGTTCACTCTCTCCGATCAATCCTTTCTTCTTGTGCAAATTTTTCTGCTCCAATCTCAAAATTCGAAGAGCAAAATTTAAAATGCGCGAGCTCTGCTTCGAGCCCTCTCCGAAACGCTTGCAGGTCAGTCTTCTAAAAGATCCATCCGTTTTCAAAATCTCTGAATTTTTAATGTATTGAATTTTCTGGTTATTTTTGTGTGTGGAGATTGATTGATTTTGAAGGATCGGCGTTCATTTTAATGTGTTTTGCATTCGAATTTTGTGGTTAAAATAGAAAGTTGGAGTGAGTTTGGTGTGGATCTGAAAGTAAATTAGTTTAACTTTAAATTGAAGTTTCTTTATTTTTTTGGCTTTCATTTCTGTTCAACAATCCGTCTAAATTTCTTTGTTGTTTTTGAATTTTTTTCAATTTTTCAAACCTGTAAAAGACCCTTAAAGAGTTTTGATTTTCTTTTTCTTTTTCTTCTTGTTGTTTAATAGAAAGATAGGTACTTGGATGGGACCGGACGCAGAAGTAGAGAGTATTGCAAGGTTGGGAAGTACTAGCATCTGCGGTAGTGACAGACATTGTTATGGCGTCTGCTAGCTTAGGGAACGGTGGAGTTGGCAGTTCAAGGTCGGTGAATGGCTTCAAGAGTTCGTCTAGTTCGGTTGACTGGCTCGGGAGGGAGATGCTTGAGATGAGATTGAGAGACAAGCCGGATCATGATGAGGATAGAGTAAGCCTTGTGCATTTTAAATTGTTCAAGAAACATGTCAAATTCTTGCATTACCTGTCAATTGTTGCAACTATCACATGAAAACTGGTGGGTCTTTACATTTCTAACAAGCAACAGGTGAGCAAAATGAACCAGGCACCGGCTCTATTTGAACGTGACTGGTTTTGACTATAATTTGGTGTTTTTGCTACACTCAGTTGACAGTTCTTACTATTTCTTCTGTTGTAGGATAGTGAACCGGATGTCATTGATGGTGTGGGTGCTGAAACAGGGCATGTAATACGAACAACTGTTGGTGGTCGAAGTGGTCAATCTAGGCAGGTTGGATAAAAATCTATTTGCGTTCAAATTTAATTTAGTAATATTTTAAATCAGATGTGGTGATTTCATATATCTTTGGTGACTTACATTTTGTTTCATTGTTTGGTTTTGACAGACTGTGAGTTATATTTCAGAACATGTGGTTGGAACTGGTTCTTTTGGGGTTGTTTTCCAGGTAGATAAATATTTTTCTCAATTGAAGCCACCTAATTTTCCAATGAATTAGTGTTGATAAAACTTTCTTTGCACAGGCAAAATGTAGAGAAACTGGAGAGATTGTTGCTATCAAGAAGGTCCTTCAAGACAAGCGCTACAAGAACAGGGAGTTACAAATTATGCAAATGTTGGATCATCCAAACATTGTGGCCCTAAAGCATTGCTTCTTTTCAACCACAGACAAAGAAGAGGTTTACTTGAACCTCGTACTTGAATTTGTTCCTGAAACTGTTAACCGTATTGCGAGGAACTATAGTAGGATCAACCAGCGGATGCCCTTAATATATGTTAAACTTTACACCTATCAGGTATCAAATTGTCTTGATTCTTAGTTTTCTCCTTTGGTTTAATTGTATTTTAACACAATCTACTGCCTGAATCTTGCTCCACAAACGAGCATAGGGCTATGGCTACTATGTAATTTGAATTTCTATTAGTGTCTCTTTTTTTTTAAAGCATTGTTTTCTATTTTCCGACTTTATTTTCGTGCAGATCTGCAGGGCTCTTGCTTATATACATAATTGCATTGGAATCTGCCATCGTGACATTAAGCCTCAGAACTTACTTGTAAGATATTTTCTATTTCCTTCCTGAAGAACTGGGTGCTCTTGTATAATACTTTATCTGTATGCTATCTGCCACCCCAATTCCCTGGGTTCCTAAGCAGAGCCAGAGGTCCCTCTTTAAGAACCATCTGGGTAAATAATTAGTGAATTTGAAAATTGTTTTCCCATTTGATTATCATCATCATTTCAATGTTTATTATCAGAAATACTGTCATTGTCTATTTGTCTGTTGACAATTGGATGTATAAATAATTTCCCATTTGGCTAATATGCAACAATATTTCTTGATCCGGTACATTGCAGGGTGGCCCTACAAGGATGTCTGCACTTTTTTTTTACTTTTATAAATGTGGATGTCCTCTTTAGAGAATTTTCATATTTGTATATGTGTATATATGTGTGTGGATGTATTCTGTGATTCGAATTTTTGATCATGCTCTAATGCTACCTGTTATTCAGGTGAATCCTCACACGCATCAGCTGAAACTTTGTGATTTTGGGAGCGCAAAAGTATTAGTAAGTATTTCAGGTCATCCTGTTTACTGACGAAGGGGTCCTTCTTAATTTCATTTATGGACAAAGGTCCCCTGTTTCCATTGTATCAGGTGAAAGGAGAACCAAATGTTTCTTACATCTGCTCAAGATATTATCGTGCTCCAGAATTGATATTTGGTGCCACTGAGTACACAACTGCTATTGATATATGGTCTACAGGTTGTGTGATGGCTGAATTACTTCTTGGGCAGGTGGTTTGGTACTCAAATATGTGAATGCTAACTTTTTTTTATTTTTTATTTTTCCTTAAAAGTATTTAATATTGTCAAGCCAACTTCTCTTGCAGCCCTTGTTTCCTGGCGAAAGTGGAGTTGACCAACTAGTTGAGATCATTAAGGTGAGGTCATCTATGTACTTATATGTTGATTTCCATTTTCTTTTTAATTTAGTGCACTTAAAGTTTTGGATTAAAACTATGAATTAAAACCATCAGGGTTGAGTATATGAGTTGTCTTGGACTGTCTGGGTTGACTGTGTTTGAGACACAGATTGGTTTTTCGGTATCAACTATCGTAAACTCTTTTCTCATTTGAATGTCACCGTTTTTCTTTTTCTGTTTTTCCTTTTTGAGTGGCGAATATAAATATGAAACAGGATGGAAAAAAATTTCTAGAGTTGTAAAAGTATAAAATAAGTTCTAGTCTTTAAAAAGCAATTGCCCCCAAAAATACATCCTTTCCATATATTATCTTTTCTTTAATGCATCTTCAACTCTCCACAATTATGAAAAGAAGGAATTCTTAAATAGACACGTTGTGTATCTTAAACTCTGTGCAGGTTTTGGGAACTCCAACTAGGGAGGAGATAAAGTGCATGAATCCAAACTATACTGAATTCAAATTCCCACAGATAAAGCCTCATCCCTGGCATAAGGTGTGTCTTTGCTTACTCATGTACTATCCTTTCATGTTTGCTTCTGACTTTCAAAAGTTCACAGATGATTCATTTATAATTTCATTTGATCAATCAAGCTGTGATTTAAATTATTAAACCTTAATTGTATTGTTACACTGAATGTGTACACAATCATTATCAAACTTACAGCATGAAGTCTGCTCCTCTTGTTGCTGATTCTGAAGGAGTCCATTATGGGGCAACACTAGTAATGATTCCATTAATGCTTTGGTAGTGAGTAGGGTAATTTTTGTTTATTTGGTTGGTATCTTTAACGGTCCACTCCCAAGTTTTGTTAGAGGAGATTGTACTAGGTAGATAAAGTGAAAATATTTTCTTTAGTTATGAGTTGAAAATGGCTTTATAAATGATTTCACTGATTGCTCAAGTAAATAGAAGTTTTTTCATTTAGGTATACTGTTTTCCAAGCATGTGTTGAAGGGCAGGAAAAAATGTTAATGACCTGCCATATAGGGATTTAGCTTAAGTTTGCTGATTGCTAAATGAAAGATTTGCCTGCTCAAGCTTGAAAAAGCCCTGTTTAAATGAAGTCATGAAAAACTGCTTCATCCTCATGTTGACTGCCTGACTGCCTTCACGTGTTCCTTTTCTTCCCCCAAATTATATTTTCTAATGCAGAATGTAGTATGCCCGTTCCCATTGATATGATGTTTATATCCATGTTCATATGTGACTTCCATCATTAGTGGTATTGTGCATTTTGTTTTGTAATTAGCATTTGCTCTCAAAAGAGTTTCATTTACAATGGAGATTCAGTATGATATTCTTGTCATGTTATAGGTATTCCAAAAACGCTTGCCCCCAGAAGCAGTAGATCTTGTTTGTAGGTTTTTCCAGTATTCCCCCAATCTGCGATGCACTGCTGTAAGTATAACTTACATTGTTTTTGTTCCTTCAGTGGATATTATCTTTCAGTGCTAATCCCTATTCTCCATTGGTTTTGCAGTTGGAAGCTTGCATTCATCCTTTCTTTGATGAATTGAGAGACCCAAATACTCGTCTTCCTAATGGTCGCCCTCTTCCTCCTTTATTCAACTTTAAATCCCAGGGTGAGTTTGATTAGTATCTATTACAATAAACATATGATACCATCTCAATTTTCTCACTTCCTATTGAGATTGCTGATAGTGGCTTCTTGGTTATTATGATAATTACAAGTTCTTTAATCTAATGTGGAAAAAATGGATGGATTGTGTCATAGCACTGTTGAACTTTACATCAACAAAACTATATTTGGGATATGACATTATATTAGCCTTGAAAAGTTGTGAATTCAAAATTATTATACGAGAAATGGCTGTCTAGTGCTTTTCTGATCTTTCATTTAGTGGTCCTCTCTCTAATTTTATTTAACTTGATTACGATTACTGCGTCAAGTAATAGTCTCTATTCATAAATATGTAGATATAATTTAGAAGATGGGTTTTGTTTCTTTTCAACAACTTTGTGCTGCATGTATGTAATTAGATGGCATTAGTTATTAAGCCACATTAGGCTGCCCTTAAGTAACATGGACTTCAAATAGATGTTGTTCCCATATGAAACTATGAAGCAATCTATAATTTTCTAGTCCTTGTTGCCTGTCTGGACTCTTGGGGTTGGCCGTGTCCAACTCCATGTTTCTATGCCTCTGTCGTATCTGCTTAATTTTATGGCCTATAATGCTTTTCTTCACAAAACTGAGAAGGCCAAAATACACTGAACAACTAATTTCCGTTCCGAGTACGATTCAAACCACTCTGTTGAGGAAGTTCTGAGTTTGAGGTGTTACAGTTAAAAACAAGGTACAAAATAATAATCATAAGAAAATAGAGAAGCTGTAGGGGATCAAGGGTTTGTGGTCTTTGTGCTAAATTAGGGGTTTTACTTCTTGTGCTCTTATAATTGGCATGGTGTTTGGGAGATGTGCTGTCATGGCAACCTTTTGGGTGGGGTGTGGGTGGAGAGGAATAGAACTTTTGGAGGGTGGAGCAAGGGATGTGGAGGTGGATCTTCTATGGGATAGGATTCATTTTTGGGATTCACTTTGGCCGTTGGTATCTTCAGAAGTTAGGGGTGGTTCCTTTCAGGATATATTGTATGATTGGAATTCTGCTGTACACTACTAGTTTTGTTGGTGTGTTGCTGTGTATCTTTGTTGTGCAGCTATGCTTTGCAGTCTTTGTTGAGTTGTTTAGATAGCTAGACCCCAATGGACAACTTGTCCCTTGTATTGTTCTGTTCTCTTCTTAATGAAATTATGTTTCTTAATACAAAAAAAGACAACGAAGTAACAGAGAGAAGTAGGAAACAGTACATTAATTGAAAACAGATTACAAAAACCAAGAGGGTGTCTTTTCTTCTTTTTCCTTGTACGTGCAGTTTTGCATCCATTAAAATTATTTATATTTGGTTTTCCATGTTCCTAATGCCCCTTTTATGTTTCTATTCTCTTTGATAGAGCTTCAAGGAATTACACCTGACATAGTCAATCGACTTATCCCAGAGCATGCCCGTAAGCAGAACTTATTTATGGCTTTGCACACCTAGCAACTTCTATGAACGTCTCTTGCATCTGCTTGCCCTCTCACTCCAATATGGTCTTGTATCAACATATGTAAAATCTCTCTACCTTTTTACTTGTCATCTTGTGTCCTGTGACCGTTAGTAGTAAGAGTGTTTTGCCAAAGTTCCCGAAACATTGTAGGAAATCTGAGGCTTTAAGTTTGCATGCGGATAGAGGTGGTTTTGTATGCTTATTTGAAGACCAAATATAAATTACATGTATGTTTATTGTGACTCCAAGCGCAAGGAATTTAAGATAATATATATACGTACAGAGAGTGTTTCTTCCTTGGTGTTTGGTCGAGCTACATTTTTGTGCATTGTAATTTGTTGAATGTTTCGATTCAGTCTTGTTGCTTTCAATTTGAACAATGTGGATCATACATTTCCAGAATTACGTTGATACGGTGCTTACTCAAACCGAAAGACAGGAATTTACGTGTGGTATTTGAATTTGGCATGTATTTTTTGGAAAGTTTAAATGGAAATTAATTTGGAGATGTTTGTTTGTAGTGGAATATCATTTATTGCTCTTAAGTTTCCCATGGCAAAGAAGTTGTGATGTAACCAGGATAAGGAAATTTTGACCATAGACTCCAATTGCTCAAGCCGCAGAGTTACCCTTGGATCTACATCTAAGAAATGAAAACGAAAAATGAAAAATGAAAAAAGACAGGCTTGCTTGGACCGTTGGAATTTGATCCTGTAATAATTTTTTTTAAATGGAGAAATAAGAACAATCACGAGAAAACTAAGGGCACGCAGGCTCAAATAAATCAAAATAAAAAGGAAAAGAATAGTTCAGCGGCAAACCATGCTCCCAAACACAAGAAGTGGATAGGTCATGGCTTAAGCCAGCGGCAGGATCTGCTGTAAAATTGGCTTCTCGAAAGACATGAATAAACCAAGTTTCTTCACAAGACATGATCTTGTATTTCCTAGCTTACTTTGTATATGGGATGGGCTTGATGTTAATGCGTATGTGTTCAATCCCTTTTGGTTATCTTTTTTATATATGCCATATGTTGACCTAGCTAACCTGTTTTTTATATATAAAAAAAATAACAAGAAAGCAAAACAAAAAGGAACATATACGTGCTTTGTTTTGTAGGACTTTATAAATATTATTATTCTTGCTTCCATTAAAAGGCTATCTGGATTATGAGAAAATGGAGGACATGGAAAAAAAAAGTAGGATTTTTTCTTGCTTACAACCGACTATATACAATTTCGTCTATTTTTCTCATCATGCGGTTGCGGTGCCATATGACGGGAGAAGAAGGCAAATTGGCATATAGTGCATGTGAAAAGAAAAGGCATAAAGCAAAGCAAACAAAGAAAAGGAATATGTGTCACTAATTGGTTTCCCAATTTTTCTTTCTTTCTTTCTTTCTAAATTAAAAAGAAAGAAAAACTTGGCTTGTTTTCATGGCAAGTTGAAAACCAATGGGCAAACAAACAGCCCACGGTTTGACAAGGTAAGACTGATTTTCCCGTTTTCCGCACGCAAATCTGAGTTAGGATGGTGTACACCACATGGCATGCCCACAACGGACACAGCATATACTTCATTCATGCCCACAACGTTTGAGAAGAGATATGGAAGTGCGTACAACACGTGGCTAGTGTATCATTCAATACACACAAAATATATTGGTATTTTATCCATTACACATAAAAAATAAAAATAAAATATTTTCACATGTCCTATATATATTGAATGATACACCAGCCACGTGGTGTACTTGGAATATACAAATATTTCTCCTACAACAAGACTTAGAGAGAGGGCCTTTTTTGTTGATATTATTTTCTTTCTTTTCTTATATATGGTGGATTTTCACATGCTTATGTGAAAGAGAGGGATTTTTTATTTTATTTATTCTTATTTAGAATTTAGAGCATGTTTAACATTAGTTATTTGTGTATTCAAATTCTGTGTTTGTATTCCCCTTCTTTATTATCGCTTGTATGAAGAAAAAAAAGAATAAGAAACAGAGTCTTGTAAATGAAGTGATTAAGAGTATAGGTGAGGTTGTGTGTGTTTGATATTATCCGTACAGTCATATCATTTTTGTACAAAATTAAAGATAGAAAAGTATATTTCGGTTTTCTTGGCTATTATTTTTGTTTTTAGTCTTATTTGATTTTTTTTTAAAAAATTATTTCTTTAATTAAATCTGGAGTGCCTTTCCTCTTAAAATACCTTAAACCCTCAGCCCCTCAGAATGACAAAAAAAAAAATACAAACCCACCCAAAACCCCGAAGCCATGCTCTCTTCTTCTTCATTTCAATTTTAAATTTCCCATTTCCAAGCAGGGTTACACACACAGACGCCTGCTTGCTTGCTTAATCCTTAAATCCCAGAGGGGCTGTTTCGGAACAAAGAAAACAGGGGAGAGAAAATGGGTTGTGCAACGTTGGACCTCGTCGGAGCTGCTTCTCTCAAACTCAACACCAACACTCACTTCCTTCGTTCTCCGAAGCCATTCCTCTCCTTTGTGGGGCCCATCCGCTCTCGCAATCTCAACGGCCCATCATTGACCTTTCTCACTTGCCATGCCCACAAATCACGGCCGTCCGTTTCCCTTCGCGCCCAGTCTACTTCTGCTGCTCCTGCTCCTGGTAATTTTTGACAATTCACTTGATTTTTCTCCCAATTTTCATGCTTTTTCTTTGATTATCTCTTTTTAATAGTGTTATTTCTTTAATTTTGTTTGTCAGAAACTAATTTCCACATATGTATTTCGAAATTGAACTTTTTATTGGAAAAAAATTGCAACTTTCATTATGTGGACTAGTTCTTGTTTTGTTTTATTTATCTATTTATTTAGTTATTGTTATTTATTTATTGTCAGATTTCTAGTTGATTTTTGATTTTGTGGAAAATGGCAATACCTGCAAGTATAATTATTTATGTGTATAAGTGTTTGGTATTGAAAACTCTGTATGCATTTGTATAATTAATGGCTTGGATAGTTGCATGGAATTTAGTTTCTTGTTTGCCTACTGATGTTGCAGAAGAAGAGCGGGTGGTTGTTTTGGTTATTGGTGGTGGGGGAAGGGAACACGCTCTTTGCTATGCATTGAAGCGATCGCCTTCTTGTGATGCCATCTTTTGCGCCCCCGGCAATCCTGGAATTTCCAATTCTGGGGATGCCACTTGTATTTCAGACCTGGACATCTCGGATAGCTCGGCTGTGATTTCATTCTGCCGTAAATGGGATGTGGGACTTGTCGTTGTTGGACCGGAGGCCCCACTTGTTGCAGGCCTTGTAAATGATCTGCTTAAGGCTGGAATCCATGCTTTCGGCCCTTCATCTGAGGCCGCTGCTTTGGAAGGATCCAAGAACTTTATGAAGAGTTTGTGTGACAAGTATGGAATACCTACTGCTGAGGTTTGTTCATTATTTTTGATATTCTTTAAGAGAGATAAAAGGGTGTTGCTAAATTTAATATTGCTTGCTTATGATCACTAGAACAAGAAAATGAATGTGAAAAATGAATAGCATTTTACAATGAATTTGATTTTTCAGTTTTTGTGTGGCGATTTTCATACAAACAAGTGTTACTAATGCATTGATTAATTGATACAGTATCAAACATTTACAGACCCATCTGCTGCGAAACAATATATACAAAAGCAAGGGGTCCCTATTGTTGTCAAAGCAGATGGATTGGCTGCTGGAAAAGGAGTTATTGTTGCTATGACTTTGGACGAGGCTTTTGAAGCAGTTGATTCAATGCTTGTAAAAGGTTCTTTTGGTTCTGCAGGTTGTCGTGTCATTGTTGAGGAATATCTGGAAGGAGAAGAAGCGTCTTTCTTTGCTCTGGTGGATGGAGAGAATGCTATACCTCTGGAATCTGCTCAGGACCATAAACGTGTTGGGGATGGCGATACAGGGCCCAATACTGGTGGAATGGGTGCATACTCACCAGCCCCCATCCTAACTAAAGAACTTCAAGATTTAGTGATGAAATCCATCATTTACCCCACTGTGAAAGGAATGTCAGCAGAGGGCTGCAAGTTTGTTGGGGTTTTATATGCTGGACTCATGATAGAGAAGAAGTCTGGCTTACCTAAGCTAATTGAGTACAATGTGCGCTTTGGTGATCCAGAGTGTCAGGTCAGTATACAGACCCCTAGTAGATATGTAAATATTTGATTCATTTGCTAATTTTAAATACCTATAATCAGTTTTTACTTGAACTCTCATACAATTTTTGTTTAATTTACCTCATGATTTTTACCACTCGTGAAGCCTTTATCCAGAACTTTTTGCCCATTTTGCAGGCAACAATTTAGGTTCAAGAATTAAAAGTGCGTTTCTGTTTGATGAAGTAATGAAATTTAAATGGATCTGATTGATATTAGGATAGTGTGGGAGTCAGTAGTATGTATTATGCATATGCAGGTAGAAGTTGGAACTAACTTAACTAAGTTTAGGGAGATAAAGGAAAGTAAGATTGTGAAAGGCCATTGTCGTTTGGAACTAACTTAACTATATTTGTCTTTTTCTGAAGTTATCCTAATGCTACTGGGCAAGAGTGATGTGATGTGGCTTATGAGTATATGATTTAATGGATTTCTTTGCACCCTTAATCTCATACGTAGCATAAATTCTGCATGTGCACTATCAATATTCCAAATAGCTAGTTTGGCCATTACTTTGATAGGTTGTTGAGTGGTGGGTTGCATGTCATATCTAAATATTGTGCTTAAAGGTAGGTCAGCATCTTTTGTGGTACTCAGGCATAACAATCTAGTTGTCTCGTGTCTCGTTCAGATTGTATTGTTTTAGATTAGTAGTGAGCAACACATTAACATGGATTTCGGGTGCTTGTTTGCCTTTTATGATAAACAGGTTTTGATGGTTCGTCTGGAGTCTGATCTGGCACAAGTTCTACTTGCAGCTTGTAGAGGACAGCTAAGTGAGGTGTCGTTGAACTGGTCGGCCGGGTCAGCCATGGTGGTGGTAATGGCAAGTAAGGGGTACCCAGGGCCATATGAGAAGGGAAGTGTAATTCGAAACCTTGATGAAGCAGAAAATGTTGCTCCATCTGTTAAGGTATTTCATGCAGGAACTGCCCTGGATCCAGATGGCAACTTCATTGCTGCTGGGGGCCGTGTTCTTGGAGTGACTGCCAAGGGAAGAGACCTCAAAGAGGCATGTGATCGGGCATATCAAGGCGTAGAAGAAATTAATTGGCCAGGAGGGTTCTACCGCCGTGATATTGGCTGGAGAGCCCTTCCTCTTCCTCTGAAACAATTTGTGACGAGGTTAAACTAAAAGAAAATTTGTACTATTTGTGACAGGAGGGCATTATGAGAGAAACGTCTATACCTTGCCCTTTTTTTTGGCCTCATGAGTAACATCATTGTTCTAATAAAGTTAGCAATTGTCTCATCCCTTAGAAAACAACTTTAAGTGTAATGTTAATTGTCTGCTTATTTGCGTTGTAAACCATATCCAAGATGGCATCACCAGAAAAAAATAGTATGTCCTGAAACTACCAAGTCATCCTGTTTTCTTCATCTCTCTGTCACAAAAAAAACAAAAAAAAAAAAAAAAAAAAAAGAATAGGAATCGGCAAACTTCATCTTCTGTCTCTGAAACTACACTTGTGATCGTGAGAGCCATTTATCTATTGTAATCTCTTTTGTTCAAAATTTGTTGAATAATTGCTCCCCAAGAGACTTGTGTTCAATTTTTTTTGGGTACATGGGTTTTGATGTTAGAGATATGCTATTTGACCCACATGATTATCTTTGTAATTTCCTTCTTGACTGAATGTGATTAGCTTTGATGATAAACTATCCAACTGAGGAAGTAACATGGTTTCACAGTGGGAGACATTTATTTTTTTTAATACAAATAATAGTCTAAATTACGAGAAGAGGAAGGTTTCTCACACACATTACCAAGATGCTATATCCGAATATGAGACAATTAGTCTACAAGTCAAGGCCCTTTTTCATTGGGCTAGACCTCGTTGGCGAGTATGAGACATTTTAACTTAAGGCACATAGACAAGTTTAGGGGGAAAGTAGAGACAAATTAAGTTGAAAAATACTTGGCCCTTTACATGTAAGGATTCATTTCTCTTTATAGACTAATCACATACGTGTGCGTAGACTTTTCCTTCTATAATTTCAACAAGTTACTTTTACATAAGTGTCATATTGTGATTGGTAAGAAGGAACAACTCCTTACATGTAAGAAGGTAAGCCGTCTTGAGTGCAAAGTGATACATGTGTGATAGTTCGGGGAGCATAGGGGTAAAATTAGAATAGTTGGTAAAAAAATTGTTGTCCTTGGAATCAACAATTGTATGGTGTAAATAGAATTGGAGAGGCTACAATGAGGAGTTTAAAGTGATGAGACTATTTGAGGAGGCCAATCTCACCACAAAACATTTAAAATATTTAAGTCCCATGATTTCTTTACATTTATTGATAGTGTGATTGACTTTCTCAAATAACTTCATCACTTTAAACTTCGCAAATGGAACTCCACTCCTAATAAGTCAGTGCGATTTTTCCAGCTGCAGCCCGGCCCGAGCCCAAGGCCAAGACCAATCGAAAGCCCAAGCCCAAGTTATCTGAACTAACTAGTCTGAAAAGGCTTAACCTAAAACCCGCCTCTCCTCCTTCATTCTCAGCCTTCCTCTTTACGCAGAAAAACCCTAATAAGCTCAACTCTATTTTCTCCAGGTAAACTCCCTACTTTTCTCGTATCCAAAAGCTCCTCTTTGTTTTGCTACGCCGACCGCTTTCGTTGTTCATAGAAAGTCCGAGACTTTTTAATTTAATATTTTTTCTCTCTCTCGCTCTCTCTTTGAAAGATCATTGTAGTTGCAGCGAGATGGGGGCAAAGGCGAAGAAGGCAATGAAGAAGCAGCTGAGCAAAGCGTCTGCTCAATTATCAGTATCTACTCACAATAAAGAAGCTGCTGCTACTGCTGCTGATTTCTTGGTAATGCTTAATTACAAACCATACGCATTTTTTATATACAAGTGTTTCTTTGGGTTTGTTATTTACGGCTTTGGTTGTTTTATGAGGAAAGCCATTGGAAGGCGGCCCTGCGCGTAAGCTCCCCGAAGAAAAGCCCAAGGAGGATGTCGCCAAGGTGTTATACATTGGTCGGATACCTCACGGTTTCTATGAGAAGGAAATGGAAGGTGCAATTGATAATTTTAAATGAAGAATGTTGTATACGTTTTGGTGCAAGTTGTTACTACATTTTTATTTGTGTTCCTGCTAATTAGCTACTTTTTTTGCAGGATTTTTCGGGCAATTCGGTGTGATTAAGAGACTGAGAATTGCACGTAACAAAAAGGTCAGGCTTCTGGACCATAGCTTCATCTATGTTTTGCATGATGACATAACTTTTACTTTGTGATGGCAATTGTGTCGTATTTGCTTATCTGAAGTTTTTTTTAAAGGTTTAACTAGGATTTATAGTCTGCCTTGAGAAATTTGACTGGTACTCCACCTGCCATATCTGACTAGAAAGCTGCTACTAATAAGTACAATTGTAGTCTTAGTGAAATTTCCACGTGGTTGATAAGCCATTACTCAGTTAGAGGATTTTCACATGAGTTAATGAGTAATTTAAATTGGAATGGTAGAGTGAGAATGCTAATTATGAGGCCAGTTGAGACTTCAGTGAGGTCACAGTTGGCCCCATTGTGGCAATTTTGAGTTTGATCTTAGGGAGATTGGCTGACAAATAATCAGGGAAAAAGGAAGTAGATTCTTAAGGAGATAGCCCATTCTTCAAGTTCCCAATTGAAATGTCTTTAGTTAAATCCTTGTAACTGAAAATTACCTGAATATCTATTGCCCCGGATCTTAATTCTAGCACACCTTTTTTCCTCCCAGAATTTTGAACATTTTCAGACTAAGGATTTTTCTTTTCTATTTAGTAGGTAGTATTGAAGTTTAATAAATTGATTTTTTTCTGACAAATTTTAACGTTTTTGTCTTTCATCTTAATAGACAGGAAAATCAAAGCACTTTGGCTTCATTGAGTTTGAGGACCCTGGGGTTGTATTCAATTCATTACATTTTGACATCTAAAAGCCTGTTCTTCTTTACAAAGTTCCTTTTTTTTTTATTGGGTTCTAACTTTGCATTCCTTGTTTGCAGGTGGCGAAAGTTGTAGCTGAAACTATGCATAATTATTTGTTGTTCGAACACCTTTTGCAAGTCCATCTTATTCCTCCACAGCAAGTTCACCCAAAATTGTAAGCAATTAATTATTATTATTTATTATGATGTCAGAGTTTGTATGGCAATCAAAAGCTATTTATTTTTGGTAATCCATATATGTATTTAAGGTGGCTAAGCTGTTGACTGCTTCTTTTAAAAAAAATTGTCATATAACGTGCTACATCCATTCCCAAATCACAATCGTTCCACATACAGTCTTGGTCGTCCGTTGTCTTCTGTTGTCAATTGAGTCATCTATTTTCACAAGCAGCTTCGGATGTATGTACCCATGCCGCTGGAATGTTTCTTAACGACTTATAACTGATAGTCATTGTTTGCATTATTGCATTATTAGCTGCTGCAGTTTAAGGGTTTGAATATTATTTTCTTTTCAAAATCATTGTTGTTGCCCTTGTAAATCATTGTTGTTGCTATAAGTTGCTCACTATTTGTGTCTTGTTTATTTTATATAGATGGAAAGGTTTCAACTACAGAGTCAAACCCTTGAACTGGGTTCAAATTGAGCGGAAGAGGCATGACAAGGTATTCAATGCAGACATTAAAAAGCAACCTCTTTCAAGTTTTCTCATTTTACATTACCAGAAAAGCCTGTTAAGGACTTCTTTAACTCTGTCCTCGTTGGGTGATGTTTTTTCAGGAAAGGACATTGGAAGAGCACAAGAAGTTGGTGGAGAAGATTTTGAAGAGAGATCTGAAGCGTCAAAAGAGAATTGAGGCTGCTGGTATTGATTATGAATGCCCAGAAATTGTAAGAATCCGGTCCTCATTTACTGTTGTAACTTTTTAAATATTTGGGTGTAATGGTTGTACAATCCACTCATAACATAACAAGTTAGTTAATTTTTACATTTTTTAAATTACTGTAAGAAGCTATTCCTTGTTCTTAATCTTTTTTCTTGTTTGGTATTGCACCAATTATACTTAATATTTCTTTGTGGTTGATTTAGCTGTTACAATTGTTCATGATTTTGGTTCTTTGCAGGTTGGTAGTATTGAACAGCCTGCTCCAAAGAAAAGGAAAACTGACCGAAAGAAGGTATGTTGTGTTCTTGTTTGTACTATTTTCTTGGTAATATATTATGTATTGCCATCTCATATCTTGTATTGCAGGTTGACTTGATAGGGATGAAGAGCAAACACTAGTTGGTCCTCCCATTAACTGAAAAGAGGCTTTTCTTGGATATCTGGAGATTTTGGATATGAGTTTTGAATTTTATAAATATATCCTTTTGTAGCTTATGGTTCATGACCTTTTTAATCACTTATGTAATCATGATTTGGCCATCGACAAAGCTTATAAGCATCTTCGGTTTTAAAGATATATCTCATGTAATGTAACGATGCTCTGTCGTTGTTCGGTTATAAACATCCTCATTTCTGCAGTTGTCACAAGAGAACATAAGGACTTCAATGCATTACACTCTTCCAGAGTTTCTTTGGACGTTGCTTGTGTTGCAGCTAAACTATTGCACAACAAGTTTTGTGCTATAACCTGATGGTTCCTTATTTTTCTCCTTTCACTTGTTCTTATTCTTGTTACTTCAACAAATTCCCCATGGTAGAATAGTTTTACTCTTTCACCACACCCATGTAACTTTTTAAATTTCACAAGAAACATACTTAAATTTTCTCCCATTTTCCTCTCCAAGCAATAACTTTCATGAGTACGCACATCAGTTTTTGACCAATCAATCCATATTCAGCTTTTTTTCCCTTTTCTGAAAAACCACCTATTTTTTGGTTGGTGCTAAAGATGTTGAAAATGGGTGTAATGAACGAAGGTATAAAAGAGAACTGTATGAAGAGTTATTAGGTGAGGAGAGAAGAATGATGGATATTGGATAAGAATTACAACATTGAACCGGTAACCCACTTCTTATAAGTAATTTTAAGATTGGACATTTTTTATGAAAAAGTTTAGGACATCGTAAAATTTGTAATTACAAACGATGATAAACAAGGGGGAAAAAGCAATAATATTACTGACAGGCTACATACAGGTGGAGTGATCCTAAACAAAATTGTCAATCTTTAATAGCAGTACAACTGTTAGCGACGATATATAAGACAAATGCAATACAGAAAGTTTCTAATGCATAAACATACCCTAAATATGGCGGACTAAATTCTTCACTAAACATCGTTGTTTTACAAGTAAAAGTCTTGAACTAAAATCATGAAACAGAAAAAGAAGAAGAAAAGGCTTCAAATACCCTATTTGTGGAAGCCTGCACCTCATCCTGAAAAAGTCAGGGGCTTGTCTTCCCACAGGATGCATGGCCCCTACAGATATTTTCGTGCAAGGGCACGAACTTTCGTATCAAAATGCGATGAAGTAATTCGGGAACCAGGCAGGTAGAGGGGATTAAGAAGAGTCTGCATATTCAAAAACACACCATATGAGTCAATAACCGATGTCTTTGGGTAACAGAATCCTTGTTCAGTTATAAAATTTAGGCTTCATGAGTCAATCACTATAACTTGACCCCAAACAAAAACAAAATTGTCAATCACTATAATCAACTCTTTTTTCTTGTTGCACTTTTAGCTTGCAGGTCGTAATCTGAAATAATGCATGACAAAACTAGAGAAAATGGAAGAAGAGCTAGGCAGAGATAAGTTCAACTTGGCTTTGATATTAGCCTACAACTTGGCTTTGATATTAGCCTATTCTTTCTTTTGTAACTGGAGAGAGTTCAGAGTACATTAACTAGAACAAAAAAACCAAGACGCTAAAAGATATCAGAATCCCCCACAACAGTACTTCTAAGTTTGAACAACATAAGGGGTATAGAGGATGGAAGCATGACACTTAAAGTTCTTGTTAGGGAAGAATAAGGAATAATTCATTTCAAATTAGCTACACTAAACTAAAAGGCAAGAGTTATCCATCATCATAGGACTGGAAGGTACAGGAGAGAGTTTGAAACATGTATTATGCAATGAAAGAATTAACAGCGTGAAATGGAAACTGTGTAATGAAAGAATTAACAGTGTGTTTAGGCAAACTTCAGCTTTGAAATGCAAACGATATGAGGGGTTTCCCCATCAAGTCTGGTTGACAGCATTTACAAGAAAAATTAGTTGAAAAGAAAAGATTTGTGCTAGATGGCTCTTAGGCTTGAAGAAAGGATACTAGATACTCTGACAGAAATATTTCCTAATTCATATCAAAATATAGAACAAAAGATTTTGCTGGTCATATTAGACAAGAAAACAATATGAGGGGTTTAGCAAATACTGTTTGAGAGGAGATTGGGAAAATTCACATGCATGCCTGTCAAAAGATTAACACCACAAGTGTGTATATTATCAAGAAAAAGTATTTCCTAAGTCCTAATCTACAATCCAGAGCTTAAAACTCTGTTAACATATATGGACTTGATACAGGCTCTGCAAAAGATTTTAACTCCAAGAAAATGAAAACGTTTTAGAAACATATTACAAATATCATAGAAAGAATGATATAACTTGGAAAAATGTGCAGACTTTTGAAAACGAAATAAGACATCTATTTACCAGTAATAACAAGCGTATGCAACTAACTTCCAACCAAAGAAAATTTAAATTTAAAAATGGGCTCTTATGGTGGGAATTCCCATCGTACCTCTATCACAACCATCAAAACATGCAGAAAGCTTGCTGCGAGAAACCCCCGGCAAATTACCACGATCAAAGCTATTTCTAGCCACCAAAACCCTACCATTGCCATCGCCAAAACCACCGCTACACACCACCCTTACTTGAACCACTATGGTCAATCTGCCTAGTAACCACCACTGAATTTTTCCCAAGTTCTTGAGAATCCAAATTGGGAAAGGGAGTGGAAGAGAAGGAAATTATTTCCAACAAAACACTGCCTGGTGTCTAATTAAGCAGTTGCTACCTACCTATTACGAACAAAGGGATGTGTACCACATGCCTGTTGACAGACATTGACGTGGGTTCAGAGGAAGTGAAGAATGCGCATAATGTTTTATTTGCATATCCTATGTTCAATGTCATTGCCAGTGGGTTTCTACTTATTCAAACTTCTAAGAGAATTCACCCAATATACTACAGGAGAATCTACCTCACCAGGAGTTTCATAAGGACAATCCCCAAAGAACATGCATTAGGAACATAGTACGAAAGTGTAAAAAGAAACTTAAATAAAGGGTGGATGGCAAGTAGTACTTACCTTGATATAGAGCTCATGAACCTCTTGGAAGAAGCTCTTGATACCATCATCATTACGGGAGTCATGAAGTAGCATAAGTCGTGTATGTATGTCTAGTCAAGGAAAGCATCAAACTGAAAGTTGTATACTAACACAGTACAGCACAGGAACAAATTTAAAAACTTTTCACTTATCCTTCTGTGAAGTTGAGAAAAAAAATCACAATAGTGACAATAGTAATGAATTGGGGAAATTGAAGACGACATAAGAATATACATTTGACATCATTGCTATGCCATCTGCGGAGGTTGTATCACTGTTATAGGTTGAAGATACTTTCTTGTTTTGAAAATCGAAAGAGTTGTGTGCAGGATTGATCGTAAATTCCGAATATATGCAGTTCTTTAATAGTACCATTTAAAACATTTACACAATGCAAACAACGGGAACCAAGAATTTACCAATGCAACATATAACAAATCATCAGAAACTATAGAATTCTAAGATAGGTGAAGGTGACAACAAATTTGATTTCAAAATATGAAGGATATGACCAGCGGTGACATAGACGGAAACCACCAGATCATTAAAGCGGTCTATTGCTTTCAAGTACCTACACCAAGAATGTTATAAAGATGAATAACGGTGTAAACAAGTTAAATGTGGAAGAAAAGCACAGAGGGCACACAGAACAAGTGACTCACATGGCACTAGTAGTCCAGGCAAGGTCCTGAACAATATCCAGAGCAGCATGTAATATAAACTGATGCAGCTGAGCAGCATCTTCTCTCTGTCAAGTGTCAACCCATTATTACCATATAAGTATATAGCCATACAAATTATATATTTTGATGAATTTAAAAGCTATTAACAAACCCCATAACATAAATTGAACAAAGCATTGCAGATGCAGAGATTGCCAAGAAATGAAGAAACCCATTTTAATTAATTGCAAATGGATGCATTTTGGCATAAAAATTACACTAATGGAAAAGCATTTGAATGTAACAAGTCTGAATCTTTGAGTCTCTAAACACACAAATAACCAAAAATGGGCATTGCAGATGAAAATGGAAATCAGAAAAATGCAATTGAAATTAGAAATTACAAAGGAAAAGGAAAAGGAACGATACTTACTTTGGCAGCGGATCCGACTTCAGCTTCGTAAATAGGGATGTCGTTTCTGCTGACGATGACGAAACATGCTGTGGTTGCCATCTGCTGCTATTTTACCAGCCACGCCTTCCACTTCCGACGACTCTCTCTCACAGAGAGGATGAAAGATCTTCTAGTTTCGGGCTTTTTTTTGTCTCATTTCTCCTCAACTTAATTTGGGGAACATTTAGTAATACCGCCTAAAATTTATTTACCCAAACTTTACTTTACCCTATGTCGAATTTTACCACCAACTGGTTTTTTTTTTTCGTGCACAATTTTATTGTGTCGATAGAAAAATACCACATAAGGTGAAGAACGTTAAATTTTTCTGTATTAAAAAAAAAAGGTCATGCGCAAATTAACAGCTTGGAATTTTTTTGGTAAATTCCAAAATAGTCCCTGAATACATTTTAGTCCTTTAACTAAATTATTTAATTATTCATTAAAATAGTACTCCAACTTTCTATTTTGGGAGCAAACTGGTCCTACCATGACATTTTTCTGATAGTTTGAATCACGTGGATGGCACATGCTATAGGGGTAAATAAGATTTTTTACAAAAACAAAAACTGATTGAAGTGATCCCTCAACTTATGCATGAGTTCCATTTTGGTTCTCCAACAAAAGTCACAATCACCACCCGATTTCCCCCTCGCCTACCTCCAACCTCATTCTCCTATATAACCCAGAGAGGGAGAGAGTGTGTGTGTGGCTAGAATGCTTTTGGTATAGACGGTCATGTCATATTGAATAATTAAGAGAAGTTTACTATTAACATGAATAATAATTAGGATAAACTGGCTACAAGAATATGATAAAATGGATTATGATGAAATTGGAGCCCTAGTACTCATACCATCAGTGTTTGTCGAATTTTATTATTGTATATGTTATTAAATTTAAGCCTCGCCATTCTAACATCCAGATAAAATTTAGGATTAATCGTAATCAGTACTCAAATTAATTAGTCTTGGTCTCTGTAGAAGGATACTCACTTGCCACTACACTATTTTACTACGATTTTGTGCTCTACAACTTCATTATCAATAAGGAGCTAAAATTACTAGAATGCCTCATGCTACATTAGCACACTTAACGATTTGTGGATGGAAATAGATGAAAGTGGTAAAAAAAGAAAATTTCAGCAATTTTTAGAGATTCAGAGAGTTAAGTGATAAAATTTCAGTTTAATAGAGTAAAGTGACCAAATGTCCATTTCAAGGAGTGAAACAGTAAATAAGCGTTTTATTATTATACGGAAGTTATAATCTGCCTCCCTCCTCACCAAACTTGCATATTTTGCCCCATAAAGTTTATTTATTTATTTATAAAACTTTGTTTTGTTTTTGTGTCCTTTTCGTTGTTCGGGTTACATCCTCACCAACCTTTGATTCCTTCATCCCTACGCTGTGCTAAAGTCCTTATCATCATTTCCAACTTCACCAACCGCCTCCAACCAAAAAAGAAAAAGAAAAGAAAAGAAATCTTCACCAACCGCCAAAGATTAATTGAAAACCTTTTCCCCAGCGCACTCACTCTAATCATCATTTCCTTTGCTTATTAACTAACACTAGTTACTACAAAGGTGGACCCATCCAATGCTAATTTTGCAAACAAAATCATATACTAGTGCAATATTTGTGTTAATTATAATAAAACATGTATATTTTTCTATTATTATTATATTTTAGGATTGTGTCCATACATTAATCAAATTGTGGATCGTCTAAAGTAATATTAAGATCCTGAGATGAATTGTGATATATATATATATGATTAAACAGTTTCTAATTTGAATGATGATTTAGTAAATGAATAGTTCTGATTATGATATGTGTACGATGAAAATTCGTTAATCACAACAACGTAGATAATGACGAGCAGCTAAATATGATTTTATATTAAGATCCCGTTTGGTTTACGGAAATAAATTGATGAGAAATCAATCCTCATGTAGTTTTTCATGCAAAGGAAAATCGAAATTTTTTTTTCCATGTTTGATAACATTGGAAAAATAACTAAAAAACTATCGTTTTATTTCCTTTTGCATTTTTGGTTAGTATAAGGATGTAAATACATTTTGCTTAGTTTGCAATTATATCCCCAAATAACAAATAATTTTCCATTTTCAAGTCCCTTTCCTCATGAAGTAAACTTGTTGCCCACTCATTTTATAGTAAATATACTAATTAATGACACCACCTCAAAGCTCAAAGTATTCATACACCACCAAGGGAAAACCATCTCCTAAAACCAGTTCTCCTCCCACCCATGAGTTGGTACATTCCACTCTCACCAACTCTAATCCTCCAAATTGTATATGCTTGGTGGGTCACCCACACACACTCTCTCTCTCTCTCTCTCTCCACAATACAAATCCATTCACCAACTCCATCCCATCGTCTCTCATATATATCAACCTCCCTCCAACTCCAACTCCAACCTTTGCCCAATTCAACGCTGCTCTCCTCAATTTTCATTCCATCAACATGGCTCTCTCTGAACTAGCCCTTCCAATCTCATCAATAATCATCTTGATCTTCCTCGCATACAAGCTCTACCAACGGCTGAGATTCAAGCTCCCACCCGGTCCGCGTCCATGGCCGATCGTCGGAAACCTCTACGACATAAAGCCAGTGAGGTTCCGCTGCTACGCGGAGTGGGCTGAGGCCTATGGGCCCATCATATCGGTGTGGACGGGGTCGACGCTAAACGTCATCGTGTCCAGCTCAGAACTGGCAAGGGAGGTGCTGAAAGAGCATGACCAGAAGCTGGCTGATCGGCATAGGAGCAGATCAGCTGCGAAGTTCAGCAAGGACGGCCAGGATCTCATCTGGGCTGACTATGGGCCCCACTATGTTAAGGTGAGGAAGGTGTGCACTCTGGAGCTTTTCTCTCCTAAGAGGATCGAGGCTCTCAGACCCATTAGGGAAGATGAGGTCACTGCCATGGTTGAGTCCATTTTCAAGCACTGCACCAATCCTGGTACGTATTTAATTAATTAATTTCCTCATTTCATACATTAAAAAAATTATTGGTTTTCTTTATTATATTCAACAAAGTCGAATGAGAAATTATCAGTATATGTTTTATTTATTTATTTGGTTTGATTCTTTCCTTATTGGTTTTTTTTTTAAAGTTAGTCAACTAGGTAGGAGGAGGTGGTGTAAAAAATAAGAAAGAAAAAGAAAAGTCAACGATAAGCTCTTATTTTGATTCTTGAAGCCTATTTTGTCCACTTTGGTTTTGTCTTGCTGTAAGTTATGTATATATATGCGTGCTTTGTCACGTTTGTCCTTTCCGTGAGCTTCAACAATATGCCAAATCCCATTTGGATATCTATCTCGAGTGAATTGAATACTTCGATCTTCTATTTTAATCTAATTTAAATTATAGGGTAGAGGATTTGAACTCGAGTGCAAAATGGGAAGTAATTCGCTCTAGCTAATTTGGCTAAACTCATGTCTAGAAATGCTATTCGGATTAAATAATCAATTATTTTTTAACTATAAATTGTGTGCTGCAATTTATTTATTTATTTATAATAAAAAAGGCACTGTATAACTTTGATTTATAGAAAAATTCACATAGTTAATTTTGATTAAACAAAATTATAGTACTAGTGTGACAGTAATATATATGCATAGAAATATTCATCACAATTTGGTGAATTTTTTTTTAGTGAAGAAGTATTTGGGAGCAGGTTACATCTTAGATGATATGATTGTAATTTGTTATTGACTTAAATTACCATATTGCAGAAAACAATGGGAAAAGTTTGTTAGTGAAGAAGTATTTGGGAGCAGTGGCTTTCAACAACATAACAAGGCTAGCATTTGGGAAACGTTTTGTTAACTCAGAGGACGTAATAGATGAGCAAGGGCTAGAGTTCAAGGCCATTGTAGCCAATGGACTCAAGCTTGGTGCATCGCTTGCCATGGCCGAGCACATTCCCTGGTTGCGATGGATGTTCCCGCTCGAGGAAGAGGCATTTGCCAAGCACGGGGCACGAAGGGACCGGCTCACTAGGGCAATCATGGAGGAGCACACACAGGCACGAAACGAGAGTGGTGGTGCCAAGCAACATTTTGTAGATGCATTGCTCACATTGCAGGACAAGTATGACCTTAGTGAGGACACTATTATTGGACTTCTTTGGGTAAGTAGTAACATAAAAAAGATTGTAGTTTTTTTTAATTATAATTTTTATGGACGAATAAAAATTATTATTTGGGATACAAAATAAAACCAAATTAATATGGTAGAAATTTAACAATGTCAGCACTCAAAATTTTGTGCAGGATATGATTACTGCAGGCATGGACACCACAGCCATAACCGTTGAATGGACCATGGCCGAGCTGATCAAGAACCCAAGAGTGCAACAAAAGGCCCAAGAGGAGCTAGACCAGGTTATCGGGTTCGAACGGGTCATGACTGAAACCGATTTCTCAAACCTCCCTTATCTACAATGTGTAGCAAAGGAAGGCATGCGGTTGCACCCTCCAACCCCGTTGATGCTCCCCCACCGAGCCAATGCCAATGTCCAGATCGGTGGCTACGACATCCCCAAGGGATCCAACGTTCACGTGAATGTTTGGGCCTTAGCCCGTGATCCGGAGGTATGGAAAAACCCGTATGAATTCCGGCCCGAGAGGTTCCTTGAGGAGGACGTTGACATGAAGGGCCATGATTTTAGACTACTTCCGTTTGGGGCGGGTAGGCGGGTATGCCCGGGAGCCCAACTTGGCATCAACTTGGTGACCTCCATGTTGGGGCATCTACTGCACCATTTCAGTTGGACCCCGGCGGAAGGGGCAAAACCAGCGGAGATTGACATGTCGGAAAGCCCAGGACTTGTTACTTACATGAGAACCCCATTACAAGCCGTGCCTACTCCAAGGCTTCCATCGCACTTGTACAAACGTGTGGCTGCAGATATGTGACTTTTAGTTTCTTCTTCAAGTTTTGGTTTTTGAAAAAAGAAAAAGAAAAAAGAAGAGTTTTATTATCTCTCTATCCCTATTGGGTCATTAAGTCCCATAACGAATCAAAACATG